ATCAGGAGATAGTGAACGAGGAGACGACTACTACTAAGACACCAAACGTAAAAACCAAAATGCTTCTGATTAGAAAAAATACCCTGAGTAGGAGCGTTTACTATCAGGTATAATAACTCTCCAAACTAACTGGACTATTTTACAACCTCATTTGTGCCTACCGCAATCTAAGTTTTGTTTAATAATGGTATCTTTGTATCACATAGTTTTATACCGTATGGTATTGTTTCATATTATATGACGTATGGCATGTATGGCATCATTTCCTATTGTATCATATCATTTCGGATTGTATCATAATCTATCCTATCTTCATTCATTTATCTTCATTCAGACCCAGGAAACATCACGCCTAAACTGTGTTTGTTTGTTCTTTTGTTTTAAGAAAGCACACAACAAAAAATGCATCCTAAGGTTTGAAAAAAAATTGGATTGTGAAAGGGAAGATGTTCAAGTCCCATCTAGAGTTGTGAAATCTGGATGCATTCGTTTTGGAGGCTTTTATTCAACCAAAAAAGATCATCTTGCAAAGTTTTGATGGTCAAATAATGAGGAAAATAAGAAAATATGGCTTTTTTCACTAACGCCTACTCCCTTACATCAGTTTGATGCTTTAAAAAATCTGAATATAGAAACGGGTTAATCCTGTCACTGGAGTTTTTGCCACTTTAGTTTCATCATTCATATGATTGTATTGTAATTATTCTGTGTAGTCTGTGGCTGTGTCCGAAATGAATCACTCAATCCCTAACCCCTAACCCCCATATGGGATTATACTATATAGTTGACTATGTAGTGAACTCAATCACAGGAGGTTTCAGACTCCTGGACAAAACGCCATAAATCAACATAACGGTAAACGGTGTTGTACTACATCCTTATAATGTATTGCATCATATTGTTCATATCATTCTTTGTATTATATTGTATGTTTCGTACAATATCATATAATTTTATATTATCCTGAATCTTAGTATTGCATATTTTCCTGTTGTATTATTTCACATTGTATCATTTCATATGTAAGCATATCTTTGTATTGAATTATTTCCTATTGTACTATATGATTTCGAATTGTATCGCATCATTTCGATGGTATCAGTTCACAATGTATCATATCTTTGTATCCCATAGTTTTTACCATACCAGATTATTTCATATGGCATCATATCCTGTCTTTGTATTGTATCATTTCATATCGTATTATTTCGTAGTGCTGTATCATTTTGTATCATATTTTTAGATCATACCATATCCGATCGCATCATATCTTTGTATCACATAGTTTTATACCGTATTGTTTCATATTGTATGATATCGTGTTTTTGAATTGCATCATTTCCTATTGTATTATATCATTTCGGATTGTAATATACCCTTTCGTATCTTCGTATCATGTCATTTCATATCATGTTATTTCATATTGTATCATTTTGGATCTGCATATTTTCGTTTTATATTGTATCACATTGTATCGTACAGTTTTATATTGTATTGTATTATTTTGTATTGTGTCTTTGTGTTGCATAGTTTCGTAACAGATTGTTTTATATCGAATTGCAACTTTCTTTTGCATCCTTTCGTATCTTTTTGTTACATTGTTTCCTATCCAACTTGGTATCGTATCGTAATGTATCGTACCGATTCGTATCGTTTCGTATCAGCATATGGTGTCTTCAATCTTACATTTTAAGACGCTTAGTCCCAGGCAACAGAAATTTAAGAGTAAGTACGATACAATCAAGAACCTAGACTGGAGATGCCAAGAAAGTAAGTGCCAACTGGACGTTGGTGCTAACCTGCAGCACAAGAGGCTAATTTATGTTACCCTTTTACAGCAACTGCAACAATTTTACGATCTAATGTAGTTTCCTGTGACATCCTGCATCATTCTGTGTGTATACTGTAATTATTGTTGTGATTAAAATGTCCTTAATTGCTGCTACTGGCTGACTGCTCCAAAAGGGATAAATGGGGCAGGTTGATTAAAATGACTTTAGCCTAAAAGACGGGGATGATGTTGATGCTGCTTCACATTGGACCTTATTTCTTCCACAGACTGAGAATATCACCCTCAGCATCAGTTCTCTTTCTAAAGATCTACCATCCACAGTACTCTTTCCAATTATACATCACCTAAACCAATTGTTCTTCTCACCGTTGTGTTAGGTACTTAACTCCATTTTCCCTCCATTTCCTCCTTTTCTCTCCCTTTTTTTTCCCTGCTAAACTCGGCTTCATTAAAACACTAATGACTCTCATTAATGGACTCAGTGATCGATTCTCCGGGCCTCCGCTTGAGCCTCTGCTAATAAGGTGTGATTAGTGTTAGTATTATTCACTGAACCTCTGCGCATGTTTGTATGCGTGTGTCCTGCCGTTACGCTGATCCTTATTGATTTTCTGCTCGGCCAAGGTGGAATTTCTCTAAGGATTTCTGTCTCTCGTACAGATTGGACTAGAAGACCTTACAAGTCAAAGGTAGTCCCATCAAAACTGGATCTTTTTAGTGGATGTGACCAGGAAAATGCAGAGAAAGTCTACTCTTCCTTCTCTGTTTTTCCACTCCTCTATCTCCTTTTTTTGTCTGTTACTCCATCTTCTAATCCGTCTCTATGTTTTGCATTATCTCCACTAGTCTGTCTGTGGTTTTGAAGGGGTCAGGGGAGGCACGGTATCCCGGACCTCCATGGCTGAAGCATCCCAGAGGTTATAAGGATGTCGACACAGCAAATCACAGTTTGATGGCATTCCCATATGCTCCCAGCTGACAGGGCGGCCCGTTCCAGCTAAGCCGAATGATTCTTTGGATTCATTCAGACCCAGCAAACATCACGCGTAAACTGTGTTTTTTGTTTTAAGAAAGCACACAACAAAAAATGCATCCTAAGGTTTGAAAAAAAATTGGATTGTGAAAGGGAAGGTGTTCAAGTCCCATCTAGAGTTGTGAAATCTGGACGCATTCGTTTTGGAGGCTTTTATTCAACCAAAAAAGATCATCTTGCAAACTTTTGATGGTCAAATAATGAGGAAAATAAGAAAATATGGCTTTTTCCACTAACGCCTACTCCCTTACATCAGTTTGATGCTTTAAAAAATCTGAATATAGAAACGGGTTAATCCTGTCACTGGAGTTTTTGTTTGCTTTTATGAATCAAAAAATGGGTGCACTTATTGCACCGTTTTCTTCTCCAAGATTTTACCACTTTAGTTTCATCATTCATATGATTGTATTGTAATTATTCTGTGTAGTCTGTGGCTGTGTCCGAAATGAATCACTCAATCCCTAACCCCTAACCCCCATATGGGATTTTACTATATAGTTGACTATGTGGTGAACTCAATCCCCGGAGGTTTCGGACACTATATGGCATGACGGGATGCCCAACACTGGTGAGTGACCATTGGATGGTCACTACATTTCGAATGCTTTATGGGAAATTTTGAGTCGCCTATATAGGGCACTCAAATAGATCACTGAGGTTTCGGACACCCCTCAACATGGCGCTAACCCCCATGTAGTCACCTATATAGGGGTTAGGGATCCATTTCAGACACAGCCTGTGTTCTTTTTTCAAATTTGATTTCCATGGATACGTTAGAATGTAGTTTTTGTGACATCATGAGTGATGACATCACAAGAGACACTCTGAGACTGAACTAGTCAAACACTCAACTAGTAGAACACCCAACTCTAACACAATGCCAAGACGACTACGCCAAACAGCCCAAGAGGGAAAATCAAATGGCAGAACAAAACGGCAGGAGGACCTGGTTGACATGTTTTCTGCATACGTTGAAGAAGCACCAGAGGCCATTTCAGGTATAATAATTCTCCAAACTAACTGGACGGTAAACGGTGTTGTACTACATCCTTATAATGTATTGCATCATATTGTTCATATCATTCTTTGGATTATATTGTATGTTTCGTACAATATCATATAATTTTATATCGTCCTGAACCTTAGTATTGTATATTTTCCTGTTGTATTATTTCACATTGTATCATTTCATATGTAAGCATATCTTTGTATTGAATTATTTCCTATTGTACTATATGATTTCGAATTGTATCGCATCATTTAGATGGTATCAGTTCACATTGTATCATATCTTTGTATCCCATAGTTTCGTACCATATCAGATTATTTCATATGGCATCATATCCTGTCTTTGTATTGCATCATTTCATATCGTATTATTTAGTAGTGCTGTATCATTTTGTATCATATTTTCAGATCATACCATATCAGATCGCATCATATCTTTGTATCACATAGTTTTATACCGTATTGTTTCATTTTGTATGATATCGTGTTTTTGTATTGCATCATATCCTATTGTATCATATCATTTCGGATTGTATCATATCCTATCGTATCATGTCATTTCATATCATGTTATTTCATATTGTATCATTTTGGATCAGCATATTTTCGATTTAAAGCGTATCACATCGTATCGTACAGTTTTATATTGTATTGTATTATTTTATATTGTGTCTTTGTGTTGCATAGTTTCGTAACAGATTGTTTTATATCGAACTGCCCTTTTCTATTGCATCCTTTCGTATCTTTTTGTTACATTGTTTCCTATCTAACTTGGTATCGTATCGTAATGTATCATACCGATTCGTACCATTTCGTATCAGCATATGATGTCGTCAATCCTACATTTTAAGACGCTCAGTTAATCAGCATGTAACCGGTTTGCTGCACTGTGCCAGGAGGTGGAAAAGACTCAAAAAAACAGAGGCCAATGCAAAGCATCAGGAGGACATGGAACCACAAGATGAACTCCTTATGGCTAAAGAAAAGGGCTCTCATTGGAAGAAAAATAAGAAACTTCCACAATGCCTAGAGGAGACCGAAGAGGAGTCGAAGGGCCAAAAAACCCGGGACAAAGTTGATTCAGAAGAGCTACCTGACACAACTGGAGAAGAAAGTTTAGAGCAGAGTCTTTAATGAAAGACTACTGCTAAACACCACCACCCTGAGATGTTCCGGGAACAATGGGGCGAAACATCTGAGAGGGGTGGCTGTTATTCTCAGAGTAACAGGCCACAAAAGGAAGCAAGCTATGCAGGACCTGGCGGAGGAGGCGGAGCAAGGGAGATTTTGGCTCTGGCTTCAGAGGAAGGACAAGGTGTGGGGAAAGCACGGATTCTAAGCAGTCTGCAGGGAGTGGTAGGTAGATGTCCCTACCACTGCCCCACCACCCAGAGATGTTTTAGGAATAATGGGGCGAAACATCTGAGAAGGGTGACTCCCGGCTGATGACCCTGTAGCCTGCATCATGGTGCTGTCAGATATGTGACAGGCAGATATGCCAAGCAGACAAACACCGAGGTAAAACTGAATTTAAACAATGTTGAAATTGAAAAAGTATATGAAACTAAGTTTTTGGGAGTAATAATAGATGATAAAGTTTGTTGGAAGCCTCACATAAAATATGTAAAACAGAAATTATCCAAGCCTATCTCTATTCGTTATAAAACAAGAGATTTACTGAATAAGAACTGCCTTCATTTGCTGTACTTTTCACTTGTGATGCCTTATATGACATACTGTGCTGAAATTTGAGGAAATGCATACAAAACGAATTTAGATCCAAAAATTAAACTGCAGAAAAGAGCTATCGGGATAATAAATGAAGTTGAATAACGAGATTCTACAAATCAGCTTTTTATAAGATCACAAACAATAAAATTTCTGGATATTGTATATTTAAAAACATTAGAAATTATGTTTCGAGTGGTAAATAAGACAATTCCTGTTTGTATTAGAAAAATGTTTAAGCTAAGGCAGGGGATTTATAACTTAAAAGGGCTGCTAATGTTTGAAACTCACAAAGTCAGAACTAATCCCAAGTACAGATGTGTGTCAGTTTTGGGTGCAAAATTATGGAATGGACTGTGGAGTGGAATGGAATGATGAAATAAGTGTAATTCTATGTTAGTTTTCAAGAAGACTTTAAAATCCAAAATGATCAAAGGTTAAAATGAAATTTTATTGAATTCTGTTTTTCAGTTTAAGCTATTATGTTTTTTGTAATGATGTACTAGTACTGATGTTTTATTGTGAATTATTCCTATGATGGTACAGGAAAGGCAAAAATAAGACTTGGGGCTTCAGTCTGATGGGTTCTTTTGTAAAAATATGATTATATTTTTTGTTTTTAAACTGAAATAAAAGTATTCATTCATTCATTCAAGATAATCTGAATGAAGAATGAAGACTTTTTAAAAACGATTCGTTTAAAACGATTCCTGGATTTTTTTGCATTGAGTCCTCTGACAAAGAAAAGCGTGAAATCTCTGCAGTTTCTGGCTAAAGTGGAAAATCGTTAAAATCAAGTGGCATCCTGGGGTGACGATGAATGACGATAATATGACAGATACATAAATCAGGGCATAAATCAGGGACATTAGCCACATCATTGAAACAAAAGTCCAAATATTACAGTTGACAATATAGATCACATACCCCTGGTGGAAGTGTAACACACTGCAGTTCCTCAAGTGTCTAAGTTCAGGGACACTCTGAGGGTCTCATATTTGAATGTATATATATATATATATATATATATATTTTTTTTTTTTTGTTTTGTTTTGTTTTGTTTTTTTTCCCGATGCATCGGAATGATATCGATAAAATATAAAGGGTTAGGATTTTCACGTAAATTTGCACGATTAAAGGTGTGGCAAAATTGAGTGGATTCATAGTGGCTGTACATAGTCACCTCCCACAAAGAGATAGTATGGGTATGTTACACATTTTCTGAATCTTATGAGTCCCCACAGTTTTGCAGTTTGTAATTCTTGTATCCCCGATGTTCCTGGGTGACATATAGCCAAAAGAAAGTATATCATGTGGGCAAAATTGCAGGAAAATGTGTATTTTTTTGTGATTTAAAGAGCTCTAGTGACTTCCATGTTGGCTTAAACGAAAGCCACAAGGGTCCCCTTTAAAATGATACCAAACAGTCTATTGTAAACCTTTGAGAAATGTCCCTGCCATGAGCCTACACCAGATATACACCAGTGTAAAAAATTGAATTTATCTTAAGGGTTGGTTAACTTCATGAGTTGATAACCAATATTTAGCTAGGCACCTGGAAAGGTTATCATACAAAAATATAATCTACAGACATGTATCTTTTCAAAAAACATGATGAACCTTTGCCACCCTGAGGTGTACCAAATATCTGACTGGACTAAATCAGTCAGTTTAATAATTTAAAAAAAACTCCTTACAGTAGCTTTAAAGTTCATGACTGTGATTTGAGGTCCTTAAAACTGTTCGATCAACAAATATGTTATAACTTTGCTACAATTCGCTTCTTTTCTTTGCCAATCTAGAAAAAGAGACGTTTGTATTTGAGCTTTCGTTTGAGATAGGATCTTAGGGGAAATTTTTACAAACTAAATTTCAGAGTAGTGTAAAAGTCGCTGCCAGTATCAAACTAAAAACTTTGATTCACACTGATGTTTAGATGCTGATGATAAACTTTGGTGTTCTTATAGAAAATATCATTGAATCAAAGTCTGGAGTTCTCCGTTTCTGCAGAAGTACACCTACTCCTCTCTTTGTTTGATGTTATCTCTGCTCCTCTTCCAGACGGGCCTCCGAGGACTTTCCTCTGAAGGCTGCAGATGAGATTGTTCTCTGCGGTTTGCATCTGCTGGTTTGATAATCCAGGGATTTCGCCGTCAGAGGGGGATTCGAGGGGCGCAAACACGCAACAGCACACAAACTCCTGGACTGTGACGGCAGCCATTGTTCCTCCCAAACAATGTCTTCACTTTGATGTCTGTGATGCTTGGCCGGTCGAGGGAAGTTTTGTCAATCTGTGCTTTAGTACCCAATTCCCTCTCTCATCCCTCCTTTCTGTCTCCCCCCCCTCATAGTTTTGCTTGCTAAGAGACCAGGGAACAAAAATGTGTTGAAACGATGCTTCTCACATGTTCTGCTCATGAATTTAATATGATATGAAATATATTCATAAGTTTGTTGAATAAAAGGATGGACTGAATATTTAATGATGCATGTAACACACATGCAAAGTTAGTTAATTCTAGTTTTTTCAGAGTGGAACATTTAATGGAGGTGAGGTAAGCGACCTTTTTATTTTTTTAACAGTTTTGGAGTATTTCTCTCAAAAGTTCATGGCACTAATCAGAATTTTTAGGGATTTGTCAACACTCATGAAAAAAAAAAATGGTCAAAAAACAATGAAAAAGGGTCTTGTGGAGGCGAAGGCAAAATTTAAAGCGTGCAATCATATGTTTATCGTTATGTTTAATGTTGGTATGTTGCACTGTAGGACATTGCGTGTTGTGTTTCGCGTCTCTAAAGCCAGAGTGTCACTTTTTGTTGGACTAAAATGTTGCTAAAAGGCTCTTGAAAGGCTTAAGCCTAAAAAGGGGGGGGTTGTTCGTCATTGTCTTGCTGCAGGGGCAACATGCTGGTTTGAGTCTTGATTGACAGGTTCAGTCCTCCAATGTGCTTTGGCACAAAAGGTGACACGCAGAAAAGGAAATTGGCTTTTGTCCCTGCCTCTGAGCTACTTAACCTGTCCCTGATTTCTCATTTATTGAATCTGTTTCCGTGTGTGTTTGACAAAAACAAAAAACATGCATGTATAATTTTGGCAGGTGGGTAATGAATCAACTTCTCTATATAATTCATTTATTTTCTATTTTTTGTGCATTTTTACCGAGTTGAATTCAGCTAAAAATGCATCTTTTTTACCGTGTGATTATGTTTTGTTTTATTCATTTCCTGCCAATCATAAAACACTTTTTTCAGAGTCATATCCCACCGCTGTTTTGGTTGTTGTTCGGGTAATTTTTGCAGGTATTTTGCTTTTATTCAATTGAAAATGGCAAAAAAAATTAAGAAAGACAAAAGTTGAGGCTGCACCTCCTCGGTCCTGTCATTTAATTTTGCCTTTATTTTCCTAAACTTGATCATAGTGCCTGAATCTGACCACCTTTTTTTCTTTGTTTTGAAGTTGTATATCCATCAAGAAAGATCCTGTTTATATTCAAACAAAAGGCATCAAACTGAAATCAAAATGAAATCCATCCAGCTGGTCAGAGGCGAAGGCCCGGGGCTCGTCTCTGTCCGGCCTGGTGTGGCTCAAAGTCAGTAGCTTTGTGCCCCCTTCTGGCTGATAGAGCAAAAAAAAAAAAGACTTGTGATTGACAAATTTAGAAATATCTATCGTATTGTGATATCATTTCTCTAACCATACCGGTTTTCCACAAGAGTGCAGGTATGATTTTGTGTTTTATGAACAAATATATATTAAATTATATAAAGCGAAAAGGATAAGATCTGAACACGCAGAAATATCCTCAATGAGCAACAAAAGTCCAGATTGGTGTCATTTTTCTGGGGGAAAAGTAAGTTTAATTATCTTAAAACACTTCAAACAATCATGCCCACCTTTGACCTTTATCAAGACTTATACTAATGAGATTGATTTCAGAATAAACTATTAGACAAAGCACCAGAATCAGACCTAAATAAGTCATTTTCCCCTTGACACCTTTGCTGCCCTCCTCCTCTGCTTTGACTCTGCTCATATCCCCCATATGTCCACATCTATCTCCTTTATTTCACTCACATTTCAGCCTCTTTTTTTTATCACTCTTTCCCCCGTCTTCACTATTTTTTCTTCTCCATCTCTGTTTCTATTCTTTTGTCAGTCCTTTAATTTCCTCTCCCCCCTGCCTGCCTTGACCTCCGTATCTCGTCACACTCCCCATTAATTTTCATATAGAGAAAGATGCTGACTTTGCAGTCGTTCTGTGTTGGTGCTGAGGGTGGGGTAAGGCTGGAGAGGATGAGTTTATATGAGTGTACTGAATATATTCATGTGTGTGTGTGTGTGTGTGAGAGAGAGAAAGAGAGGCCAGTAGAAGTGTGACTCCTCAAATGGGTTATAACTGGAGACAGTGGTAAGTTATGGTGATTGTTTATTTTTTGTTAAAGGGTTTATTGTAAAAGACTAAAGCAGAGAAAGAGAGAAAAAAGTAAAGGTATGAAAGGACAGAAATAAAAAATAAGGGTGAATTAGAGTTAGAGAAAAGACAATAGAAAGCATGATAAGGAGTCAATGACAAGTGAAGATAAAGACAATAACTTAAATAGGGATAGAAAGGTGAATGGAAGAGATGGGGAACTGATTAAGAAAGGAAAAAATGGGCAGATTGAAACAATCCAGACTAAAATATACAGGAAACAAGAATAAGAAGAAGAAGAAGAACTTTATTAATCCTAGAAAGGAAATTCAATTGTCTGTCGTCTCATTTGTCATGTCACTAAAAGTCATCTACTATTTACAGGAGAGTTGTACAGTCTGATGACTGTGGGTACAAAAGATCTTCTGAATCTTTCTGTCCTGCAGCTGAATGCTAGGAGGTGGCGATATAAACCCTTTCTTCCATCAATGATCATTGGAAATGTCAACTCTCTGCCCAACAAAAGCGATGTGCTGGAGATATTGGTGAAGACTGAGAAAGCATACCGTGAGTGCAGTTTCCTGTGTTTTACTGAAACCTGGTTGAATCAAAACTCAACACCCTGAGGCACTAATAATAATATCAGGAGACTTCAACAATGTCACTCTTTCCTCTTACCTGACTGGATTCACACAGTTTGTGAACTGTTCTACCAGAGAAAACAAGACCCTGGATCTGCTGTATGCCAACATTAAAGAAGCCTACAGAGCCACTGCCTTACCACCACTGGGCAAGTCAGATCATGACTCGGTCTATCTGCAAACCTGTTACAGACCTTGTGTGCTTAGGCAGACTGTGACCAAAGTCAAAATAAGAAGATGGACACCACAAGCCAGTGAAGCTCTAAGGGACTGTTTTAGATCAACAGACTGGAATGTGCTGCTGGAAACAGATGTGGACAGTATGAACATTGATAAACAGGTTGACTGCTTTACTGATTATGTCAACTTCTGTAGAGACACAGTCATACCCACAAAGACTGTTCACTGTTTCCCCAACAACAAACCCTGGATCACAAGGGACATAAAAGCAATCCTTAACCAGAAAAAGAAAGCTTTTAAAGATGGTGACAAAGAACGGCTCAAACAAGTGCAACAAGAGTTGGAGAGGAGACTGAAGATGGCAAAGCTGGAGTACAAAAAGAAGATAGAGAATAATCTACAACACAGCAACATCCGTGAAGTGTGGAGAGGAACCAGTACCATCTCTGGACACAGCAATAAAAAGAAACGACAGCCAGTGGTGGGTGATCTGGAAAGAGCTGATGAACTCAACCTGTTCTTCAACAGATTTGACACTGCTGTCACACCCACTGCTACTCCACCTTCCTCTCCACAACAAATCTCCCCTACATCTTCTCCCCTTCCTCCTCCATCTTGTTCAAATGTCTCAACCACTTCGACTGCCTCCCTCCTGGAACACCAGTCCTTGTCTGTCACCGAAACAGGGGTGAGGATGGAGCTTGGAAGACTTTGTCCTGGGAAGGCAGCTGGTCCAGATGGTGTGTGTCCAAGGCTGCTTAGAGACTGTGCTGCAGAACTGTGTCAACCTCTTCACAAGATCTTCAACCTGAGTCTACAGCTGGGGCGGGTACCTGCTCTGTGGAAAACATCCTGCATTGTGCCAGTACCAAAAACTAAATGTCCTGCTGAACTCAATGACTACAGACCAGTGGCCCTCACTTAACACATCATGAAAACCCTGGAGCGGCTGATTCTACGCCTTCTGAGGTCTGAGGTCAAAGACAAACTGGACTCCCTGCAGTTTGCATACAAAGAACACATTGGAGTGGATGATGCTGTCCTCTACATGCTTCACCGTGCCCTGTCTCATCTGGAGGAGCCTGGGGTTTATGTGAGGATCATGTTCTTTGACTTTTCAAGTGCATTCAGCACCATCCAACCCCCCATACTCAAAGACAAGCTCACAGAGATGGGAGTGGATCCTTCCTGTGTTTCCTGGATCACAGATTACCTGACAGGAAGGCCACAGTTTGTCAGACTGGGGAACTGTGTTTCTGGGACATTAATGAGCAGTACAGGGGCTCCACAAGGGACAGTGCTGGTGCCATTCCTGTTCACACTGTACACGTCAGACTTCAAACACAGTACCGAGCCCTGCCACATCCAGAAATACTCAGATGACACCACTATTTTGGTATGTATCAGAAATGGACAAGAAGCTGAATACAGAGGTCTGATAAGAGCCTTCAGTGACTGGAGTCACAAAAACTGCCTCCTCCTCAACACCTCAAAGACAAAGGAGATGGTCATAGACTTCCGTAGAGCCAAACCTCCTTTTCAGCCAGTGAACACCTGTGGAGTGGACATCGAAGTGGTGACTTCAAATAAAAACCTAGGTGTACATCTAGATAATAAGTTGGACTGGTCTAAGAATATAGACTTCATCTACAGAAAGGGGCAGAGCCGCCTCTTTTGCCTAAGAAGACCCCGATTAATAGACATCTGTAGTAAGATGCTGCAGATGTTTTATCCGTCTGTGGTGGCAAGAGTTCTGTTCTACGCTGCAGTCTGCTGGGGAGGAAGCATCAAACACAAAGACGCAAGACGGATTCATGCTCGGATCTTGCTACGTGCTCCGTGAGGAAAGTGAACACTGACGGAGGCAGGGAGCAGCTTCGGAGAAGAAGCATCCAGCAGTGTGAACAACCTCTTCATAATGAGTGCTTTGGCTCACACTATCGGCATTATCTGTGAGTGTTGCATGACTTTGGGTGAGCACAGAGATGAACACACTGTCAGCCACATATTTATTGATTTATTTATTTTTTATTTTTTAGTGCTGCTTTTGTACTGGCACTATACTAGGGCAGCTGTATACCCTTTCAACACTTTATTTTTAATATTGACATTTGTATTGAATGGACACTTTATCATGACTGCCACTTGTTTTACAGAAAGAAAATTGTTTGTTATTCTCCAGTGCAGTGTCTTTACTTTTATTTATAAAGCCACTTTATATCATTTGAGTTTGTTTGTTTGTTTGTTCAAGGTTTTCAATAATGTGATGAAGGTTCGGAAAAATAAAAGCTAGTGATCTTGAAAGTCACATGTGTAAGCTCTCAAATACTTTTTGACTTTTGTTTCTATCTGCTACAGAGGCCGAGATATCAGCTTTTTTGTAAACCTCAACACTTCAGAAAACCTCAGGATCTGGGGGCCCTTCTCAAGACTGACCTTAGGATTTCAGAGGCGTGTTTCAGACAGGGTTCAGGTCTGAATGGGGTAAGGAAGTTCTTCCTTTTCACTCTACCTTGTGGTTGAAGATGGGAACAGAGAGGGTCTGATCTTACAAAGGTGGGGTCAGTCTTAAGGTCCTTTCGCATCGGGAGCGTTTTTTTGTGCGATTATTTCGGACGTCAATATTTTTTTTTTCGTAGCACGGTCGCAAAATCGCATTGCGCTTGATGTGTATAGTCAGGCACGTCAAAATTCGCCTCCGAATATTTCGTAATTTCGCATCGTATTTTTGCGTTGTTCCCAGTGTGTAAGGACCTCTATCCCGTCTTAACATCAGGTCTTTGTGATTAGACTCCAGTCTAGACCAGCGTTTTTTGAGTGTCTCTTTTAGATAATTCTTAGGTTTAATCTGATCCTTCACCTGGCCAAAGGTTTTTCTCATGTTGGGCGACTGGCCTGCGCTCGGATGGGTCATACTGTTTTTGTTGTCGCCTTTTGAAAGCAGGAGGGTAAACAAATCCAGTTTTAATAAGGGCTTGTAGCTCATAATCCTCAGCCGCCAGCAGGTGAGGGCCAACATATGGGGCGAGACCATGAAGAACGGCACCACGAACACACACACACACAGCAGCTGTCGCTTGTTTTCCGAGGCAGGACCGTTCCAACAAGAACACCTTGGGTCTTGGGGAGCCACGCCAAGAGAAGGAGGAGGGGAAAGGTAGGAGAGAGAGAGGAAGAGGAGGAGGGGAAGATATAATGATGCAAATGACAGAAGGTGAGGAAAGAAAGGACGGATAAAAACGGGGATGCTTGTATTTTGCTCAGACTACTTCATGGATATTATGATTGAGCACGACGGGTTTGTAATAGCACAATATTTTCCTGTGTGGAAGTTTTGGCTCGACTAATTTGCCACTTTGCTGTTTTGTAAACATCGTATGTTTGACTAGTGGGGCTTGTTCATGGTTACTTTGCCCTTGTGTGCTTTATAGCGATAAAATTCTTTCAGCGAGAAGAGGAAAAAAATCAATTTCCCCCCTGACTGGTTTGGTTACACACAGCACACACACAGTCGAGCTTGCTCTGTCGTCTGTTTTAAGCCTGCATACCTGTTTTGTTGTTCCTGCGGCTAATTGGGATTTGCAATTCGAAGAGTCGCCTTTTCAGCCCGTCTAATCTTTTTGAGTTAAAAACATTAGAACCAGGTTTTTCGTCTTGTTTTTTCACTGTAACAGAAAACAGCTACAGGAGCCGTTCAGTCTCTTTCCTGTCTGTCATCACTCTCTTCTTTCCTCCTCCCCTCTCAAGTTTTCCTGTATTCTTAATTTCTTCCCATTTCGGTTAACCCTTTTCCTCAATCTGCTGTCCTCTTTGTCTGCCACTCCTCCCTTTCCCCTCATCTACCTCCTTCTCTTTCGCCCTCCTTCCCCTCCTTTCAACCCATTTCTGCTTCTTATGAAGTGTGAAAAATGATCGTCTGCAGGATGAAGTGGACAGAATTTGCCGGCGTAATGGCCTGACAAAACGAATCGCGGCCTTCCTCGCCATCCATCACTGATTCGAGGCACCCACGGTTAAGATCTGTGAAGGTGCTGGCTTATTGATTGCTAGTTGTAACTACAAAGTGTCTGATTCAGTGTTTGCGGCGTGGCGTGTTGGAGGGGGGTTGGGGGAGGTGGTTGTTGGTGGGTAAAAGGGAATGTAGGCAGCAGTAGCACTCTCAAAAAAAACCCTCTTTTGATAGATTTTAAATGGTTGAAATATTGATTTCTGTCAGTCCAAGGCCTGGCTGAGCAGGCCGCGGCCATTTGTTGAAGCTGTGCCGCTGGACACCCAGTTCTGCCGGCTACCATCAGTCATTTTGATGACGGGAAAAATGAAAGAGGAAGGACAAAAGGAGGGGAAAGAGAGAGGTAGAGAAGTAATTAAGGAGGTCAACTCTTCAGCTTCACTGATTCTAGGTTGGATCTAACATATGTGAATAGATACGGGAATAGTTTAAAGTCCCACTCCCATTGTTTTTTTGTTTTTTTTACTACTTAAAGGTGGGGTAGACAGGATTCCGTTAAAGAAGCATCTTTTTTTGTAGTGTACATAAAAAAAAGCCTTTCATATCAGCCAACAGCTATTAGTCATTGATGACATTTGGGAATATAACAATATCGCTGTGTTTTGTTATGTCTGTGTAGTCAACATTTTAAAATTTCAGAGCGCTCCGCTCTTTCTAACTGTAAACAAAGCCATTTTCCACCTCCCCCATCCTGATTGGTTGTGAGGCAGACGCCGCTCCCCAGTGTCGTTCAGGAGCCCAAACAAAGTTAGCGTGCTACAATGTCGTACAGTAGAAACCAACCAGAAAGTATGAAAAATTGTCTGAATCCTCCTCTAGCCTCGACTGCCAACACAAGCAAGAAAACGAAGTAGATACCACAGACTCTGGCGGAATAACGGGCGCTTAAAAGGAGGTAGACCACCCGGACAAGAGATAAGAAGCCGAGTCAACAATGATGGGGGATGCTTCGGGATCTTATGGACCCTGTAACCTTTATGCTGGACAGGTAAACCGCTTTAACAAAGTAAGCCAAGTGTCTGTTACAGAAGTGTTTCTTGTCAAGCGGGACCTGCTGCATGTTGTAGCGCCGCTAAACTGTTTAGCTCAGGTCCTGGACTATGTCACTTTATCCTAGTTGTAGAAGTCCTGCAAACATCGTGTTTGCTCAGAAAAGCAATTTCGCACTTCTTTTTCTCATGATATGTCCTTTAGTATCAGAAAAATGCCATATGAACATGTAGAAAACAAGAAAAATATGATATGGGTCTTTTAGCAGTAAGTGATTGGGAAAATACAGCAAACAATAACAGTAACCTGATCTGAGCTTGTGTGCAACATCATAACACAATCCTGCTTTTTCGAGACAAATTAGTCTCAAATTCAGATCAATATTCAGACCATGAACAAATCTGCAGCTCTTACCGCACATATAAGTGATGAAATATCCCCTACTGTTGCTTTAAAAAGTAAACAGCATGTTTAAAGGATTGAAACAAAAATCTATTAATTGCATTGGCTCGACTGCTTGAAAACTAGCCAAATATACCATGATTATGCAGTTTGGGGTCAATAAGTGTTCTGCACATGCTCCACAGACAAACAGAAGGAAGTGAGGCGAGTGGAGAAGAGCAGAGGTGTGGGTGTGAGTGGGCCAAAGAGAGCTGCATCAGCAGATTAGAGTGGTAAAGGTGAGCAATGATTATAACAGTCAGATAAATGTGATTCGTTCTGAATAGGGTCATGTGTTTGTTTGTCTGTGAATGCACCGCAGAGAGTTTTTTGCTGTTTTTGTGGTTCAGTTAAGAACCCTGCAAAGTGCAATGAAATATTTCAGTCTGTAGGCTGAGAGCAGGTGGTGACCACCACCCACGTGTCCTCCACATGTAACGCACATACACACACATGCACACACTTGCAGCACAGAGGAAGCTCGGTCCTGGTGGGAGGTCTGAGGTCTCCACATTCCACAGACAAGTGTCTAGCACCTGCTAGGCCTCAGTCAGCCTTTACTGGACAACAGATTAGGACTGGTGGACACACTCCAAATCCGTTTACTTTACAGTCTGTGTGTTTGCGTGTGTGTATGTGTGTGTGTGTGTGTTTGTCATGTGCCAAAGAGAGAGAGAGGGAGGGAAAGAATTTGAATCCGCTTCCTGAGGAAATTTATTGTGGCACAAACTGAAATACTTAGTCACACTGTCAGACATCAAACTATCCTCAGATTGTGTGAAAAGCTGAAAGCTGATTCGATAGGAACACGAAAAGAAGTTTCTGCGTTACACAACTTTCTACAGGAAAGAGAAAACGACAAACTACAGAGGAGCCGAGTAAATCCTTTCAGGGATAATAGACTCACCTAGTCTCACATGCACACATACAGCACAACACCACAGCACTGTACACACACTAAATAGTATGCACAAAGAAATGCAAACATACCTCCAGCAGCCCATGTCTGACAGGTGCACATGTCAGTAGTTAGTTCAACCTGGATCAGAGCATTTGGTCTCGCTCTGTAGCAGCCAGGCCCCCAGGGTGTGTGTGTGTGTGTGTGTATGTGTGTGTATCTTTGTGTGTGTGATTCTAAAGGACCCGATGCTCAGTACCCAGACACTACCCATATTGTTTTCTTCAGTGGAGCTAAAAAAAGGGGAGCTGATTTACAGAGCTGTCTGGCACTGGAGCATACGGATGCATGACTGACTCAGCCTAATGGAGTTTTCAGCTTTGGATTTACACTTCTGCCGCTCTGCGTGGAGTGAAGCTGCGGATAAGTCCAAGCTGGCTGCTGCACGTCTCAGCGGTGGTTATGTTCTGTGCCATGGTGTTGTGTCGCAACTGTTTGAGTCCCTGCAAACACATCCTCAAAATGACAGAAATGACAGAAATCTATTTCTTACTCTTTTATTCTTTTTTTTTTTTTAACTTGAGGGCATCCATACTTCTTAATAAGACACTTTACATGCAAGTAATTGAGGTTAGAAAGCGTTCATCTTTAAAGTTTATGTTAGGAACTTAAAGCGTCAACTTTGGCGCCCCCTGTGGACAAAATAGTCTTTGCACTGATCGTAAATAGTCTAAAGTATTGTTTATTATGAATATTTTATGTGGAAATTGCAGAAGCATCATGTTCAGCTCATGTTTGATTTTCCGTCTCATGAAAAGACATCAGGTCTAATTTAAGTCTATTTCACAAATATCTGAAAATTCCTCTCCGGAGCTTTAATTTCAAGTAAGAAAATTCCCATTTAGCACAAAAAACAAGGAAATCTAAAACCCTAAAGATACTGTATTATTTTTGACAACATTAAAACAGCAAATTTACAACCAACAAATGAAAAACAAAATTACTGAACTTGAGTGAACCTTTTAATGTGGACGGAATAATAATTGGCTCAATAAGGGACTTTTGGATTTCTATCCAGCTATCTGAAATTGTTTTTCCACACAACATAACCAAAATTAAATTAAGACACAAGCCAGTAACTGTTTTAGATTTAATTTGATGTTAACAGCTGATGAAAACTGCAAAAAATATATATATATACTGGTGGTGCCATGATAATACCAATCCTATCAATCAGTCTGATTAATCTGTCTATCTCTGCGGATTAATATATTGTTTGGATTGTTCGATTAATATGAATAATGTTCAGCTTTTCTTTCATTAAATATAAATACAGGACCAGATTTTTTTTATATTTAATCTTAAATAAAATAATCCCAGGTTACTTTTATTTGTTCCCACAAGCCCAACATGGTCTCTTTTTCTAAAGGAACTGTCATTTCATTGTGACCCAGAAAAGCAGAATTGATTATGCTGGGAATCAAACATTAGCGTGTTAACTGGACCTAAATCAGTTTTGTGTGTCGGATTGCTGGACTGCCATCAGGGCAGCACTGTGTAACTACATGCAGCTGCCCACAAACGCTGGCTTCAACAAATTACCCATTTCACAGCTCACAAAGCATTTAGCCGCCAAACTATGTGGATGAGTCCATTCCTGTGCTTTTGGAAGGACACAGTCTCATGTGAATGTTGTACCTCTCTCAGGAGGCCCGGTGTCATTGAGCCATTTTGAACACAACTTAAACTATTTGGTAAAGCTAAGTTTTCTCTAAAGAAGACCCCTGGTTCTGTTTCACTTAGTACTTCTTCACTTTTTATTTACAATTATCGATGACTTCACTTTTTAATGATATGTTTGTATTTCAAAAGTCAAAATGACTCTAAAATAAAGGCTAGGACAGAAAAATATTGAGAACTGGTTTCAAGTGAACTAAAAAGTCCTCAGCTGGGACGATCAGTTCCCAAATAAAAACCCCGAGAGCTGATTTACTAGCCTGCTTCAGTGTAATCTCTCCAAGAAGATAGCTCAAAAATATTGATGAATTCAACTTGAGAACAAAAAGTTCAACCAAAGAAATCAATCTGTCAGTTCACTTATTTTTTTTTTTGTCCCTAGACCTTCACAGCTAAAAGAAAATCCTGGACTTTCAAAGAGGGACTCGAGGACCAGCTCTCAACTGTGTAAGTGCAAACCATGAGCAGCCGCTTGAATCCAGTTATCCTTTATAATTCCTTCGTTTGTCAGGGGACGTAAAAAAGTCAAGGCGTAATAGCCCTCGGTTGAAGCTCTGGTGCGGATTCAACTGATAGCAGCGGCTAATGATGCTATATGACCCTGAAACTGATTTCCTTAATCCACTTACATTTCTTTAGATTCAACGGTAAGCCTATTAGGCTATAGAGCTGTTGTGAATGGTGCAATAAGTGCTGCAAAGTAACAAGGAAGAAAACAATGCCTTTCAGGATGCAGTATAGAAAAAAGAAAACTTGACTAAAATGAATGATTTCTTCATCACCTGCTGCATTAAACCCGAGTTCGTCTCGGGGGGGGGGGGGGTTCTAAACCAAAGTAGACAGGAAAAAACAGTAGGATCAAGGTCTCTGCCTATAATTACAACAATAGCAGAGTCGCTCCTGTCCCCAGTGGAGGCTCCAAGGCATCACTCCCTATCCCTTCATATTGTATAAAGACTGTTCTATCAGCCCTGGAACGGCATCATTGCTTGTAAATTAATTTGGGGTTCCTGTCAGTCGGGGCCTTTTCCTCTCTTATCTGGCGGTGTAATATAGGAAGCTGAGAGGCTCAGGAGATACTGTTGAGAGCGCTGGAGGAGAGGGAGAAGAGAGGGGGATGCGGGGGGGAGGTGGAAGTGAGTATTAAAGAGAAGAAAGATAGATAAAAGGAAAGAGAGATGCAAGGACAAAACAAGAGAAGCGAGTGAGAGAAGCCAATAGCAACCCCGCTGGATGTCAGGGGCAGATTCGAGGAAGGGCCTGACTCAGTGATAAGTGAATATGGTTTGCCGTCCTATTTTCCACGCAGGCACACACAAGCTATTTGTCATCCAGACTGGACTCTCCGCCAAGAGGCCTTCACCTATCAGCACTATTTGTCCCTGTGTCACAGCCAGCGGATAAATCTTCTCCAGCAGATCCTTGTTTAAATCCACCCTCTATTACCAGAGGTCCAGCCCTCTCATGGCCATATGTGCCAGACACACACAGACATATACACACCCCTGACCCCTTCAGTTGTTTCTAATTAACCCCTCACCCGCTGTATGTAGCCTCAATTCCCTAATGGCAATAAATAGGCCTGACTAAAATCCCATTAGTGGTTGGAGTCATGATGGCAAATTAGTAGAGCATTGACTAAACGCTGGGATGGCGCTGAGGCGAGGCTCGGTCTGTGCATTATATTTAATCTGGGAGGAATTTTTCTGATATATAGATATATTGAGAATGATCCAAGAAAACAACAGAGATGATAAAAACAATATTCTTAATATGGCGGTGCATGTAACATATATAGTATAAGTCAGGTAGAAAATGTAGGAATAGAGAAACAATGGTGGATGCAGTTTCTTGCAAAAAAAAGGGGATAGCTGGATCTTTATTGTCTTATCTTTTTTGTTTTGTTTTGGACAAGCTGAGATGTTGAAACAGATTTTAATAAGCACACATCAGTATAAAATAGACCCGTTCAGTTTTGCGTCAGCTTTTACACCAAAAATAAATTAAAACAGAAAGAAAACCCAGAAAACCTATCTCAATAGAATATAATTATGAAGCATATTCACCTAAAAGTTACAGATAGCTATTTAGCTCATTTTTATGCACGCTGCAAACTATAAAGCCAAATGTGAGGGCATTTTCAGTCGTCTATGTTGAAAACAGTCAATGTGTGCAGCAAGACCACAAACATTACAGCGTGTAATTACCATCAATAGTCTTTCCAGAGAGTGTATGAAGCGCATAACTTCACTGTGTTATTTGGAGAGTTAAAGGACATAGTAGAAACTAATTACATCTATGTTGCTGTGTGTAAACAATCATTATTTTTACTCTGCATTTCCACATTAAACAAAAAAAGCATTTTCTTTTTCATGTGGGCGACCGAGACTGTCACAGCAGGAGAAAACCTCCTGTTATTCCACGCTCACAAGAAACAATACAAGCCTGGAATTTGGATGAACATACATTGGGCAGACCTCCAGCATGGCAAAAACACCAGAGGCTATTTAAGCCAATAAACAATAAGACATGCATCATCTAGTGTGGCCAGTTCTGCATGGTTGGGATGGAAACCACAAGAAAAATTGGTCTCCAAGCAAAAGCCCGGAGTATAGAGGTAAACAGGATGGATGGTTTATTCAGACAAATAAAACACTGTCCCTGACATTTTTATGCTGATTTTTAAGGTCATATTTTAGAAGTTAGTGCAAGAGAAGAAGATCAAACAACTCGACATTAGGGTTTTAAAAAGGCAGCAGAAAATATGAGTGAACACTACTAAGGATTTAATTAAGTTGAGTTGAAAGGTTGTGTATTAAAACAGAAAAAAAAAGTATCCAAACTAGATTCATGCAAATATGATAATATATAAAAGTGATCATCTCTTTTGAGGAGGGCCGTGCCGGCACAGTCTCGGATTCCTTGTCATCTAGTGCCACCCTGTGGCCGTCTACAAACACAGACATCACCATGCACAAAATGACTTTCACTTGCAACACATTCAACCTTCACATCCACAATCCGAACATGCTTTGCACAAGCATCACAAATTCCAACACAAGGCAAATCAAGCACAAAAGTATGTATTGCTCTTTATCTTATTTTTTTTCCTAATTTAACATAACTTATAACTTTAACATAACACAAGCTCTACTGTTGAATTTTAACCTCAAGCACAGAAGATGTCTCTCATTAATATAAACATGACTTGACCAGGCAATGAGATACTCCACATCTTTTTAGTTTTCTTCTTCTATCTTGTGACCCCATGAAAAACAATAAAAACCAGGACATTTTTATCACTTTATAAAAAGACAAACAGGACAGCCAGATACAGGATGTAAACACAGGGTATGTCCTGGGAAAACAGGATGTTTGGTCACCCTACCTAAACTCAAGAGCAAAACCTTTCTCTTACCTGATGTAGAGTTGACCCCCAGAGGCCTCAGCTTGGCTTCTTCAGCTGTCCAAGAAGAGAATAAACTGTCCTTAACTTCTTTTTCTTTTGATATTCCAATAGTGTTGGAGCAGTTTGGCATATTAAGTGTCTTATAAAAGGTACTGGGTCAAAAGTGTCCACCTGAGTCTTTTGGGCCCTCAAACAGGACTGTAATCTTCCTGTCTCAGACTCTGTGAGGGATAAACTCATATCTGCTCCATGAATTGGTGCCAGTGACCTCCATTGTAGTTGTTTTTCAAAGTTAATCCAAAGTTATATAGCCATGAACTTTGTTTTCTCTTTGTGACTCGATTTTGTGTCAACACCAAAAAAGAAAGTCTACTGCGCCCAAGAAGTTTGACGTTGTAACATTGCGAAACAGCGCCTCAAGTGACGGGAGGCTAATATAGTCCTCTTCTTAGCATTTCAGCTGAAGCCTTGTTTATACTTCTGCGTTGGAGCTACGCAGTAGAATACTCTTTTGGTCCAAAGCCCTGTGCGTAGCTGACGCGTGCGTTTAATACATATATTTTAACTAACAATTTCATAAATGGTTATTAATGCCAAATTTTGTTTATCTTTTGCCTCAATAGGCTACTGCTGTTAGATCTGACATGGAACACTAGGTGGCGCCTAAGCTTGTGTGGATCAAGGTAAGGCTCCCACTAATTGCATTTTTACCTGTCAGTGTTTTGGTGATATTACATCAGATTATATTTAATAATTTTTTTCCAGTCTCAAAAAGCAGATTTTTATGAATGTGTAAGAAAATGTTGGTCCCTTTATACTCTTGGCTGCAGCTTGCCCACTTGCAACCCTTGAGAGTCTGAGAGCCTGCAATGGCTGTCACTCAAGATTGGCATTTTTGCTGGCAGTGACATTTGTGAGGAGAAAAGGACATTCAAGCCCTATCACCTCATGGGGAATTTTACAGGTTTAGACGTAGAGAGCGCATTCCTCCAGCACCCAGAGGTTTTCTCTGATTCACATCTCAATCCAAGAGTGAGCTTTATCCTTTTTTTCTCCATATGAGGAGGGAGAGCAAAGTCACCCTAGGCCTAGACAGTCCACACATTTCCATTTTAGAGGGCGGGCATCAGGGTCGCATGTGCCCACAGGGGGACTGACCAGCACTATTTGTAGGCTACTTTGCGCACAAGTGACTGGGCCGTTTTAATGGGTCAAAACCTTTGGTTGTTTCAAGACTTGAAAATTGCCCTATCCTCCTGACTACCAGTAGCTCAAATTTGTCCTCTGTGGAGGACCATTGTAAACCTCAATATCTCCCACCCACTGCATACTACTGAATTAACTCCTTTTGGTTTCTACAGAGGACATTTAGAGCTTTTCAATGATACCAAATGTATAATACCGGTATGTATGATATTGAATATTAAATGCAACCCTTTTTGTTTGCTGAGCTGGAGATGGTGGGCAAAATTTGAATAGGGTATTCATGCATGAAATAAAATTAAATAGAATAAAACAAAACAAAAAAACTCTATTTAAAAAGTAGAGTGGGTTTTAAGAATAGACTGAGAGGAGAAGTTTTGCGGAAAGATATTATTCTAGATTGTACCTAATGTCATGACTGGTTCATTTATCTTCTTTTGACTTATTTTTTGTTTAAATTCTTTTGTTTCTGGTTATCGTTTTTATATTGATATTATCTTGATTTGTATGTACTCCATGTCATATCTTTTTCATTATGGTACTTTTCATCACCTAGAATATTGTTTGTCTTTGGTACACTAATGTAGATATTGTAGGCCATATTTATATTGCTCTTTTTTATCTTTGGTATGAACATTATTATGTAAACTCCCAGTCATTGGGGTTTTTTTTTATTGTTGCTATTTTTGTATTACAAAATTTTATTATTGATCATGCTGTACTGCATTGTATGATTCGTTTTTGTGATTGTGTGATGTTTTTTGCCTGGACCCCAGGAAGAATAGTCTCCACTGCGGTGTAGACTAATGGGGATCCTTAATAAACTAAACTAAACTAAAAAACAATAAATATATAAAGAAGATTAACTTAGAATAGCGTGTCATAAATGAAAAACAAATGTATAAATAATTCGTCCGTTTATATTTATTCTTATTTATACATAGTTTATTTTGAAAGTTTCAACAGGAAGCTGTTTTCACTAGCGTCACCCCTCCGATCACCTCGGGCAACGAGAACGAGCGTCTCCACACGCGACCACATCCAGGTGGTTTACGTGAAAGCCTGGAGGGGGGAGTGTTCCAACGTCTGTTTACCTTACGTTTTCAGGACACGTTAAGGTAAGCAAAAAAGGGGACTTTATCATACAAAATAATGATAATAAACCCTGTAGTAATAATACTAATAAAGCTCCTGCTTCAGACCCATAAAAGTCGAGTATTACCAGAGAAGTTGGGCGCAGGTAAGCCTAAAATTTTGACCGTAAACGTTGCTTTTTTTCCTCTGACCGTTAGTGATTGCTAGGCTAACGTTAGGAGGAGTAAAGATGTGATGATGGTCGAGCTCATGCCCCCCTTTTCAACCACTGCTTAGTTTTAAAGTTATTTTTGTCACTGAATAAGGCTACTTCTTTCTTTTAATGTGCATTCAGCCCTATAAACAAGATAACACCCAAATAATAATCCACTTTTTGTTCCCCGAAAGTGCACTAGTTGAGTTCCTAAGCACAAAAGGGTGGCAGGATGAGCCATCACATGTTCATGTGATTTGGTCTCCTTCTAGTTTCCTTTCTCACATAACTTAAAGCTCCAGTGAGGAACTTTTGGCACCCCATGTGTGTTAAAAAACTCATCCTGCTATCATTTATCGTGATTATTTTTTATGTGAAAAAGATAAAAACTGCTTTTCCTTCAGCTGCTTTAATGACACCTACTGCCCACACTTTTTTCAGGCATTAATAATTATGAATAGAAATCCCAGATAATGTTGCTGATGGTCTTGTTTGCTCCTGGATATCATAAAAGATCATCAATATGAATTTAGATCTCATTCATAGATGTTTAAAACTCCTCACAGGAGCTTAAATGTTGACATCTGGGTTCTTGGTTCTTGTTGGATTGCAGGAATGTGTAAAAAATGTAGGCGACAATAGGTGTTTAGGGTTTGGCCTTACTAACCTTACGCACTAACAGCCCCGATAAGCTTAAAGGTGGTCTGGAGCGTTAATGTAGTCTATTATTAGGCCAAGATAACAGTCGTAAGAAGCTAATCTGGCATCTGTGTGGGGGTTAGCCAAGATGTGGCGTGTTTGTGTGTCTCTCTTAGCCTGTGTACTCATTGTTAAGTCTAATTAAAGCACATTCAGAGAACATAGTGGAAAGGAAACAGATAGACATCTCTGCTTCTATTCATGCATGCTGTCCTGATAGGAGGTGTATGATGCTGGCGATGCAGTTGCTCAGGGGTGCAGTGAAGCATACTGGGAGAAGGCCCCAATGCAGTGTAAAGCAATTAATCCCAGTAGTACCTGGTACCACCTCAACCTCACAGCAGTTACCTGCTTTCAGAGGGACTCAGTCTTCATTCTGTGCTAACACTGACTCCGACAACCCCAGAGTCCTCATCACAGGTGGGTTTTTTTGCGCAGTGTCATCCTGGGCTGGGCGATACGAGAAAAAGTTTATCCCGATATATTTTTTTCATATCAGTCAATATCGATATATATCAGGATATAAAACATGAAATTTAGCTGCGCTTATTGGTAGCATGTCTTTTGCAATACAATAAGCTACTGCATCTTTGAGGTCTTTGTGTCTCTTCAACGTTTCGTCGTGAGGCGTTGCGCTAGGGAAAGCGGAGCCCATGGCGGCTGTTTCAGCTGCACAAGCGCCACGGGCTCCTTGCTGTTCGGGGTTTGTAGTGCTGTCAGCTTCACGTGTTAAAGTGCTATGGTTGCGTGTAGCTGCAGCTTGCTGCTAACCAGTTGTTTGCTACTTGGTTCTAATTCAGCGCATGATTGGTGCAGCACAAAGCAGACCCGGAGCAACTTCCCTTTTCATTGGCTGTTCATATAGTCTACCAAAACATGGCAGAACGCTGACTATCGAAAAGCATATTGACCATGTTTTATATCGACATTGAGGGAAATTAATTTTCGGTATATATTGTTATCGTTTTATCGCCCAGCCCTAGTGTCACCATTTGAGACCTAATTATGTATTACTGATCGTGCAAATAATTTTTCCTGCTTTTTTCATTGCTGAAGGAGGCCTTGGGCAGCTAGGGGTGGGGCTTGCAGAGTTGCTAAGGTAATGCAAATGTATCTCAATAATTTATGTTATTGTGGCGCTTACCAGCATTGTGGTTTTGTGTTTGGTAGTAGTATGCTAACAAATCAGAAACAACTCTGTCTAGTGTTTGTTATAAATTCTGTCTTAATGTGTGAAATAAAGCAAGAAAAGCTAGAAGATGGTGTAATATTCAGTGTTTACTGATTCTGTGATTTCAGTTTCTACAGCTTACCACACTGACGTTTCATCCTCAGGCAGCGGTTTGGACAAAACAATGTGATCCTGTCTGACATCAGGAAACCTTCCTATCATGTCTACCACAGTGGTGCGTAATTGCCTGTTGCCTCTTGTATGATATTTACTGTAAATCTGATTCGACTGTTGCACATTAATCTCCGCGTGTCCCACACAGGTCCATTCGTCTTTGCAGACATCCTGGACCTGAAGAACCTCAGAGAGATTGTGGTCAACAATAACATCAGCTGGCTGGTTCACTACTCAGCAGTGCTGTCCGCTGTCGGAGAGAACAATGTTGCTGTGGCCAAAGATGTCAACATCACAGGTAGATCTTGAAAGTTTAGATTACTCTGACGCTGCCATGACAGGAGATGATGTTGCAGATTAAAGATTTAGTTTTACAAGTATGTCCATCTTGCTTAATACTTATGCACAGCCTCCCTCTTTTCATAGGTCTCCATAATATATTAGACATAGCCACCGAACATGGTTTGCGTGTGTTTGTCCCCAGCACGATTGGTGCCTTCGGTCCATCCTCACCAAGAGATCTCACCCCTGATCTGTGCGTGCAGAGACCACAAACCATCTACGGTGTGTCTAAGGTTCATGCTGAGCTGATGGGTGAGGTGAGACACGTATATACTGAAAAGTTCCCCTCTTCTTTTGTTAAATTAGGGTTGAAAAACACAGACCTGTAAAATCAAGATGTTTTCTTTTTTCGGTTCATTTTCTTAGTATTACCACCACAGATACGGGCTGGATTTCCGCTGTCTGAGGTATCCAGGAATTATCTCAGCCGACTCCCAGCCTGGAGGAGGAACCACAGGTGTGACATGTGACCTACTTTGCAATCGCTTGTTGTTTTATGAATATAGATTTTCGATAAAACAGAGAAAGTAGCCTGGCTGTCCTAAAATACTAATATTTGCAGATGGTACAGCCTGACACGATTTCAGGATGTTACTAGAAGTTAGGATGTAGGAGAGGATTTTTCTGAATTAACCCGTTCATCCGTGTTTCAGACTATGCTGTCAAGATTTTTCATGCAGCTGTGAAGACTGGGAGTTTTGAGTGCAACCTTTGCAGTGGCACACAGCTGCCAATGATGTACATCGGTAACTCCTGTTATCAAACTGTCATACTTCTCTTTATAGTCCATTTTTGATTTTTCCTTCACTTACTCACCTGAATATACGCATCCCTTCTTTTTTACCCTCCTCTCCTGTGCAGATGACTGTCTTAGAGCTACTCTGGAGGTCCTCGAGGCCCCAGCAGACAACCTTGCCAGCCGCACTTATAACATCCATGCAATGAGCTTCACACCACAAAGCCTCACGCAGGAGATACAGAAAGCTGTGCCCCACTTTAAGACCACCTATGACGTGGATCCGGTTCTGCAGGCTATAGGTGAGACTGAACTGTTGCAGCAAATACAGGGGAAGCTGTAGACCCAGGAATTTCAAATATCACTGTGTGTCTTCTTAGCTGATAGCTGGCCAATGGCATTAGATGACAGCGCGGCGAGGCGGGACTGGGGCTGGAAGCACAAATACGACCTCCCAGAGCTGGTGAAGACCATGCTGAGTCATATCACTGTGAGCAACCGGCGAGCACAAGACTTCTGAGCGCTCTTCCTGTCTTCTAAATGGAGCAACTCCATGTAATTTTTCTAAAGTGATACTGAGGATCTGAGTGCATTTTAACACCGCACTATAAACCAACAAAGAAGAAATGCTGTTGCAAAACCACAAAATCTACCTCAAGTCAACATCCATATGTCACCTTCTTATTCTCTTTATCTATTGCCAGATTTTGTGTGAAATTAATTTTGCTGTCAATGTGCAAGTTAATGCACTTCAAAAGACTTTGACGTTTGCTTTTATTTAATATAATTTCAAAACAAGATGACTTTGTTTACTTGAACATTTTAGCAGGTAAACCTTAGGCGGCGTTCCTGCTATCCTAAAAACAAGGTGACTTAGAAACACTTAAACTGGTCACCAGTATGTACTGTAACTACGAGTACTGAAAGACGCTAGTACCACTTAGGTGTGTCTTTTAAGGAATTGTTTGTATGCTGTTGTCCTTCTGTGCTATCTATAGTTGGTTTTTCAGAAAGGAAAACTCAATAGAGTGAGAATGTACTGTTATATTAATGTCAGATACACTGTGTGTAATAAAGTGAAATGGGCAGGAGCTTAAATTGTCTCATAATGTTTGTTATTCATAATATGTTCATTGTAGTGTTTTTTTTTCAATAAAAAAAGTAACAGATATTTACAGATTGACAAATTTATTAGCACCCACACGTGAAAAACTGTAAGATGTTTGGTTTACATACTTAAATTGTCTTTATTAACCTTGGTTCTGTCCTCTCAGACCTTTTCTTGACACCCTCTTATCTTTTCTTGAGTTTGCACTTGCCCTCACTGGTGTGCCGGGATTGGAAACAACAGGATTAGGGTGCCCCCCTGTGGTCAATGCTGCCTGCTGCAGTTTGATCCCATGGATGTCACTGAGCAGAGAAGCTTCTTGGGTCAGACTTGCTAGCATCTGGTCTGATGCGGCCCCCACTGTGGTTCGCACCACTTCCAAAAGCCCCTTCACAAAATGGCAGAGACAGGTAATGAAAAGCTTCACCGAATACCTTCATTTTTCATTCCTTAATGCACAGGTGTCAAACTCAAGGCCCGGGGGCCAAATCTGGCCCATGGCACAATTATATCTGGCCCACAAGATCATCTCATATTTGTATTATTATTGGCCCACCAGTATGAAGTCTGCAGATTTCCTCCAGTATAATAATGTAAACTTTAGCATCATAAGCCACGAAAATCTCGGAAATTAAAGAGTAAGGAAGATTTGATAAATAGTCAAGAATGTGGGAAAAAATATTTGGTGTTTTATTCATGTTTTCAATTTTGCATTTCAAGATTACAAGTCAAACATGATTGGATTTTTTATTTCACGCTTTGATTTTGTTCAACTCAGTATTTAGATTTATGTCATTTTTATACTTTAGATTCCAATTTTAAATTTTTAAGTCATATTTTGACCTTTTATACCTGATTTCAACGTTCTCCTCATGTATTTGCTCTTTAAAAGCATTATTTTCATTATTTTTCTATTTTTAATATCATGCTCTGATCTTTTGAACTAATAAGTAAAAATAGAATAAAAAATTAAAATAAAATAATTTTTTTCTATCTCAGGTTGCCTTTAAACTTATCTTTTTATCTTTTTTTAATTTCCAAATGATTTATAATCATTGCTGTTTTGTTTTGCATAGTTTTTTAAAAGGAGGTAGACAGTTTTGGTGAAATGTTAACCCTGTTTGGCCCTCAGGTTGGACCTAAATCCAGATTATGGCCCTTGCTGTGGTTGAGTTTGACACCCCTGCCTTAATGGGTCTCACCTTTTCATCCAGTTCCACACCTTCAGGAACATCCAAGTCCCCTAGAGTGACCCTTGGGCCTTCTCTGAGATCCCTGAGCTCCTCCACTTTCTGATCTAGCTGTTTGGTCAGCTGGGCTTGATGTTGCTGACGCTCCCACTCATGCAGATCCATTCCCTAAAGCACAACATTAAGAGTGGCGTGCACTGGTTTTAGATATTCAAGCTCAAATTTATATGATCCTCATGTAAAGCTGGTGTTTCTTCTGTTGGTAAGTTTCATCACCTGTGCTAAGGGGCAGGGTGTAGGCGGCAGCTGCACCTCCAGGGCCTCCAGTAGCTGAGGTGTGGGCACTCCGCTCACCACCGCGTTGAAGAGCCTAGTTTGGGTGATGCAGAAGTTTATGAGGAAGCTCGAGAACTGGTGTCGCTGGACAGGGGTTATATTTGGGAAACCCTCAGACAGTGCATCCAAAAACAGGGCTATAAGGTCGGGCTTGTTGAGACCTAAAGGATGGAGGACAGAGACATTCAAAGCTTAAGGTGAGCTCTTCTCAACTTCTTCTGGAGTTTAGAGCCTCTAACATGAAGCAGCTCAGGCAGCAGAGTCACACATGAGCTCTGAGCTCTGGGAGACTTATGCTGACAGAGCTCCAGCAGTGAGCAGGTTTCAGCCTCAGAGACCACCAGGTCCAAGTTGAGACATTTTCCCCCTACGGTCAAAAAGACCTTTATCAAATTTTTTTTCTTTTTTTTTTCAGTTTAATTTTATTTTTTTTGCCATAGACACAGTCAGAACAATCTGTAGAAATGCAGCAAAAAACAAAGAATTATGGAAAAATTACAAATTGACTGACATAGAGGAGGATCTACATAAGTTTTTAACAACATGTTTTATATCATGCATCATTAACATCATGTTTTTTTTTTGTAGTGGCATAAATAAAATGTGACATTAGTGAGACTTTACATTTTTTTGTAAATAGTTGTGCAAAAAACGCCTGAGGCATTACCTGCATTTTAGGATAACTAATGGTAAATTACTATGTTACTTGCTAAAACTGTATATATGTTTTGAAGTTTACAATTTATATTTGCATTCTAAGTTATAAAAATGGTATGTTGAACATATTTGTGGTTTTCACAGTAAAAAAATTTACTTTTTCCCACTCAGATTTTGTTGTTTGTGTGTGAATTTAGGTCCTCTTTGCTAATACAGTATGTCAAAATGATAAAATATTCACACAGGTGAGGTTGTGCTGTAAAAAAAATGATACCAAGCGAGGCAAGATAAACAGTTTTTAAGAGGAAATATAAAGGTAAAATCAAAAGAAGTCAAAAACAGCCAATTATACCCCAGTCTATAGAGGGTTAAATTAGTAACCAGCCAATCTAAAATGTCACTCTTTTGTTGTGTTATTTACTGACCCTTCAGTTTTGGAAAGATGTGTTTAGCCATCACAGCTGCCCGGATCACATTAGGCCAGGAGAGGCCACAGGTTGAAGCAAACATGGCGACATCGTACACAAACTCCTGATGTAAACTCTGCCGATCATCATCACAGAACTCCGTCCAGGAGAAGTGGCTGCTGAGCCTCTGCAAACCCACATCTCTCTAACAAGGTCGTACAAACAAAAACAACACATAATACGCCTGTTTCTATTCAGTGTCATAATATCAGAGCCATGAATTTTAATCAAAACTTACCTGTTGTCTTGCTATGAGTGATATTTCACTAACTGTGAGGGAGTCCATCCTGGAGAAACGGCTCACGCTTGTCTTGTTACCACTGGAAACGGACGCGGGTGCGTAGGAGGGGCTTGCGGCGTCTGCTCTCAACGCGTTTACGTCATGGTAGGTTGCGCGTCACCAGGTCCAGACCCGTACAAGCAGGGCGGAAAGTCTGAGACCTCTAAAAGATTAGTGGACTGACATTAATTTACATATTTAAGGTTGAAAGTTTTGGTGAAATGTTAACCCTGTTTGGCCCTCTGGTTAGACCTAAATCCAGATTATGGCCCTTGCTGTGGTTGAGTTTGACACCCCTGCCTTAATGGGTCTCACCTTTTCATCCAGTTCCACACCTTCAGGAACATTCAAGTTCCCTAGAGTGACCCTTGGTCCTTTTTTCAATTTTAAGGCATTTTTTTAAGTCATGTTATACGTGATTTTAACATTCTCCTCATGTATTTGCTCTTTAAAAGCGTTATTTTTCTATTTTTAATACCACGCCCTGATTTTTTTGAACTAATAAATAAAAATAGAATTAAAAAAATGCACTTTTTCTATCTCAGATTGCCTTTAAACTTATCTTTTTATCTTTTTTTAATTTCCAAATGATTTATAATCATTGCTGTGGACTAAAAAACAAACAATTAAATAAAAAATGTTTTCACTGAAACAAACGTTATCTCCATGCTCACAGGCTGCATTTCAATGAAATAGAAAAACTGTGACAAAAGTCAACGATGAAAATAATTTGTTTTTCATCACATTTGTACTGCATATACTATCGCTCACGCTCGCGTGTCACGGGCAGCCATGGTAACAGAGCGGTGACGCGCTCGTGGTTGCCTATAGATTTGGAATGTTTGATATTTTCAAATAATACGCACTGGACCTTTGGCCGATTAGCACGCAACTTTGAAGAGAGAACTTTGAGAGAACTGAGATTTGGAAAAGCTAACATCAAGTGGACACCAAACGCCCAGACTGACCGAGAAAAAGAAAACCAAAAACAACCATAGACAGTATATACTAGTACACACACACACACACACACACACACACACACACACACACACACACACACACACACACACACATATATATATATATATATATTACCTCTTGCTTAGGTATAGAAAGATTGTATAGATAGATATAGCTATAGATACACTATATAGATATAGATATAGATACACTATATATACAGTACATACACTTTTGTCTTATATGGTCTCCTGAGCTCCTACTGTTTCGTGAGGATGAAAAAAAGTAAGTACAAGCTTCTGAATCTGTTTCAGAATCCTCTCACATTTGGTATTCAGTGATAAAATACTAACTTCCTATCGGCTCATCTTTGTTCAATTTATGTTGTTGCTGTCATTGTGTCCTATATTGTTGTCACATTAATTCAAAGAGGTTTTGACTGTTTTACTTACACTTCAATATCATTGTCTCTCTCCCACCTGAGCGGCTGTGTGCCTCAACACACACAAAAGTTTAAGCATTTGATTCAGACCAATAAATCTAATATCAATTCTATTTATTGAATAATGGTTTCATGACCTTCTCACTAACCAATCTTTGTCTTTCTTCTCCAGGACACCGAGGATGAAGAAAGTAAGTACAAGCTTCTTAATCTGTTTCATATCATTAATTGATCAATAGTTTTACGACTTTCTTGCTAACCGATCTTTGTCTTATCTCACTTTTGTCTTACATGGTCTCCTGAAATCCTCCTGGTTTTGTGAGGATGAAGAAAGTAGAAATAAGAAAGTAAGTACAAGCTTCTGAATCTGTTTCATATCATTAATAGTTTAATAGTTTTATGACTTTCTTGCTAACCGATCTTTGTCTTATCTCACTTTTGTCTAACATGGTCTCCTGAAATCCTCCTGGTTTCGTGAGGATGAAGAAAGTAGGATGACGAAAGCAGGTACAAGCTTCTGAATCTGTTTCATATCATTTATTGATCAATAGTTTTATGACTTTCTTGCTAACCAATCTTTGTCTTATCTCACTTTTGTCTTACATGGTCTCCTGAAATCCTCCTGGTTTCGTGAGGATGAAGAAAGTAGGAATTAGAAAGTAAGTACAAGCTTCTGAATCTGTTTCATATCATTTATTGATCAATAGTTTTATGACTTTCTTGCTAACCAATCTTTGTCTTATCTCACTTTTGTCTTACATGGTCTCCTGAAATCCTCCTGGTTTCGTGAGGATGAAGAAAGTAGGAATTAGAAAGTAAGTACAAGCTTCTGAATCTGTTTCATATCATTTATTGATCAATAGTTTTACGACTTTCTTGCTAACCGATCTTTGTCTTATCTCACTTTTGTCTTACATGGTCTCCTGAAATCCTCCTGGTTCGTGAGGATGAAGAAAGTAGGATGAAGAAAGTAAGTACAAGCTTCTGAATCTGTTTCATATCATTTATTGATCAATAGTTTTACGACTTTCTTGCTAACCGATCTTTGTCTTATCTCACTTTTGTCTTACATGGTCTCCTGAAATCCTCCTGGTTTTGTGAGGATGAAGAAAGTAGAAATAAGAAAGTAAGTACAAGCTTCTGAATCTGTTTATATCATAAATAGTCTAATAGTTTCATGACTAACTTGCTAACCGATCTTTGTCTTATCTCACTTTTGTCTTACATGGTCTCCTGAAATCCTCCTCGTTCGTGAGGATGAAGAAAGTAAGTACAAGCTTCTGAATCTCTTTCACATAATTTATTGATCAATAGTTTTATGATTAACTTGCTAACCGATCTTTGTCTTATCTCACTTTTGTCTTACATGGTCTCCTGAGCTGTCCTGAGGACAAAAAATGTTAGTTCCAGTTACTTTACCTGGACAAGACAGAAGAAAGAAGACAGAAGACAAGAAAGAAGACAAAACAGGACAAAGCAGACGAGAAAGAAGCCTTCACAGCGTATTTCTCAGCAGAGGGAGCAGTACCCTGCAAAGCAACAAACCAAAACGGCTCTTTTACGAGCCACCAACTTATTACTACTTACTAAAAGTCCTGTAATGTTATATTCTTTCAGTACCACAAGCATTTCATATCTATGTGCTAATAAAAACATGCAGCAAAAGTCCTGTGTAAGCCCACAATGTAAATATGGAGATACTTACGCAGCAGAGGTCCAGTGTAAGTCCAAGATATATATAAATATAAATATGAGGCAGAGGTCCTGTTTAAATTCACAATATAAATATAAGATTAATATGTATATAGAAATGTAACAGAGCTCCTGTGTAAGTCAACAATGTAAACATAAATATAAATATGTAGCAGAGGGCCTGTGTAAGTCCACAATGTAAACATAAATATAAATATGTAGCAGAGGTCCTGTGTAGGTCCACAATAAAATTTAAATATAGATATAAATATTAATATAAATATGCAGCAGGGGTCCTGTGTAAGTCCACAACATAGATTTAAATATTAATATCAAGCAAAAGTTCTGCAGTATTATATCCTATCAGTACCACAAGCAATTCATTTTAATGTGCAGATAAAACATGCAGCAAAAGTCCTGTGTAAGTCCAGGATACAAATGAATATGATGCAGAGGTCCTGTGTTAGTCCACAATATAAATTTAAATATAGATATAAATATAAATGTGCAGCAGAGGTCCTATATTAAGTCCACAATATAAACTTAAATATAGAAATAAATATGCAGCAGAAGTCCTGCGTAAGTCCACAATATAAACTTCAATATAGATATAAATATAAATATAAATGTGCAGCAGAGGTCCTGTGTTAGTCCAGAAGAAGTGGGTATGTCTTGGGTATGCTTCATATTACTGCACTCAGCTAAGGCATGCAGCCACACTGTTGCAGAGGAGCTCACTAGCAGCATACTCCATCTTGTGGCAAAAGTGGGTAATAACACTGATTGTGTTTTTTTTTTTTTTTTTTTTTTTTCCTCTGATCAAGGTTTGACCAGGGGGTTGGTTAAAGTTATACACAGCAATATTAAAGCAGGTGTCACACTCTATGCGGGTAACTATTGAGGGCTGAATGTGAAACTGCTCAGAAGTGTTGTGATGCAGAGAAAAACCTCTTTATTTTTCCCTGTAATCAGCCATCTAACACATTCATACAGTAAAGATGATAAAGTCACACTGCACCAGTGATATTACTCTGTGATGCTCCAAAACATCAAAGACATAGAGATAGACTACACTACTGCCTGGCTTTGATTACATGGAAATCAAGCTTTGTGCACAGTTTAGACCAGGACTCCAACTAGTGTTCAAACTCTGAATTACAACCGTTTTCCAAAACATGCAGTCATGTGTTACTGGTAAGAGGGACCAAATACACCATGTAGTAGGCCTACCAAAAACATATCTTAGTATGTTTTATTTTAGTAAAAATATTTAGTAAAAGTCTTAGTAATTTCCCGAATTAGGCTGATTAATAATCTACCTGAATTTTAAGGCCTTTTTCTTTCAAATTTAAAACAGTTATTGAAATTTAAGGTTGGTCTTTGAGTTTAAAGGCAGAAAGCACAGAAGCTATCCTGTAGATTTATCCAGATTTAGACAATCTGTCCGGACAGCTTTAATCCTCTTTAACGTGAATCCCACTCCCCATTTTATATCACCTTACCTCCATCTGTCTGCTTTTATCATTTTATTTTTTGTGTCTCTGAAAAAAAGAAGGGGAAAAAACCCTTAGAGAGGAAAAATAAATGACAAAATAAAACAAATTTTCTTTTTTTAAATAGTACACTAATACTTTAATTTGAAACATATGCTGGGTCTTATTTTGAAATTCAAAATCCGAGTGCTTCCTGTTGTTAAGCCGTTGACTTCACATCATATCCACTAAGTAGCCTGTCTACCGGCCCGCACTGAGCTTACTGATGTTTCAGTCCACTGCAGGTGGTCAGACAAATAAAAAAATCATAATCTAACATCACTCCTTCACTTATGGATCTATAACCAGACGGTTATCTTCAATCCGGCATGCGTTCATCTCGGTAAGACTGTCTTTTCTCCAAACTCTTGTTGCATTCCTGTATTTAAAGAGTTAAAACGAGCATAGTGATGCTCTCTAATCCTCTGTTTTGTATCCGAGTTGTTTCTGTTTTCAAGTCATGGTGTCATCTTTAGGGCTACCTATTTAAGGGTCCATTATGCATAATCAATCTATATGTTTCTACGTGTGTGTGTAATGACACCTGTTGATGTGATTAGAGGCTTGAATAAGGGATTTAACATGCACAGAGAGGAGTAAGAGGACTATTAGCATTATGGGACACATGATATAATCTCCTTATTGCTGTCTTTTCTTGTTCTGCAAACTGAACCAACAACTCTTAAAGGCACTATAAGGAGTGTTTTTTTTAACTGGTTGGGAAACAGACTCAAACTAATACCAATGCTTCTGTAAGGCTTTCAGAAATAGTATAATTTATAATAATGATTATTTTAAATGCTGAAAACGCAGTGAGGGTGTGGATGACAAAACCAGATAATTTACAGGAACTTTTTATTTAGCAAATACTCACAGTGAGTGCTACACTTCATTGTTGACATTGATGTATGAGACGATAATAAACAGATATCCCTTTGAACCAAAAGTTACTCACAGCAGCTTTAATGTGTAAACTATCCTCCGTTTACTCAAAAGCAAAGAGGGTGTGATATATTGAACAGTATCTAAATTATGCACCTGATTAGAAAGACAAAAATAAGGCTATGGTCACACTGCAGATAAATTCCGATTTTTTTAACCAAATGTGACACATATCTGATTTTTTCATCGAAGTGTGAACAGTGCAATTCTGATTTTTTCAAATCCGACCCAGGCCTCTTTTGATATAAATTGGATATGTATCTGTGACTGCAGTGTGGACACTTTGGCACATTCATCCGACCTCTACGTCATCAATATGCGACAAACGTCACCATTGTTCGACAACACAAACAGGTGCGGAAAGCAATTTGTGCACTTCACAGACGCATTCCGTTCACATTAGACGGTGCATTCGTTGTTGTAATGTGAACGACCGCACAAAAAGATCGGATTTAACAAAAAATCCAAATTGTGCATCATAACCTGCAGTATGAACGTAGCCTAATTCATCATGGTAATGAAATCAATCAACTCACCTTAAAGCTCCTGTGAGTAACTTTCAACTGATGTTTATTTGGCGCGCCCTGTGGACAGATAACACCTCATATATCTTTGATGACTTCATCCTGGACATTAGTGAGTCCTATTACCTGAAAAAAGAAGATATTCTGCTTTTTTTTTTTTAACAGTCAGTTATTGTAAAAGGTTAACTTCACTATGTGTAAACAGCCACCTTGACACATACCCCTTAAAACTTAACTACAGGCATTCCAGTCACTTTATTTACAATCTTTTCTCCTTTAGTGGGTCACAAGGAGGCATCACTGTTAAGGTCCTTACACACCGGGGCCGATGCGAATATAGAACGCGAAATTACAAAATATTCAGAGGCGAATTTTGATGCGCTCAACTATACACATCAAGCCCGGTGCGATTTTGCGACTTTCCGGGGGGAAAAAGACGCATCCCGGGGAAGACCCGCCTCCTTTGCCCCTGATTGGCTAGAAAAGCTGTAAACGTCATCACACGCTCAAGCCAAACAGTCAGCACTTATAGCCAATCAGAGGCAAAAAGGAGGGCAGGACCTTCCCTCACCATCCTACAGCATTCTACAGTTCTGATTAGTCACTAGTGTTGAGATGGCTTTCTGTCATGATAGCATGTACTGAGTCGGGGCCAGTACCAGATAAGCACATGAAACTATGGTAACAACTGTTAGCTAACGTTAGCACAGATGAAAGTTAAAACAAAGGCGTTTAGCAAACTGTTACAAGCACACAAACCATCTTCATATGAGAAATCCGACGCTACAAGTTGTCCTTCAGGTCGTTATCTTTGTAATATTTGTGTCTTTTATCAAAAAGCACTCTGTTCTCCGACACATAAACAATCAGCTGGTCAGATATGTCGGATATACCGGTGAATCAGACATCGCAACAACACGAAATCTGATTGATCAGAAGTGGACACACAGTATGCGAAACTTTAGAAAATTCTACCGTGATCCGAAAAAATAAATGCCGCAATATCGCAGGATGGGAAAATGTCGCTGATGTGAACGCTTGTATTGCCAGGATACGGGTTCGAAAAAAATATTGTGTGAAAGGACCTTAACCTTCAGTCACTTTGTAAAAACTTTGAACAGGAGCTTTAAATCAACTCTTTACATAAATTAGGAGTTCCTTGGAAAGACAATAATTCTCTTGAATAAACTGTAAAATATGGTTCTTATTCCGTACTGAAGCATAAGACTCACATTTACTTTATAAAGTATTAAAATTATACAAAAAGCAACAGTTAATGCTAGCTTTAGAACTTTTATGACTTCAATATTTCCCTCATTATCTATCAGCTATCGATCCACCTGCTCTCACAATGATCCACAGTGTCAGTATTCACCATTGAAAAGGCCCAACACTCTAACTCCACCTGCAGGTGATTCAACTGTTTCACATTTGCCTTTACTTTAGCCGTCCAAAAATAAAACCTTACAACACCTCTGCACCTAAATCATTACGCAGCTATTTGTGTTCAATGAGAATGTTTGACACACAGTTTTGTTCAATGCAAAAGGGGTCAGAGATTAAATTATGTGTATAGACGACTAACTTGTAAAGAGCTCTCTGCCATTGATTTTTAATACAACCAGCATGGATTGACACACTTTAATCAGAGCAGTTGGTGTTTCAGTAATGTTTTCAACAGAAGAGGCCCCCTGCTGACTGACAGATTGTCTTTAATTAAAATCCTCCCCGACATGAGTGTATGTGTGCGCATTGAGAAGAAAACATAGAGGGAGATAATAGAGAGCATAGAGAGGAAGAGCAAAGCTGATTTTAAAGTGAAACCTTCACACAAGTTTTTACACGATGTCCAAAATGCTTTTTAAAAAAACGTGTTTTTCAAAAGAGGACTTTTTTTTTCTACAATTTGCATCATCTCCTGCTCTTCATAATGCAACTCGAACATCAGTGCATCAGAATAGCAAACAAGCATGTCCTTCTTCTCAGGTCAGGTGTATCGTGCAAAAGAACAGCCCTCGTCTTGCCTCCATCTTGGCCTCACCATAGCAACCCCCCTCCTTTCCCCACACACACAGGTTCTTAAGCAGGCTTTTGGTTCTATCCTTAGCCTCTTTCTCTCTCTCTCCACCCTCCTTCCCGTCTTCACCTCTCTCCTTATTCCTCCTCCCTCAATCCACCCCCTCCCCTCCCTATGCGCCTGATTACTGACTGCCATTTTACCTTGAGAGCTGTAGAACCAGGGGCTCTCGGCTGCACATCCATAGCTTTAGAGATAGCAACGCAGATTCAAACATTTGCTGACTCCTGGTCTGACTTGACTGGTCAGACTTGACTTGGAATAGTCCTCTACGGTTTTCTCAGACCTCTTTGGACCATGTTTCCTGAACATGTGAGTAGTATGTTTTATAAAGAGGAATTAAAAGGTAAATTAGAGTTGTAGTTCAAGTGCTAAAACTCTTGCAACCTGTGTGTTTTATCTGATTAGGCTGCTGTTGAATATGAGCATTGAAGAACTGCATGTATACTTTTAGGACTCAGCTTAGAGTTTAATTGAAAGATAACTTCTTAACCTTTCTAATTTAATCATGAATTTAATCTAAAGCTACAAGCTGTAAATTCTCTTTAGCATCTGTTTATTTTAAAATAAAACACCCTCTCTTCTTTTGCTCTCTAACAATGCCAAACATCTTCAACAAGTCTATTTAAACCCAGTCAAAATGAGCTTCAGGAACTATTTCTTCGTGCTTCTTCATCTTGGAGACTAACAGTTGGTGACCATGGCCTGTCTTGAACTTGTGTTTTAATATTTGGTAAATTTGTTTCAAATTTGTTGCAAACGTTATAAAATACAGGGCTGGTATTTTAAGAGTAAAGTTGTGAAGAGAGACAGAGCTAAATGGATTAGGAGGCAGAGTGTCACGTTGGGGGTGTCTACAGCCAACAGCAGTGATTTGGCCCCCTGTCTGTACTCATGGGGCTTAAAAGCCCGCTAAGCCTGCTTTTTGTAACTTTTATTTAAAGTCTGCAAAAAGAAAAAAGTTCTAAATCAACAGTATTCTCCTGCTAAAAATAGCTGAACCGAGAACTGTTGAAGTATCGTTTATTCAGTTTTGGTGCAGCTCTTCTGAGGGATTTTTGGTGTTGTTGCAAGGTTCAACGAGTTGTGCATATTTTGATTATAAAGTTGAGACCTAATAAATGAAAAAATATTAAAATAAATAATAAATAATTCAGACTGGATCATTCAGACTGGATGTTGAAAGAAGGGTAGGAAGTGTGGTCTCTGTCCTGCAGGATTTTGCATGAAATTGAATTATTGCATTTATTTAAATAAATTTATTTGTAATGATTAATAATTTATTTAATTATCTATTTATTTATATATAATATAATTTTTATTTATTTAAATCCTATTGAATTTCCTCTGAGGGATTAATAAAGTTCTTCTTATTCTTATTTCTCTCTATATATAGCCAAGTGGGTGAAGCTCTGTTTTTATCATAACAATACAAATCCATAAAGCTGTATTTGATCCCGCTAACCCCCATCCAATAGCAGCAATTGACTCTTTAACATGAGTCTGATCCTGCTCAAGGTTTCTGCCTGTTAAAGGAAGTTTTTCCTCTCCACTGTAAGTCGCTAAATGCTGCAAAGTGCTTCCCTAGTTTGATTTGGAGGTGGTTGTGCTGCGAATGCCTCTCCTCCTGCTGTTGCGGTGACATTTGCAACATGCTTACGTGTAAAGTAGTCCTGTTAGTAAATGTCCTGTCCTGAATCCTCTGTCAAACACCCCCGATTATAAGTAGTGACCTCATGAGTGTGATTAGAGAGCGCTTCAACCGAAAAGAAAATGGAAATATAACCCATCAAAAGCATGGTAGTTTAATCAAATTCCTGTCCATCTAAAGAGAAATGCACTTCACTGCATTCACTACCCAAAGTATCATCTGTGTATTTGTAGAGCTGATGATACCGTTCACAAATCAAAGTGGGTGAAATTAGGTGAAATTTCCCAGCAGACCTCTGTGTGCTCAAATATTTGCAGGTCAAGCCCCCAGCAAGGAAGAGGTGTGATTAAACTCTGTAAAACCGTGTCACCCTTCTATCTCTCTCAGGTTTGTGTGAGATTGCAGTATGCATTCAGTCCAGACCGGGATGTGGGATCCCCAGCCCCCGTCTAAACATGCCTCCCCAATCCCCCCACAACCGCCCTCCAATCCACACCGCCCCCATGTGATCACCGACACCCCGGCAAAGCGGATCACGTTCTACAAAAGCGGGGACAGCCAGTTTGGGGGCGTCAGGATGGCAGTCCACAAGCGGAGTTTCAAATGCTTTGATGCTCTGCTGGATGACCTTTCCCAAAAGGTCAGTCTGACTCAGTCTCAGATTTATCATCCAAATATGTCTCATGAAGCTGACTGGGTCGGTGTAGCTGCACTGCTCTTTATCTCTCAACACAGATTTGTTTTCAGGGTTTTTGTTGTCCTAGAAGAGTGAAAAACTGTGATTTTATAGCTCGGGAAAATATTGTTTAGATTTGACTATATATGTTTTTTGCCTATCATAAAATTTGATGACACAGTTTTGTATCCACACACAGGTGCCTCTTCCATTCGGAGTGCGAACTGTGACCACTCCACGCGGCACTCACACCATCAAACACCTAGAGCAGCTCCAGGACGGCGGCTGCTACCTCTGCTCTGACCGGCGCCAGACGAAACCGATCAACATGGAACTGGCCAGGAAACATCCAGGCATCTGGTACCATGATACCAGGAGACCACATCGGCCAGAAACCTCATCCTCTACACCAACTGGACATTGGCCCTTCAGGCAGCGTCGGATCCTACTGGTGAAAAATAGTGAGCCGGGGATAAGGAGAAGTATAGTGCTTAGCAGGAGGTCAATGAGGAGCCTGAGGGCCTTTCTTGAAGAGGTGTCAGAGGTCATGCAGTTTCACGTTCGCAAGCTCTACACTGTAGAGGGACGCAGGGTAAGCATTGGATTCTTGACAAAGGCGTAGACATGTTCTGTGCCTTTTTGTATTAGAAACTCCTGACCTGATTATCTGTTTCTAGATTGACAGCGTGCAAAGCTTGATGACCTGTTCTGGGGTGTTGGTGTGTGTCGGCCGAGAGGCCTTCAGCCCAATGCTGGCGAACTTTATCAGGAAGAGCTCAGAGGAAAGACTGCCCGGTCTGAGCAGCAGGTCTCCTGGTCTTGGCCCTAGGACCCCTGGTAATGGGGCCAGATCTCCTGGTGCTCAAGGGGTAAGATCCCCACCTCATGGTGCTCAGTCCAGAGCCAGCGAGTACAGTGAAGTGCATGAAAGCAGGAAAAACGGTAGGTGTATATCAGGAAAGACCTAATATTGTGCATTCCTGGTTCATAGGCATGTGTTATTAGATTTATAGCATCCTTTCGTTAAATACCCTGTAGGTTTAGGGTGAGTCCATCCATTACAACAGTAATTAACAAGGTTTTAATGGAGAATTTTGACATTAACATATGGTTATCCTTCTCTCTTTTCAGTTAACTTTGGTCTGGAAACGAAGAAAAGCATCATTCACCCTCGCTCGGATTCCTCAAACCGCTCCACCCGTTTCTCCCTGTCTTCAGACAAGTCATACGGCAACGGTGTTAGTGCCTACTCTCAGGCCAAACCAGCTATCATGAATGAAGACATTGAGAAGCGTGTCCTGGTCAACAAAGACGGCAGCCTCTCAGTTGAAATGAGGGTGCGATTCCGCCTGCACCACGATGAAACCCTCCAGTGGTCTACACAGATTAAAAAATCCCCATCTCTGACGAATGAATGTTGCCCACTGAGCCAGGCTCAGCCTCATTACTTGCAGCAGGGTCAGTCAGAGAGCTGCTCTGATCCTGATTCGACATCCTACGAACAAGAGGGTGGTCACTGCCCCGGCCAAATCCTGCAGCATGCACGTGATTTAAATAGCTGCCCTTGCTGCTATCAGAGAGCAGAGCAGCAGTATGATTTCTGGGAAAACCCGCTTCACAGCTGCAGTAAACCTCCAGTTCCACCACCCCATACTCACAGCCACACCCACACTATGATGAGACATACACACTCCTCCAGCTCTTCTTCATCATGCAACTCTCGCAGGGTGGTGCGCTGTCGAGCACGACTCTCAAACTGCTCCGGTTCAGAGCAAAAACAACTGGTCCAGGAGGAAATGTGTGTGACGGAGCAGGTAGAGCGCATGGTAGAGGTGGAGCAGGATGGAGAGACTCATGTGGAGGTCTGCAAGGTGAGCCGATGCTCCAGCCGTAGTGAAGTCGTTGCCATGGAAAGCAACCTACAGCCACATGGTAGAGTGGAGGAGGACGTTATGATGGAGGTTGCAGAGGAACGGCCGCTGTCTGCAGTGAGCAGCTCCTCACGTGTTTTGCAACTCCTAAAAGAGGATCAAGATGATGAGCACCCTACTGGGCATGGGGATGAGACCGAAAATGTAAGCCGGGCAGTATCTGCGGCCTCCTCCTGTCACTGTGGTGAAGCTGCTGGAGATTCAACAAACGAAGCAGAAGAAGGGGATCGAGCCCCCAGCTCCAAGCCGATAATCAGCAGAGCTTCTTGTAGATCCAACAAATCAAAGATCCAGAAATCAGAGGACAACGGAACTGCAGATGATGAGGACGAAGAGACAAAGAGAGTTATGAGTAGCTTGTCTGACCACAGAGGACTTTCAGCAGGTTCTCTGCACTCAAGAGCTTCCAGTGTTTGTCCTAACTGTGGCGGGTGCAAACAAGGAAGTGCTTCTGCGTCCCCAAAGCCCGCTACACCTCTGTCTAGACAAGGTGTTGGCAGTGAAAACGATGGTTCAGATGTTTCAGTCATCTCAACTCAATCGAACAAATCCAACCTCACCAACCACGGGCGTATCTCCGCAACTTCACATAACCTTGAGGACATCGCATCCGAGAGCGTGTCCAGAATGTCCAATCATGAGACAGCAGAGAATGAGCAAGAGAGAGCTTCCAACACTGGGTCAGTCGCAAGCCATAGGTCAAATAAATCTCACAAGTCATGTTGTAAGGAGAGCAATGGTGCTACAGCAGATAATGATGGAGATAGGAGCCCCAGTGCCATGTCTGCCAGGTCCAACAAGTCTGATGTGAAGGCGAAAGAGGTATCAGAGGGGGATGATGCCATAGAGAGAGCACTGAGCGCCTTGTCAGCCAAATCAGGTGCTTCATCAAAGACCACTTCTTCAGTCAAGCCAAATGTAGCTGCTGAAGAAGATAACTCTAGAACTCATAGTGCCCTTTCTGTAAAGTCCAATACTTCTGCCAATCCTGACCCGGTAGACAGAAATGATAGTGTTCTGTCTGCTAAATCAAACGTTTCAGTCAAGTCTGGCACATCTCAGCGGTCTAAATGTAGTCACTGTGCGAGAGCAGATAAACCGGGTATCAAAATAACAGGGCAGGAAGAAGAAATGGAGACAGAGGAGAGAGCAGGGAGTACTGTATCAGCTCAGTCTAATCTGACCGCCAAGTCCAAGAAATCCCACAAGTCCAAAGCTTCTGAAAGGTCACCTTCTCCCAGATCTGATACTGTAGGAGATGAAGAAAAAAGGTCTGCCAGTAAAATGTCGAGCAGATCTGTTAAATCTAACACGTCACTTAAGTCGACAAAGTCGTGCAAGCCTAATGATAATACAGAAGAAGTCACAGCACCTCCTGATGAAAAAGAAAATGAGGAGACAGAGCAGAGGCCGGAGAGTGCAGTTTCCTCCAAATCTCATAAATCCAAGGGCGATGAAAACACAGGGGAAGGATCTGAAAAAGGAGAAGATGCAGAAGATGGTGAAAAAGAGGAGGAACGGGCTGCCAGTGCTTTATCCGGTAAATCAGCGTCAGGGAAATCACACACCTCAGCGAAGTCCTCAAAGTCTCAGAGGTCAAACAAAGAAGACGCAGAAGATGGTGAAACAGAGGAGGAACGGGCTGCCAGTGCTTTATCCGGTAAATCGGCGTCAGGGAAATCACACACCTCAGCGAAGTCCTCAAAGTCTCAGAGGTCGAACAAAACCACAGTGTCTCCAAAGCCAGATGAAGTTGAGGAAAATGAGGCTGAGGAGCGGGTGTCAAGTGCACTCTCAGTCAAGTCCAAATCATCAGTGAGGACCAGCGCCTCACACAAGTCAACCTCTAGCAAGAATCTTAAATTAGAGCCACCAAGCCCGAATGTAGTCACCATTCAAACTCCAGAAGAGGTTGATGAGGAAGGACAAGAGAGAGCGCAGAGTGCTGCTTCCACTAAATCCATAAAATCCAATGTTTCCACGCATAAGTTAGATGGGACTGATATTGCTGTTGTTGATGCTGCAGATGAAGAACCTGAACCTCCAGCTGCATCATCCTGTAGCCCCCAATCCTCTGTGCAGCAGCTGCTTCCAGGTCCTGGTGCCGGAGAGACCAGAGGGTCTAGTGCCTTGTCGGTTCGTTCCAAAACCTCCACTAAATCTGGCAGATCCAACTGTCGATGCGGAGCAGCGTCAGCGAAAAAAGAAAAGGACAAAGAGGAGCTGAAAAGTGATGGGGCCTCTGAAGCAGCGCAAAGTGTAAGGTCTTCCTCAACCAAGAGACAGGGAGGAGAATCAGAAAACTCAGGATCGGTCTCTCTTGGATTGCCGGAAGACCAAGAAACAGCTGATTCAGACAGCGGCAAATCCACAGTTTCTTTCCACGTCAACACAGAGAGAAAAAGCAAAGTGAAGACAAAAAGTCCTGAAAACACAGAGCAGTCTTCAGGGAAGGACAGTGTGTTCGGAACAGGGTCCACTCGGTCTAGAAAATCTGATACTAAAAGCAAAGTGTCTCACAAGACTCCTGCAGTTGATATCCCAACCATTGAAACACCAGAAGGGGTTGAGGATCAAGGTGAAGCAGGTAGCATGAAGTCTGCTTCAACAACGAAAGCTGGCAATGTGAACGCCCCCAGGACCCCAACTGCAATGTCATCAGCGAGTGTTAAAAGTCGCAACAAATCTCCTTCAAGTGCCAGCGTTAAAAATGCCAATGATGCAAAAAGTAAAGTTTCAGACTCAGGGAGAAGTGACACTGAAAATCCTGCAGAGAGTAGCTCGGCTAGCAAGACTGAAGGACTAGAAGATACAGCAGACAACAGGAACGCCTCAGTCCACTCCAAGAGTCCATGCTGTCTGAGGCCTGAGTCTGCAGCTTCGGCCCACTCTGGGTCAAAACTTAAAGTCTCAAAGGACGGTAAAGGAGAGGATTCAGTCAAACTAGAATCTGTCAAAAGAAAGCCCCTAAGGAAAGACTCACCTGTCAAGTCCTCGAGTCCCTGTCCCGTACACAGCTCCAAACCATGCAGCAAAGAGGAGGCGTGCAGTGAGAGCACTCTGTCTCACTCACTGTCTGCTGCTGACCTCCTGAAGGAAACCATGTCTGCTGCACGTCCACTTAGCCGACAGTCAAAGGCCAGCAAAACCAGCGACAAGACCAAGAGCGACAAAAGTGGAAGATGCCAGAGAAGTAGGAACCAGAGAGACCAAATGGAGACACCGGAACTGACACCTTCTTGTCTGCCCAATGCCTCCCCGAATGAGGTTGTGAGCGAGTGGCTCCGGAGTATTCCCACTGACAGCAACATGCTCCCACTTGGAGACGAGCTAAATGAGGGAGAAGATCTATTAGAGAAGTCAGAGGTTGAGAAACCCGCAGAAGAAATATCAAAGGAAGAGGAGAGCCCTGAAGATGAGAAAGTGGTGGAGGAGGAGAATGAGGAGGCTAAAGATGAAGTAGAAGAAAAAGAGGAGGAGGGTGAATGTGCTGCAACAGAGGAGAAGGATTCAGATCAACCTCAGGTTGATGCAGAAGAGGACTCTTCTCCACCCAACCCTCAAGTCTTGGGTACTGAGTCTCTTCCCAAGAACTGGCAATCTTCAGCCACAGTGATGAAAGTTCTTCTGAGCTCTTCTCTTGGTCGATGTCGGAGTATGCCTGAGGTAGGCCAATGCTGGTTGACATGGTTACTACAGTGTTTAAGAGTCAGATCTTTATAGGTTGTGTTTTATGAAACTATCTGTCTTCTCTTCTGTCTTCGTAGGTGTCTCCAGTTTATGGTCGTCGGCTGAGCACATCAGCTAGGGGACTCTTGGACTGTTTGGCCCAGCTTCAGCTCATCGAGCCCGCGGTCAGCCTTGAGCGGCAGAAGCACAACCAGCCTTATGAAGACATCATGGCGATCCTTCAGTCTCTCTGGCTTGCCGAACCAGAGAACATCCAAGGAAAGGACTCTGGCACAGAGCAGATAAGTCCACCAAGGTCCTCATCTGGTGTTGATATGAGCAGTGGTTCTGGTGGATCAGGGAAGGAAAATGAAAACCACTGTGAAGATGAAACAAATAATACCAAAACTGAAGAGAAAGGATCCTTGCATGAAGATGAGGAAGTGGACAAGGTTGAAGATGTTGAAAATGAAGAAAACAAGGAGACTGAGGCAGAGCCAGAAGAGGAAACCACAGAGCAACACCAGATAGATGTGGACGAAGCAGAAGAACCAGTAAAAAGTGAAGAGCAAGATCTGGTTCCTCCAAGTCAAGACAACCCAAAAGCCACTGAGAATCCCTCATCATCCGACAAGAGCTCTGCAAACAGCAGCTCCAAATCTCGCAATGATAATGACCAGGAGACGCTGGAGGACTCCTGCTCGAGCACACCCCCGACTGTTGTGCATGCACCTTTGTCAAAAAAACTATCCCAAGACCCTGATCCAGTGTGGATCCTGCACTTACTAAAGAAGCTGGAGAAACAGTTCATGAACCACTACATCACAGCGATGTCAGAGTTCAAAGTCCGCTGGGACCTGGATGACAGCCACATCCTGGACACCATGATCTCTGAGCTGAGGGAAGAGGTGAGCAGACGCATTCAGCGCAGCATCGAACGGGAAATGCAGAAGATCCAGGGTCGGGCCGGCAGAGGGGGGAGGTCGCCTCGGCCGCCGCTGGGACAGAACCTTTCCAGGGAGTCCACGATGACGGAGAAAAGGCGCCGGATTTTGAAGGTAATGCAGCCTTAAATCTTTATCATCTCATTGGGAGTTGAAGGCAGAAAATAATGTTGGATTCATTTTTTTAGGTCATGAAGAATCAGTCAGTGAAGACTGATTCACTCAGCGATGGAGAAAACACCGCCGACTTCAGCGACCAGCGGAGTGATGATGAATACTGCCCCTGTGATGCGTGCGTTCGCAAGAAAATGGCCGCCCGGCCTCTCAGAACAAACCCGAACGCAGCTGAAGCCCCGGTCATGATGGAGTTTGACCTCCTCAAGATACTGCAGCTCAAGAAAAGCCCGTCTCCAACACATGCAGCTCCGCCACAAGCTGAGGCGGTTGAAGAAAAAGAGGAGGAGGAGAAGAATTTAGAGGTAGTTGATGAAGAAGAGGAGGAGGAGGAGCAGGGGGAGGAAGGGGAGGTAGACGAGGAGGAGGAAGAGGGGGAGGAGGAGACTAAAGAGGATATCATACCTGATGTTGTTTTAGAGGAGACAATCCCAGAAGAAGATGAGGAAATAGGAGAGGAAGAAGAAGTGCTAGAGGCAATAGAAGAGGAGGAGGTAGAGGCTGAAAATGAGGAAAATGGTGAAGGTGACGAGGTGCAGGAACAAGAGGAAGGAGGTGGTGAGGAGGGGAGGGAAGGGGAGACCTCAGAAAATGGAGATGTAGAGGAAGAGGAGGGAGAATGTCAATGCCAGTGTGCAACCAATGAAGAGGAGGGTGACCAAACCGAGGGAGAGGAGGCAACAGCAGAGAGTGGGGATGTTGAAGAGACTGGAGACAACACAGGTGAGGATGGTGAGGAGAAAACTGGGGATGAAGAGGAGAAAACTGGGGATGAAGAGGGAGATGGTGCAGGGGAGGAGGGGGAGACATCAGGCAATGAGGAAGGGACAGCAGCAGAGGAGGAGGTGGAGACAGGGACCGGTGAGGAAGAAGAGGTAGAAGGAGAGACCACTGAAAACGGTGAAGGCGAGAAAGAGGAGGGTGAAGTATCCGACTCAAAGCCAGAAGATGAAGAAGGAGAAACAACAGGAAAGGACAGTGGAGAAGAACCATCCGGGGAAACGGGGGACGACAGTGACGCAAAAGAGGCATCGAATGAAGAATCCAAACAGGAGGAGGAGGAAGAGGAGGAAGGAAATGACAGCGCATCAGCAGAGGCAGGAGATGATGAAGAAGATGGAGATGATGGCACGAAAGAAGAGGAGTCACATGAAGACGACAAGGGAGAGGAGAGTGGAGAGAAGAAAGCAGAGGCCTCAGAGGAGGAAACAGCATCACCACAGGTAGGATGAGTCATATGTGCAAAAAAGATAAACTCATTTTGGTTTCACTGCATGTTGCACTGCATGACGTCCATATAGGAGCTTTAATAGCATGCAACGTTATTAACTGGAGTGTGGAAGATAACGTTGAGATGACTGAACGAGAGACTGTTTTGCTATGTAGTTATGCCAACTGGTTTTGGCTCCCACTATATTTAAACACGGCTGAGTTTCTGAACATACACCACGGTTGAAACCTTCTGTACCTTAAAGAGGAATCTGACCTACTGCAGCCTCGCCACTAATTCTAAGCTTATGGAGAAAGATAATCCGACTATCCAATTAGACAGACTGAACAAATGCTCTGTTATGTCAAGCAGCAACACCCGGCCTCCTCTGACAGTAGTGGGAACCGTCTTTTTAACCATTTTCATACGCGCCTTTTCTTAAAGCGAAGCTGATATTTAAATACCCCCCTGGTGTTGTCTGCTGTTTTGTTGCTACCATTTAGCTGTAATTGCTGATTCTTAATTACCCCCAGCAGAACCTCGTTCAGCTAATTACAACCGCTCAAGGATAATTTACTTTATTGTTTAACCCTCAGGGCCAAGGTGTGACTGAGGGGGAGGAGGCCGACGCAGAAGACTCCGACACTGACGCAAAACGTCCAAGTGACACTAGTGTGGATGAATCGGCACGTGAGGAGGCCGGAGGCTCAGAAGAGAAAGAGGAAGAGGATAAAGAGGAGGGAGTGGAAAAAGAGGAGGTAAAGGTGATCAGACATAAAAAAGAGGATCTCCTCCAGCAGTTCACAAGGACCTCTGTGGAGTCTCAACCAGGCTCGTTAGAGGATATCGACACAGATTCCCCCAGAAACCCGGTTCAGACTATAAAAGTGCCCAAAACGACTGCAGCGGAGTCGAGTGGCGGTGGCTCAGGCAACCGGAGGAGCCGGTCTCCAGCCAGAGTGAAACGCCGTAAACCCAAGATGAGTGATGTTGAACTGGAGGACTTTTAACTTCACATTGAAACTCTACTGAAGGACTGAATTTTGAGACCTCAGAGAGTAAATAATCAGGAAGGTTATACGACTGTTAACCAGAAAAGAGAAAAAAAATGAAGCACTTTATCGAGTAGAAAGGGTCATATATATATACAAGTAGAACCTTGAAACTTGAAACCACCAGTTTATCCTATTTTATTATATATTCACTATATTTGAAATTGCTATACTTATTTTTTAAGATGATTGCTTGGGATATATTTGTTTCTGTGTACAAGTAAGGTACAAAAAAACACCAGTGGGTGTTTGATGTGAACTCAGTTTTATTCTCAGTCTACCACAGGTTGAATTATTTACTAATCATAGAGCCAAACCGAGTATTTATTATAACACGTTTGAGCATATTCATACTTGGTTTAAGTATCATAACTATTTATCTTTGTTGATATCTTTAAATCTTCGCTGTATCTCAGGGGTTCGGACAGCCAGTTTGTTCCCTCAGGCTAATCTCCCAGGTGTTACTTAACTACCCGCTTACAGTCAGTAAGAATATAGTCAGTAAAAATGACCCTGCTCAAGACCTATGATGTAACCTGATTACCTTACAGGGGGGGAAAATGACATTTTGGGAGGCGTCTTTGTCGGATTTTTGTTGGCCAAGAGTAGAGATGAGAATCAGTCTTGGCATATCTGCTTGTGAAGTCTGAGGCAGACACAAGCTAAGCTAACTGACTCATGGTTTTAACTTCATATTTGCAGACATGAGCGTTCGTCTCTATCCAAAATATGAGGCTCTATTATTGACCTTTTCTGTCATGATACTTCTGGGTGATATTCCGCTGCTGTATTATGTCCATAATAACACTTAGAAGATGCATATTTTAACACTTTCTAGCAGCCATTTATTTATGTAGTTAAAAACTCTTTAACATTTACTCCACGTGCATTTCCTTTTTAAGTAATCCAGTGACAAATACTTGCACAAGAGGGTCAAATGTGACCCTGAGTATGTCTGCGTGTGGGTGAGGATGTTGACACCGAATGCGAAGTCTAAATTCCTGGTGCGTCAAAACCTTGCCCTACCTTTTTTTGATTTCAGAGGCTCCTCTCAGGTGTGTGCTGCAGCTCCAGCTAACCGTATGGAGCAACAGTGTGAAGTTTGTTACTGATGCCTTACTGTATCCATGGTGATTTGAGGGTAGATTGACAGAAACAGAGGGGGGATGATGTTTAAGTGGCTACGCCTCACTCTCTGTCAGAGGTTTTCCTGCAGATTTAGAGAGAGAAGCTAAAAAGGAATTTTTCAAAAACACTAAACAAAACCCTTTTTAGGACCCCAATGAAAAGAAGTGAAGTAGCTGAGTGAGCTGGACTCGAGGCTTACTCCCAAACGTACCGGCAGGGTGGTGATATTCTCAAATGATCTGTGTATGTTTATGAATGAATGAGTAAATGAATCATAACCTCTATTTCTTATGTTTAGTTTGATCCAAACCTTGTGTTTGAGGTGACAGGGTGAGTGTGCGAGCTCGTATGTGTGTGCTTTTGCTGCTATTGGTCTGTTTGGCTGTCAATCAAATATGACATCACTAAGTGAACGTCATGTACCTGGAGCAAATCTACATCTATATGAATGTATTAATGTTGATACGAATAAAATAAATGCACTGGATGGCGCTTCTGTCGTTATATAATGTTAATGGTAATCTGATTATTGCATTCATTATGAGATTAAACCACATTAGAGTTAAAGGAGTAACTGGAGGCCAGTTTAGCACCCATATGTTTCTACTGCAGAGGTCGCTGTCATAAACCATGGAGGATATTGATGCTGTTTTCATACTTAGGCCACTTTTAGACGGAAACGGTCTCCATAGAAAACGGAAAAATTTAGTTTCGTTTAGGGGGGTCCGTTTAGACGGCAACTGCGTTTTCAGGAGATGAAAACGTAACAAAGTGAAAACGCCCTCCAGAGTAGAAATGTTGTAAACGCTCTGCTAGTCCCGCTTTCGTCTTAAGTACAAAAACGCTGAAAACAGTCAAACCTGTGACGTCCTGGCTCACGTCGGCTCCTGTTTATGACATCATAGCCATGCACAGCTTCCTTGAAAATAACAACAACAACCATGCTAGACATTCGAGTCGCACTGTCTTTATTATTGATATCATGCATCAAATAATCAAATAATTAATGTGCCAATTTGGCAGAACGGAAGCTGTTTTACGTATGCGTTGTTGGTCTATATGGGAGCGCGGTCACACCGACACACGCCACCTAGCGACCTGGCATGCACATTACAGCGTTTTTAACCACATTGCGTTTTTGTGTAAACACAGCATAAAAACTGAAAACAAAACAGCACTTTTAGGTTTTCTATGAAGACCGTTTCCGTCTAAAAGTAGCCTTAGTGATGCAAAGTCTCCCCTGGATGGTCTTGAAAGGCTTTACAAAAAATAAAATGTGTGGTAGAGTGATGGATGCAGCAGCAAACTGTACTCAAAGACAATGGTATCTGATGCCAATGCATAGATTTCCAATGCAGAGTCATGTCTAGATTTTGTACTGTCTTCATTTTTTTTGAAATTCTACAGTAGCCCATGCTGGCTCCTTAAACTCCTCTTTAAGTTGTTTGATTTTTTTTTTGTGTAAATAACTTTTGGTCATCGAATTGCAGAGAATAATGTGCTCCCGCTCTCTTAACCTTCCTGTCCTTCCCCCGCTGTGTTTGGCTCGACTCCAAAGGAACTCTAAAGCTGCTCAAATGCCCTCAAGATACACTCACATACGTCACGCTAATCCCTTACCTGTGTGTGTGTGTGTGTGTGTGTGTGTGTGTACGTTGTGCATATGTGTGAGTACATGTGTGTGTTGAGCCACAGAAGGATTGAGGTTGACTTACATCACGCGTAGAGAGGGCTGTAGAGAGTGTGTATTTTCAGACGCTGTTACAGAACTGAGGGTGAAGAAGTCACAGAAACATAGAGCACTTTCTGCATCCACACGAGTCCATCATTCTGTTTAAACTAAATCTATCTGGGAAGGTTTATTCTGAAGTTTAGTTGTAGTTTAAAAGATTAAAACACCTTGTGTAAGCAAATTATGTCAAAACACTGCCTGTTATAAGAGCATAACAGTTCCATTTACGGCGCTTTTCCTTGTGTTAAAGTTCCCTACAATACAGCTGACTTATGACCTCTACAAAGAAAGAAAACAAGTGTAGAGACTCTGCTTTGCAAGAACATCGTGTTATCTTGCTGGAATTACGACATGTGCGCCGCCACAGCCTCTCTTACAATCACATGTCGCCTCAAATGAGACTCTGCCTCCTGCAGCGAGCATCCAGTCAGCAAGCACACCAGAGCTAGAGGCACCACCTGCAGAAAAAGAGGGAATAAACATCTGCAACCACCCACACAGCTGTTACACCTTGTTCGTTTTCATGCACCTGCCGCCTTCTCACCTCGGTTCTGTTTCTGGCGGTTTGAGTGTGTGAGCCGACGTCAGAGGATGTGATCTCTGCTGTAAGCGTGTCAGAGTTGTAAATCGCCCTGAGGAGAGCTTCTTCACACTTGGATTCGGTGCAACCAGACAGCTTCTGGAAAATGAGAAAGTGACAAATTAAAGGGATATATGGGCGTAAAATTAATTTAGGATCAAACACATTGTAACACTGAGTCAGACACCCCCTCGAGAGATGAATGTTGCAGACTGCTTGCTTCTCTAGTTATACCAACTTTAGTAACGACAGCTCGATAGCAATACACAGCGGTCTAAGGAGCCATGAACAAACCTCAACCAAAACGCCACAAATAATGCTCAGAACAGCACCTAACTTCATCAACAGTACATATAGAGTCCCAGCCATAGTACTAACCACCAAACATCTTTTTAATCTTGCCTGATTTCTTTAGCAAAGAGACTAAACACAACTCACCTACTCTCTTCCAGCACCCGCTAGTTTGTAGGCAGAGCTTAGACGAGTCCATTACCGACTGCTATGGGGTGACGCAGCTCAAGGAAGAACATTTATGATCATTTCTGTATGGAAATACAATCAGACCGTGATGCTAAGGTAGAAGAACTACCGTGTCTGCAGTGCAAAATGATTAATATGGTGATTATTACTTCAAGGAAATGACAAAATGATGATCATAAATGTTCTTCCTTGAGCTGTGTCACCCCCCTGTAGTTCATAATGGATTGGGTCTCACTACAAACAAGTGGCTGCTGGAAGAGAGTAGGTGAGTTGTGTTTAGTCTCTTTGCTAAAGAAATTAGGCAAAGTTAAAAAGATGTTTGATGGCTAGTGCTTTGGCTGGGACCCTATATGTACTGTTGATGAAGTTAGGTGCTGTTCTGAGCATTATTTGTGTCTATAGAGTGGTGTTCTGGTTGAGGTTTGTTTACGGCTCCTCAGACCGCTGTGTATTGCTATTGTGCGGTCGTTACTAAAGTTGGTATAACTAGAGAAGCAAGCTGTTGGCAAAATTCATCTCTTGAGGGGGTGTCTAACTCTTCATGTGTTTGACCCTAAATTAAATTTACGCCAGAACATCTAAAGTCTGAGACAAATTACTTTGCCAGGTCTTGAAACCAGCAGCACCAGAGGCTAAACTCTTGTTGGTATCTCTATAGTGGAAAAACTGGGTCACTTTTGACATTTAACATTTCTTTTTTTATAGTGTAAAACATCAGGAAAAAAAAATCTTTCTTTACTGGATTTGAACATCAGGAAGCAAACACTTCTTCGATTCACCTGCATGTTTATGTCTAACTTCAACAGTTTCCCCTTTAAAGAAGCGATTTAAAATACCTGGAGTAATCTCAAGGCCCTGCAGTAGAGTTTGCTGTTGGTGACCTGCACATCGATCATGTGATTCTGGTAAATCTTCCCCTTCAGGATGTGAGCTCCAGTACTCACAGCATTCAGCAGCAGCTTAGTGGACAGCTCCCACTGCTGAGAGAGAAAGAGAAAGATTGATTGATTTTCCTTCCTGTGCAGTACGTAAGCCAGACTGGGAGGAAATCACAGAAAACATGACCTCCAATTTAAATTGAGACCTCCAGAACGTTAGGCATAAGAAAAAAGTGAAAATCAATAAAAACAAAATGAGCATTTTTCCGTTTAGCGAGGCACACTCGCTCTGCAGAGTGCACTTGTTTCTTTATAGCTCTGTAAAATGTTCTGTTGAAAGCAGTCGAAGACAAAGACAAATAGAGTAAATGAGGCAAAACTGTTTTTCCTCATGCTCCACTGAGTCACTGAATCAATATGCATGTGTGTGTTTATACCCGAGAATGTGAGCATGTGTGTGTGGACTGTACCATGCGGAGAAAACTCTCTGGAGCAGATGACGGCCAAGTGATCTTTAGTGAAGATGAACACAGCTTATTGACGTCACTCTAAGAAAAAAAGAAGACAATGCAGACTGTAAGTAATCAGCTAACAGGCATGGAGACAGCTAGACAGGAAGAGGAATAACTTTACTTGTTGTACAGCAGCTGCGGTGTCTCCATCAACCTGATGATACACAGCATGGATGTTTGAGGTCTTTCCTCTCACTCTGAGCGCCAACTTTGCCACTTCGCTGACACTGTCTGCAGGGGGAAGCTTTCAAGTCAGATACTGATCTGATCAAACTCTGAGAAAAAAAGTGCCGTACTCTCACCAGAGTGTGTGTAGATGAGAAGAACAGTGTCCCAGTCATCGAGAGAAGGAAGAACTTGACGCAAAAAGTCCTCATGTGATATGCAAAAGTCAGGACCCTAGAGACAATAAAAAATATTTTAAGATCAGATACATGTAATAAAGTTTTTCATTATGGTGTTCTACTGATTTTCAAACTTTTTCAAACTTTTTGATCTGAACCTAAAGATATCATTCAGAATGAAAAATTTACAGTTATGTACATAGCACAATTAATATTTATTCACAACTTATGATGCTTCAAAAACATAATATACTTTTTTTTTAATTACATATATTTAATTTATATCAATACTAAGAGATTCATTTTCTCCTTTTGTTTACCTGTTTTTAAAAAAGTTTATCTTTTTTAATAATAATAATAAAAATAATAACAATAATAATAATAATAATTATTATTATTATTATTGTTATTTATTATTATTAGTAGTAGTAGTAGTATTATAAAAATAATAATTATTACTGTTATTTTTATTATTATAATTGTTGTTCTTGTTATGGTTATTTTTTTAAATCATTTTTTTATTATTTTTTATTATCGTTATTTTTATTACAATTTTATCATTATTATTTTTTATTATTATTTACGTTATTTTTAGTATTATGATGATTATTATTATTTTTAATTATAATTTTACATAATTATTTTTATTATTATTATTTTTTCATTCTTATCATTATCATTATTTTATTCTTATTATTATTATCATTATTATTATTATTATTATTAATATTATTATTATTATTATTTATTTTTATTATTTACTTTTTTTTTTTTTTTCCCAGGACCTGACATTTGAACATTATACAAATGGCTGAACTTCTTTCGCCTAATTCTTGCGACCCTAAACGTTTTACGGTGTAACTGTGTTTCACGCAGTCAGGTAGCCAGAAAAACTCTTATCTTTCGGATGTTAACGTTGAACTTAACACTAGATAATGATTTTTAACTAATGGGACTTTCTATAAAGTTGTTCTGTAGCCACACTTTGGACTTATTCCATTGGTTTTAGTATGTTGGTGGGCACTACAAACCATCCAATCATCCCTTAGTGTCATTTTATTCATATCTTAATAAGTAGAAGTCGTTCACTTCTGTCTGAAAATAAAAAAAAAATCGTGATGGAGACATTAAAAAGTATTTAAAGCTCCATATAAGTCCCATCCCTTGGCTGAATTAAGACTGCCCAGCAGTATGATGAAAATACTAAAGCAGATTAATTGCAAACTGACATCCAGAGCAGGTAAAGTGGGATGTATTTCATTCTAATCCTGTTCTGGGTCATACAACCAGTGAGATTCAGCAGAGGCAGATGTGTCATTACATGGGGGTACCAATGAAGCGGGATTTTATTTTAATTGGATTTACTGGATTTCTGTCGTTTTCATAATTTGTGAGGCTTTGTCAGGATTTCCAGACTTATTTCAGACACAAAAGCGAGCTGGAAAAGAAATCATGCTCTGAGTCAGCTGGAACTGGCAGAGAAAAAGTCTGAGAAATGTTTAATCAGAGGCAGTGTGTCACTTTTTTTATTGTTAAAGACTGGAGAATAGAAGCTTTCACAATCAAGCAGTTGATTGCTATTTTTAATTACCTACGTGATTCAATTATTCATGGTCAAGTGTTCATTGTTCTCCCTCACATACCAGCGAAGATAGGGGGCCCTCATTGTTGTTCAGCTGTCCGTATCCCCCGCTGATGAAGCCTCGAACATCTTCAAAGTCTTACACATACAAAGGAGATGTCTTGTGCAAATTTACTGCATTTTTTAACAAGCTACAGATTATTAAAGATTAAAAAATCTATTCAAAGATGCAAATGAAGATGCAATCCTTTGCTGCTAATGAGCGCATCACGCTGCTCTCACCTGCTCCAAATGTGGGGTTACACTCGCTGGCGTCGATGAGGCCCAAAATACCCACAGAGCCCCACCCCAAGTAGCACACTCGCTTTCCATGTCGCAAACTGAAACACATGCAATCAACACTTCACCAAACACAATGAAACACTGTCTGTTTCAGGAAGAGGATCAGTCTGGATCTGTGTGGGCTGCCAGTGTTGTAGATTAGAGTTTCCTACTGCTGGGGGCTGCTAATCCACCACAACTAATGCCATTATTGTGGGTTTCAGCCGCGAGCTCGACTGCATCCCCAGTTTGCGACGAACAAAATCACTTCTGGTCTTCAAAACGTTTTGTTCAAGTCAGTTTTGCTGCAGTGTAATTGTGAAATATTACACCAAAATTCAAGGCTCTCCTACCTCTGTCCAGCTGCCTCCAACAGAGGAGTGATCCCCTCAGTATGGGAGTAAGTGATATCCAGAGATTGCCTGTAGGCGTCCACATGCTCCTGGATGCCTCTGAAAATAAAACACAAGAAAGTGTCTAAACAACTAATCTTAATATATAAATTTTGCTGTTTTTTGCAACTAATCAGTGCAATTGTACTGACAGTAAATCCTTTTTCTGCAAACACCTCTAGAGGTCAGCAGCACACAATGAAAATCAATGTGACATGCTTTAATATGATGTGACAGTTTTAAGTCAAATTCATGCACATCCTTGATAATATGATGGAGTAAAGGTTTGGCATTAATGCAATGATGGAACAATATAGGCGTCACAAATGCAGGAGTGTTTGAAATGAACCCACACAACCTTCACATGTACCCAGAGAGTGAGCAGTCACACTGATACATGTGACCGGAGGGTACTGACATTTTGAAGTGCACTGATCACAAGTAATGTGAAAAGCATGTCCAGCAGACTTCACAAGTTTCTGTAAGAGAGAGTCGAGCTGCAGGCTTGTGGCTGTCAACAGAGAGATGCACTTAGGAAGCCGTACCTCTGGGTGATACGAGGTGATCTCAGGTCATGGTAAAGGCAGCAGTAGTGCTGTCCAAAGTGGAGATATAACCTTGGATCTAAAAAAAATCTGCTTTGCCTGAAAGGTTTTGAAAACGTTTTTGCCAATTTGTACGAAATGTGTAATGAATGGTTGAACTATCTGAGTGCTGGCTGGTTTAAAAACAACAATTTGGAGTTAAAAACCCACTTTCACAAGCGCCGATGGACTGAAATTCATACTGATGCATTTTAACGATATCCAAAAGCAAACAAGACCGGTGGGTTTTAAATCCTAATTATGAATTATGAATGGTTTGAGAGGGTAAGTATGAGGCTGTCAAGGCAGCAGGATGATATTTTTTTCTATTAGAGCTCTAGTTCATTATCCTAACATATAGTCTGATACTGTTTCACAGCGTCACAGAGCAAGTCATTTCAGGTGTGTATTTATTTAATTATTTAAAGCTCCCATGAGTTATTTTCTGTCTTTGATGGTTTTGGCACCCCCTATGGACAAATTAATAATATTTATTGTTGCTGATTTTATGTTGTGCTTATGAAAGTGGTGTTAATTGACACTTAAGGTCCTTACAGACCGGGAGTGTTTTTTTTGTGCAATTATTTCAGACATCACTATTTTTTTTCGAACCCGTATCCTGTCAATACAAGCGTTCACATCAGCGACGTTTTCCCGTCCCGCGATATTGAGGCATTATTTTTTTCGTAGCACGGTCCATTTTTCTAAAGTTTCGCATACTGTGTGTCCAGTTCTGACCAATTGAAGCTATATTTTATTATTAATTCTGCTTTTATGTTATCCATTGTTTTAATTGTGTCTTGATTGTTTTTTATCTTGTTTTGTCTAGTTATGTACAGCACTTTGTACAGCTGTGGTTGTTTTAAAGTGCTCTACAAATAAAGTTGAGTTGAGTTGAGTTGAGTTGTTGCGACGTCAGATTCACTGGTATATCCAACATGGCCGACCGGCTGATTGCTTACGTGTCGGAGAACAGAGTGCTTTTTGATAAAAGACACAAATATTACAAAGATAACAACCTGACGGACAACTTGTGGAGAGTCATAGCGTCGTATTTCTCACATGACGATAGTTTGTGTGCTTTAACAGTTTGCTAAACGTCTTTGTTTTAACTTTCATCTGTGCTAAGTAACTTTAGCTCGTAAGCTAACCTGTTCAGATACAACATACCATATGTATTTTCACTGTCTCAAACTCAATTGCGTTGCTGTTACAGCACCATTAGGTCTCGGTTGTTACCTTATGTTTTGATGTGTATAGTCAGGCGCGTCAAAATTCACCTCCAAATATTTCATAATTTTGTGTTGTATATTTGCGTTGGTCCTGGTGTGTAAGGACCTTAACCCAAGGATTCCACTAGATCGGGAACGGCTCCACTCCGCTCCAGACCAGCGGACGGATCAAATATGCAAGCATACAGCGCCACCGGATCCGATCCACCTTCGCCATCAGAGGAGAAGCGCTAGCGAGATTACCGTTACTTCTAGTGAGACTGCATGAGATCTCACGTGTTTCCCCGTAAAACATTGAGTGAGATCCGATTGGTGCATATAAACAGTGGTGTATATAAACACCGAAATCCCACAACCCTGGTCTCTTCTGTTATCAAGCTAAGAACAGTTCAACATATTGACTTTATTTTATTTTGAAAATTAACCAGATACTTTACTCTGTAGCTGCATACAACTTCCACTGCTACTCGTCCTGCGCTGCACTGAATTGATGCGCCGTGCTGCGGCGTCTGGCAAAAATAAAGGCCTCGCATAGCTGATCCGGCCGCCGGAGCCGATCCGCAGCGGAGTCGGACGGTGGATGGGTTGTGCGGTATCACACACATTGATTATAATGCTTGCCTGTTTGATCCGCTTGCTGTGCTGGAGCAGAGCGGAGCCGTTCCGGATCCTGTGGGTTTTAGCCATAAATCTCCTGTTGCCTTATAACAACAAAATATTATGTATCATATTTTATCATATTGTATTATATCATACTGTATCATATTATGATAACTCGTATTAAACTGTATTGTATTTTGAAAGAGCAAAATTTTTTTGTATCAATCTGAATTATCTTATATGTCTACGGTGATTTATTAGATGTGGTGGTGTAAATATACAACAGCATCGACGTTTTACAGTGTAAAAAATATATCATTCCATTTACTGCAGCAATACACAAGCGGTCCATACGATCATTGAATCTGATAGCTCAAGATGATCTGTACAGTTTTTCAGTGAGTTATGGTTCGCTTACTTGAATGTGATGGGCGAGTTTGTGAATGCAGCAGCATGAGCAGCAGAAAAGACAACCTCGAGGAGAATCTTAGTGGCGCTGCCTCCTTTCATCCTCGAAGAGCCGCTGACGGCTTCTGGCTGAAAACGACAGACACACTGACTCAGACGTTTGCGAACAAAGGAGAAAAACTGCTGTCTCGGCTTTCTCAGTAGATAAAGATTACTAGATACCCCGACTGCTGGGTTGATGAGGAATGCCTTTTTACTTTTGGAAAGCTCCTCCATTCTTTGGACCAAACTTCGAAAGGTAAACGTGCAGCCTGACATCGGATCATCCCTAAATATATAATTTGGGGTCTTAAAAACTGATTATAATCGACATTCATTTAATACCACATAATATGAGAATTTTAAGGGAACAAAAGTGAGGTGAAGTGCCTGCTTACCTTGCCTGATGAGAGGGATTGAATCCAACCAATACTGGAGTGAAGACCTCAAGATGCTGCATGCAGAAGTCAAGCTGACCTGCTACAAAAGGAGCCTGCACAACCAGACATTAAAGGGATATACAGGTGTAAAATTAAGTTAGGGTCAAACACACTGTTAGACACCCCGTCGAGAGATGTATGTTGACAACCACTTGCGTCTCTAGTTATACCAGCTTTAGTAACGACCACAAATAGCAAAACAGAGAGCCACGCGCCCAACCAAAACACCACTCTATAGCCACAAATAATGCTCAGAACAGCACCTAACAGTCCATCGACTACAGCGGGGTGACACAGCTCAAGGAAGAACATTTATGGATATTACTTTATCATTTCCTTTAAGTAATAATTACCATATTAATCATTTTGCAGACACGGTAGTTCTTCTGCCTTAGCGTCTCGGTCTGATTGCATTTCCATAAAGAAATGATCATAAATGTTCTTCCTTGAGCTGCGTCACCCCGCTGCAGTTGATGGACTCGTCAGGAGGTCTCCATCCAAACAAGTGGTTGCTGGAAGAGAGTTGGTGAGTTGTGTTTAGAGAAAGCTAAAAAGATGTTTGATGGCTAGTACTATAGCTGGGATCCTACATGTACTGTTGATGAAGTTAGGTGCTGTTCTGAGCATTATTTGTGGCTATAGAGTGGCGTTTTGGTTTAGCGCGTGGCTCTCTGTATTGCTATCTGCAGTCATGACTAAAGTTAGTATAACTAGAGAGGCAAGTGGTCGGCAACATTCATCTCTCGATGGGGTGTCTAACTCAGTGTTACAGTGTGTTTGACCCTAACTTAATTTTACGTTAGAATATCCCTGTAAATGTACATTTGCAAGCTTCTTACAAATATGTGGAACGAATTCTAACCAATTCAACCGACTTACAGACAATCCACAGGAAATACCAATGAACAGGACATGTTTTTTCCCCTCGCAGACCTGCAGAGAACCAAAACAAAGATGTCTGGTTTAAAAAAAAGCTCACATATACACTTCTGACAATGTCTACACTGTAACAGACCTTCTTTAGACTGAGCGCGCCCAGTTCAGGGTCATCCTCTGGAGCTTCTTGGGAGGACAGCAGAGCTCTAAATGAGAATAAAGAAAGATAATTCAAATACATGCTGCAAAAAGAGTCACTGTATAATCAAGAATAGAAAACATCTCAATGTAATATATTTTATATTTGTTCAGTTAAAAAAAGACCAGCAAACCTGTCCCCTCCTGCTATGATGTACCGATACACTGGACTCTGGTTCAACTCCCTCAGGGCTTTGTTGAAGTCTGACTAACAACAAATACACAAGCAGAACACACAACAGATGAAGTCATTTTTCCATAAAAGACAATAAGATTTTGATAAGATCATTTGATGAAGTGTCCTCATCCTGGCATGGCCTGACTTAGCCTCCCTTGCTCTTTAACATCATTGTCTATTCTTGGGCTCAATCACACTGGGAGCATTTCAGGACATCTTTTACCGTGATGAGGAAAGCCAGTCGACCAGAAGTCCCACAACCACTCAGTACAACTAGGCTGTCCCGTGGATCCTTTGAAGAAACAGAACAAGGACTTAACACACGCCTGATCAAACATCAGATATACAGACAGAAAAATGACTAAAAACTTACCTTGAGAATGAGCTCCACCTTTTCAGCAACCTCCATTAATGTTTCCACCACCTGTTTACTCACAAGCCTCTAAAAAAAGACAAGTAATCATGTGAATATGGTGAAACTTTAAAGGACTTCCCATTCTTTGTAAATATATGTACCTTATAAGTGGCTCCTGTGTCCTCCTGAAACATTTGGGCGTCAGTGGCCTGTAAAATCCGCACAATATGACTGGCCGAGGCACGGTCAATGTCACGAGTCAAGGGATTGGATTTCTCTGACACAGGGAGAGACGGCTCATAATCTGGGGACTGAGGAGAAATACATGTTAAAAAATAGATTTTGAGCTGCAATATAATTATCAAGCATGAACGCATTAATGATAAATCATGAAATCTCTGTAAATATGAAGAGACCTTGTATGAATTTGTGTTGAATGTTTTACGGATATTAAATAATGAGACAAATAGTTTTAATAATGGAGAAAGAGCTTGATAGACTGGAAAATATTTCATATTTTATGTCTGCAAAGCTAGTGTTTGCATCAGGACTATCGGTTTAATGAGCAAAGAGACGAGAAACCAACAAAACATACAGCACTACTTATTTTTTCTTATCAAAATAGTGGCGTAAAAAAATTTGGTATTTACAGTGGCCGAGAACCACCACTGCTGCAAATGAAAAAAGTATGCAAAAAAAAAAAAAGAAGCCACAACAGAAGTTACCAATGCAAAAAAAAGGAAAACCAAAACCCACTAAAAATAAAAAAGAAACAGTGCAGATAAAATAAAATAAAATAAAAAAAAGCCACAACGGAAGTTAATGACGCAAAAAAAAGAGGCAATGCAAAAAAAAAAAAAAGGTAACCACTGCGAAAATAAGAGGATGCAATAAAAAAGCCACAACAGAAGTTAACAACGCAAAAAAAATGGCGATGCAAAAAAAAGGTTACTTAATGCGAAAATAAAAGGGTGCAAATAAAAAAAGCCACAACCAAAGTTAATGATGCAAAAATAAGTGCCGATGCAAAAAAATAAATAAATAAGTTACTTACTGCGAAAATAAAAGGATGCAAATAAAAAAAGCCACAACAAAAGTGAGCTGCTGGGGACCAATAATGATGATGCACAGGTGTTTTACGATCTAGCCACAGAAGACGATGGCGAGAAGACGAGCAAAGAAGTTAGTATTGTTTAATTTCGCTTCGTAAACTTTTCAATGTGTCACTTGGTTTGGCCATGTTGTGCCTGAGTCGATATGAAGCTGATCTGGAGGATGCTGGTGTAGTGTTAGCTTTGGCTAACACGGGAAACCCACTGCGCCCCGAAAGAGGAGAATCGAGTGCGGTGCTTTTCTGATTTGCATTCTTTTATTTCCGCAATCAGTAACTTTTTTTTTTTTTTGCATCGCTACTTTTTTGCGTCGTTAACTTCCATTGTGGCCTCTTTTTTTTTTCAAATCTGCACCGTTCCTTTTTTTTTGCAGCGGGCTTTGGTTTCTTTTTTTTCATCAGTAACTTCAGTTGTTGCTTCTTTTTTTATTTGCAGCAGTTGCGGTTATCGACCACCATAGATATTTCACTAAAGCCCCTTTATGAAGATTTACAATACAACTTTATTCTCTTAGTTTCTGTTTCAGCCGTAAAGTACACGGTTGTGCTATTGTCACTGATTGCAATAAAGTTGGTTAAATAAAAAAAACACCAAACTGAGCGACAGATTTTCACTTTATCATCAACATGACAGTAAATTAAATATATCCAGTACATTGACAGATAAGTGTAATGAAAATACTAAGGAGGAGGAGGAGTAAATAAAAAGCTGTCTTACAACTATTCACTTGGTTTTAGTCCGTTTTGTGTCGATCTTTCCGGCCCGAAGTAATGTTTGGTGTTTAGCAGAAAAGTGCTTCCCAATGATATTAGCTACCAAACAACTCTGCGCATGCGTGAAATTGCCAGCTGACGACAAGGAAACTCAAACTATGGAGGTAAACTTGCCTTTTAAAACTTAATGACGGATTGTTTAGACGATCAAAAAACAGTATAACATCTGTTTGGGTTAGGGTTAGGAAATTAAGTCAGTGATATGAAGTTATTAAGTACTGAGTGCTTTATTTGACTCGGGATATTACTCCTCTGGCCAACACTTCTACTTCCTTAATAGAGTTTCATATAGTACATAAAAACATACCAGTTCTTGCAGCAAACATATCACTGTTTATGACCTTGATGCATTAATAAACAGCGCAAATCGACCACTTTCGTTATCGATTCACGCTATAGCAGAGGTTTTCAAACAGGCAACATAAAGCTTACCTCCCACGCATGCATTGCAGCAGGACTACAAGTCCACTCTCTCCCTGCGTGCATTTTTCCTTTTCTGCACACAACAGTTTGTCACAAGATGTGTCCTCTAGTGTAGACAGTTTCCTCTTCCTTTGTAAAGGGATTTCAAATGAAACCACACTCTCCTGCGCTCTTAAGAGTGTCAAAGTTCACTACAGGACCTTTGAGACCTAGGCAGCGTGGATTTACAGCCACTCTTCCTCACTCTCATTTCCAGCTTTGAATGTCTTGATCGATAAAAAAAGTGAGTTACTCCTTTTATGGGACTCAAGCCATAGTACAATTGCACCCAGCAGATTGTGGCGTCTGATACATTTTTACCACTTTCAGTGGACTCCAACAAACTGTTTGCTGCAGATTGCCTCACTCCTCCAAACTCCCACTACTGTCTCCCATAACTGCTGTCTAATTACTGTTGGTGACACACCAACGAGGACATTTTGCACATAATTTTGCATAAACAAAGAGGACACAAATATTTTTCCTTGCACTTAATAAATTCTACCATCCCACTTGTCGACACGAAATGAGTTGTGTGTAAAGTTGCTGTGGAGTGATTCATTCGTACAACTCATCACTGGCTCGCGGTGGTTATTAATGATATAAAATAACAGTTTGGCGTAAACCTCTATGAGTCATCCTGTAATCAGTGTGTAGGGCTCTGTGAGTGGTCATGTGGGGATAAAGTTCCTGCATAGTCTCATATAAGTTTCACACTGCAATGCTTTCAACACAAACTGGCTGAGTTTGATTTAGTTCACCCTGCTGTCCTGTTTAATGTTTTCCGTCCCTGTGTGGCCGCAGAAGCAGCACACCTGTGTGCGCTCTGTTCTGATCATTGAGCTCCTGCTGAGTGCAGCTGAAGCAAATTAGCAATTAGAAGGGCAGCTACATAGGTTGGGAGTTGGCATCATGCTGCTGCCATTATTGCCATACTTGCCATAATGTCAAATGCATTGTCAGTTGTTGTAAACGTGAATTATCTTGTGTCATATCAATGTCTAAACCCAGTTCAGTCTCAGCAGATCACTGTCTAACATGAATCTGGTTCTGCTGGACGTTTCTGCCTGTTAATGGAATTTTTTAATTTTATTTTTTTTAAGATAAATTCTGCCAAATGTTACACCAATATGGTAGAAGATGGGATGGGAGCAGTCTTTACATTTTATTTTGTTGAAGGGATATTCCGGCGTAAAATTAATGTATGGTCAAACACACCAAAACACTGAGTTAGACAACCCCTCGAGAGATGAATGTTGCTGACCGCTTGCTTCTCTAGTTTTACCAACTTTAGTAACCACTGCATGATAGCAATACACAGCCGTCTGAGGAGCCATAAACAATCCTCATCCAAAACTCCACTCTATGGCCACAAATAATGCTCAGAACAGCACCTAACTTCATCAACAGTACACATAGGGACCCAGCCATAGTACTAGACACCAAACAACTTTTTAACTTTGCCTGATTTCTTTAGCAAAGTTAAAAGATGTTTGGTGATTATTACTTAAAGGAAATGATAAAGTAATGATCATAAATGTTGTTCCTTGAGCTGCGTCACCCCGCTGCAGTCCGTAATGGACTGGCCCAAGTCTCACTACAAACAAGCGGCTGCTGGAAGAGAGTGGGTGAGTTGTGTTTAGTCTCTTTGCTCAGGAAAGTGTAAGTGTCTTGTTAATAATTGGCACAATTTAAATAAAGATTGATCAAATCTTTTGATGTTAGATCAATCAAATGTTAGATTCTTGAACTTTTCAGGATATCTAATAGTAGTTTTGTACATGTGCATTTAAATAAATTAAAATATCATCAAAAAATTGATTTCTTTCAGTAATTGGGTGCAAAAAAGTGAAACTCATATCAACTTTTTAATGATATTCTAATTCACTGAGATGCACCCGGATGTGCTTTTAACCCTCCAGCTTGTCCTCAGGATCTGTGATGACTCCAATCAGCAAAACAAACCCAGCGCAACTGAACGCATCATTCCCACTAAAAGATGCAGCTGCAGACTGACAGCGCTTCGATGCATAATACATAAGGAGGGCTCAAGCTTCAAGTCTTTTACCCTTTCCATGACTAATTTGTCAGTTTTTTCATATTTAGTCTCTTTTTTATTTATTTATTTTTTAGCTCTCAGTAGATGCTTTCCGATTAATATTATGCATTTTCAACCTGTGCTCATTGCAGCTTTACATGAATAGATAATCCTTCATGACCTGAGTTAATACTTTAGTTGATACCTGCATTTCTAAAGGTCTTGATGCAAGTCATGCCTCACTGTCCAAATACTTTGGTTAACCATAAAAAGCAGTTTCAGCATTATTCTTAATTATAATCAAATTTATAATCAAATCATAGTTACAGCATAAATGTAGCTTTCATACCCTTCTAAAGAACTGAAATGCTCATGTCACACTTCCCATTTTAAAAGGCGTAAACTGCCTTGATACGCTGGACAAAATGAGCATGAAAAGACATGACGAGCCTGTAAAATTACTCTCATATTTTCTTTTAATGGTGTCCCTTGGGTTTTCTTCTTATACACATTTCCTTCTGTGCTTAAAGTAGTTTCATTTCTTTTTATTGTGACATTCAAGTTGAATCGGTCTATCCTACAAAGTGGCAGAGCATGCTGTATCAGTGGCCTCTGGGCTTCCCTTCAGTGCTTTGAGTAGTTCTGCTCAATGCTTCTTTTTCACTATGTCTGAAAGGTAAAAATGAGCTTTTTTATTCTTATCTCAGCTAGATCAGACTTCAGGGTGAAACATATAAGATTCAACACAGTGGATTTGTAGATCTGTAGTTAAAATACTCACCTCCTCAATCGTATACAATAATAAAAAGCTAATAGCTTTCTCTTTTGATGCTGCAAAGGCTCAACAATGGAGCTTTGAACTTTGTCTGATTAAACCTGCTCAGGTTAGAGCTAATTATGTAAGGTCAGCAACCTTTGAGAGCTAATAAAAATGAGAAAGACTCAATTTGTCAGACCAGAGCGGGTGCAATAAAGCTAACGGGAGATTAAAGAAGGTGAGATGTCTGATTAGTCAAATTACTAAAAACGCTGTGGAGAGGGGGGCCTTATATTTTACTGGTATACCTCTGCTTTCTAAACTAAGATGAGAGTAACATGAGGAAGGACTGGTATACCTCTGCTTTCTTAACTAAGATGAGAGTAACATGAGGAAGGACTGGTATACCTCTGCTTTCTTAAACTAAGATGAGAGTAACATGAGGAAGGACTGGTATACCTCTGCTTTCTTAACTAAGATGAGAGTAACATGAGGAAGGAGAGTGTGAGGAAAATAAGGACACTACTTATGCATGTAGAAGACAAAATATGCTTTGTCCACAGGGGGCGCCAAAGTTGGCACAAGCTGAAAGTTCCTTACAGGAGTTTTAAGCAGAGTTTAGATGCTTAAGGGTCGAATGTTATACAAACACAAGTGAGGTAGGCGGTGAAGGAAGGTATATGATAGAATCAGCAAGGAGATAGGAGATAGATGTATTGCTTTGTTGAAAGAGGTCGCCAAGGTCGCCAAACTGATAACTCCCCCTGCTTTAAGATTTTTTTTTTAAATGCTGGAGCTCCAACTGGTCTGAAGACTTTTTACACCGCGCTGTCAGACTGTATTCAGGAGTCTGAGGAAGCCAGTGTCCCTGCCAAGTTTCCTTCCCTACTGGGCTCGCTTTATCTTCATCTCTGTCATGTCTATTGAGAGCCAAATGAAGTTCAAGCCAACCTTGTGTCTTAGCTCCACTTTCGCAGAAACACTTTCACTTCTTTTGCAGAAAGGTTGTGCCTAAAGGTACAGCCAAGATTGTCAATAACTAAAATTCACTTCTTCTTCCTCTCCTTCTTGAGTGGCTTTTATCGTATTTGGCATCTTTTAATTTTACCCTTTCTGTAGCCATACAGATTTAGGTTTCCTTATCTCATTTTGTCCCTCCAGTCATTCGCAGCCAGATGAAAACTCTCTTTGTGTGGCTTCCCGGTTCTCGTCAACTCAGCATGAGGTAATTGTTTTGATCTATTGAGGTTTACTGCTGATCCAGGAGCTGCTGGCTTCTTTTGTCTTCAACAGGACGACCAAATCATCTGTAAGCAAGAAGCATTTGATCTTGAGTCCTCGGGCATCTTTGCTAATTTACTTAGATAAATACTGCATGAAGAGTGGAACTGCAGCAGCAACCTATTATTCATGTATGAGGTTTAGTTTCACTTCCCGAGATGACTTTTTTAAGCATCATTTACATAGTTTTTAACTGATAATCAAAGGTTTAACACTCCAAACTATACATTTCTATGATATACTGAGTCTAAAAGCTGCAAAATATTGGATTTCTTTGGATTTAAGTGTCGTAGGAGCATAGATGTGACTTTTTCTGGAAGTTTCATTCTCTTAAATAAATGAAAAATTGTGTTGCCGGAGAATATTATACATTTCTATGACATACTGAGTCTAAAGGCTGCAAAAAATTTGGATTTCTTTGGATTTCAGTGTCGCAAGAGCACAGATGTGACTTTTTCTGGAAGTTTCATTCTCTTAAATAAATGAAAAATTGTGTTGCTGGAAAAGGTGCACCACATCTGCCCATCTTGCTGCAGACACGTGCCTCTTTGCAGGTGCTCAGGTCACATTTCTCTGCATGTTTTTGAACGTTTTTAGCCTTAAGTCCAGGTGTCAGGGGGGAAAAAAACCCACACTCTGAGCTGTGCCTGAGTAACTCCACTGTTTCTGTCACTAACTCTCATTGTCCCTTGCTCACACACAAACAAGCACGGCTATACAACCATCCACTCCCTCCCTCTCTGTCTCTCTCTCGCTCCCTGTCCTTCAGCTATTGTTGTCATGACAACAGTGAGGCTAATCTCCAATGGATGGAAAGAGAGAGAGAGCGAGGGAAAGTGCAAGTGCTTGCACAGAAATGTGCTCCTGAGAATGAGGAGCAAGTGTGTGTGTGTGATGAATAGATGCAATGCATGCTTGCATATTTCAGAGCGTGCGTGCTTTGGTGACATAAATAAAACCCATATGTGTGTGAAGTACTTGTGGGAGGGCGGGTGAGCCGGCACGTGTTTGAAATGGAGCGTGCATTTACATTCAACATCAGCTCAACATTTGGACTGACTTCATTTGTGGAGGATGAATTATTTTTACATCTCTCGACTCCAACCCTCTTAACACCTGCATGTCTCTCACTCTGCCTCCTTTCTCCTCCTCATGACCTTCAGAAATATCCTACCCGGTCCCCCTTCTCGACTTCCCTCCTCATTTGGACTCTCTTCCTTCATCCACCCTCAAGATGCATCTGTCTCTGACTCCTTTTTCTCTCCTCTTGAATCATCCTTTCTTCTGCATCCTTCCTTATTCACTTTCTCTCTCTCCTTTCATCTCTCCTCTAATTCCTACACCCATCCTTCTTTCCCTTCCAGCTCCCATATTTCAGCCCCCTCCTCTCCTCTCTCACTGTCCATCCCATTTTCTCACATTCTTAAATCCTAAATGCTTGCCTTGCATGGAGCGCGCGCGCGCACACACACACACACACACACACACACACACACACACACGTACTGTTTGTTATGGCTGATTAGGCTGGCAGAGCCACGAGACAGTCAGCCCATGGGAGGGGATGATGGAGGGATGGATGGATGGATGGATGGAGAGTGCTGTAGAGAAGAGAAGAAAGTGTTGGGAGACTATTAGGTGGGACTTATATTAAATTCCACAATAAGCTGTTTTTATTAGAAAAAATCATTGTTTTTTGCAGCACTGTGGGGATTTTCACGAATCTTGTAGGCTACTTAGGTGTGCGTGAACGCGCACGCGTGCAGATGTGATTTCGGGGTTGAAGTTGTCATCCGGTAGAGGGCGGAGTGAGAGAAAGAGAGAGAGAGAGAGTGAGAAGAGTGGGTACGCTGGAGCTGCAGAGGGCTGGAGCTGCGGAAAGGAGCGGAGCGAACCTGGCCAGGAGCGGATGCCGGCTACCTGCAGCCTGAGTGCGGGAGGGATGAGAGGCAGAGGCCGGGGGTCTTCGGGTTGACTTCAGAGGAGGGTGTCTTCGCGCGGGGGGTAGACTTTTGGTTCAGTGCATGCACATCATCATCCAAACATCCACACACACTCTCACGTCTTAAGAGCAGCGGGAAATGCATTACGTCATAGCCTCCCATCGCCCTAGATGACCGCGCGCAGGACGGGATGATGATGATGCGGGGCTGCTGGACTAGAACCCATTCCGCTGCTGCTGCCGCATCTCGCAAGCGCCCGGTGGGGGTGTCTCGAGCGCACGAGAAAGAAGGGGAGCCGCCGTCGCGTGGCCGCCGGCTCTGATGGCTCCTCTCGCCCCGGGCGGGAAAGAGACACAGCAGTCGCCGCGGCGCGAGAGGGAAGGGGGCAGCAGGTATCGGGGAAGTGACGTGGTATCCGCGCCCCAACAGCCAGCAAAACGGTGCGGTTGTCGTGCGTTTCGCAGGAGGGCAGGAGTGGGAAGGGGAATATGGCCGCGCAGTCGGACGGCGGCAAAGCCGGGGTCGGGTACAGCGGCAGTGGTTTCGCCCAGCTGTACGATGTTGACGCTGAGGAGCCGCTGGACTCAGCTGCGATCCACATCTGTCAGTGCTGCCGCACCTCAGCCTGCTACTGGGGCTGCCGCTCTGCCTGCCTCGGCTCTCTGCTTGGAGGGGGGCAGCCTACCGGAGGGGTCGGTATCCGGGAGACTCACTGCCCGCCCCGGGAACAGCTATGGCTGGACTGCCTCTGGATCATCCTCGCCCTCCTTGTCTTCTTCTGGGACGTTGGCACAGACCTGTGCCTGGCCATGGACTACTACCAGAGGCAGGACTACCTTTGGTTTGGCCTCACTCTCTTCTTCGTGCTGGTGCCGTCGGTGCTGGTCCAGATTCTAAGTTTTCGCTGGTTTGTTCAGGACTACACCGGCGGGGGGCTCGGGGAGGTAGAGGGGCTGACCAAGAGGGGCACAGTGGCGCTGGGGTGCCTGTATCCCGGCAGAGACCGCCTGCAGCTGGCCACCATCTGGCTGTGGCAAGTCATCATACACATCCTCCAGCTGGGACAAGTGTGGAGGTAAAGAGGGTGGGGACACAAACAACAACAACAACACACACCTGAGCTGAGCCCAACCTGTCACACTGCAATGCCTCCATCTCCCTCCCCCCACAGTCTCTTCACACACACACTTAATGTTGCTAATGGGTAGAGTGGGATGTCTTCTTGATGTTGCTGGAAAAAGCAAAGCTTGCTCCACACTGACAGGCAGGATAGGAGGACAGGAAAAGGCTCTCTGTGACCTCCTCGGCGCTTCAGTTTCTATCTGAGAGTAACAGGAAGATAGATTGGGAGAGACAGCGAGAAAGACAATGAAGGAGACGTAGAAAGACAGTCAGAGAGAGACACAGAGAGGTCTGATCTGTTGTTACATTGTCTTTTCTTTTTGGGGTTAACTTGGAAAAAGTTCATCCTACCACACTGACTTCTATAATCTCAGCTGAGTTCAAACTAGATGGAAAAGTGTTAAAATTAGGCTGTGTTCAAAATAAATCACTCAATCCCTAATCCCTAACACCCATATGGGTTTTCACTATATAGCTGACTATGTTTCAGACACTACATGGCGGGATGCCCAACACCGGTGAGTGACCATCGGATAGTCACTACATTTGGGGCATTGGAATTGATCACTCAGGTTTCGGACACCCCTCAAAATGTCGCTAACCCCCATATAGTCGCCTTGGAATCCATTTGGGACTCAGCCTTAGATTATGTGTAAAGGGACATAAGGGGCAGCTGGAGCTGTCCGAGGTGCTGAAACACTTAAAGCACCCAGGAGAGTCCCTGTTCTTCGAATGAAACAGAAGAGTTGTGGGGTTGTGTCGGTGTGCGCGGGTGTGTTCATGTGTATCTTTTTTTGTCCGAGTGTGGTCACGCGTGGCTGCGTGTCCGACCAGTGGAAAAACGGTGTCATGGCTCTTCCCGTGAGTGTCAGCGTGCATGGAGGGTTACAAAGAGGAAAAGCATCTGTGCTTCTGGCAACACACCTCCCTCTCCCTATCCCTCTCACTCTCTCTCTCTCTCTCTCTTACTCTGTTGGACACACACATACACACACACACATATAGACACAGTTGGACATGGGTAGGTGCTAATTGTAGCGCTAAAAGCACCAGCAAGGAAAAAAGAAAACTGAAACACACATGCACCCTTGCGCTTTCATACACACTCACACGTCTGATATTACAGCTCAAGTTTCCTACAGCTCCTCTTTCTCATTATATACGATTATGTTTGTTTTTATGTGTGTGTGTGTGTGGCTCTGATAGTAGTAGTATCATCTTGCTCATCTGCTTAGAAGCCCCATATAAAAAGACAGCACTTGCAGTAATTTCCCTCCAACCCGCCCACCCCCACCCCTCTCTCTAAGAAGATGCCTTAATGTTGTCCACTCGCCTCTGGGCGGGCAGCTGAGTGAGTAAAGTGTGGCGAGTGTGTGTGTGCTTGTGTGGAACGTGTGCTTGTGCATGTTTACACCACTCAGCTCCTCTGCTTTGGTCTCTACGTGGTTGTAGGGTTAACTCATCCCCCCCTCACTTAGACACATGCACATACAAATACCCCCGTTCACCCCACCCAGTAATCACCCCCTCGGCCTAAAGAATGGACTCTCCCACCTGAAGGAAGCAGGAGACGGAGCACAAGAAAGGAGTGGGGGTGTATGTAGCAGAGGAAATGGTTTGGCCTGATTGAGACAGATTGCCTTAGAGATGGAGAGGCTGGAGTGAGAAGGAGGGGTGAGGTCGAGAAGGAAGCAGGGAGGAAAGGTTGCACATTCGCAATGGGAGCGAAAAGGGGGAAGGGAACGGGAAAGACAGCGAGGGGAGCGAAGGAAATGAAGGAGTGAGAGTGGTGGGGGTTGGGTGGAGGCGTGGAAGATGTACTGTATTCGGCACATATGTTCGAAAGCACATCCTTCTATGTGAAGACATTAATTGGCTGTCGGGGTCGCCTGACACGCTGCTCAGTGGAGCCTCATTTCTTAGCATTAATGAAAGCAAAAGGACTTTCTATTCACAGATTTTAGGAACTGTAAATGAGAAATGCTGCTTATTTATCCTTCGGTGTTATTGAGTCAAGGACAAATAGGATTTTAGTCTGTTTTTCCCACTTTAAGACTCATAAACCAGTAATTCAGCTTTTAATTCACAGTTTGTCTTCTGATCACATTACCTGGAGTCGCCTGAATCCAAAATACACGCAAAAAGCTGAGGCGTGAATACATGGCTGTTATACACTGGCCTCTCTCTCTCTTATAGATAATACATATGCATACTTGCAATTTAAAGCTCCTATAGGGAGTTTTTTTACCTTTAAGAAATGGCTGAAATTCATATTCATGCCTTTTTATGCTTTCCAGAACCAAACAAGACCATCAGTGACATGATTGGTGGTTTTTATTTTGTAATTTTCATGGCCAAAAAAACAGGTCTGACTCCTTGGCTGGTTTATAACTATGCGTTTAAAGAAAGTGGTCGTAGCCTATCAAGTTAACCAACTATGTGTAGTGCTAGTTTTTCTTGGAAAGACTCAGCAGAAGAGGCTGGCGTTAAGTCTCCTTCAGAATCAAAGTTACCATATATTGAGCCCAACTACAATGGATACAAGGATAGTGGAAACAAAGGTAGAAAGAGCGACACTGAATGCAAGATCTTGCCGTGAAGCCAGATTATTGTACTGTCCATCCTATCTGTGTGCCATTTAATGAATGATCCCTAAATCTGTGCTGTGGAGGTCTACTCGCCTGTGAATGTCACTCACCGGCTCCTGCACGCCATGAGATGAGGGCTGTGATTGATCCCTGAATAACTGGACTGGGCTTCCTGCTGTGCAGCAGCTCCGCTCTTGTGTATCTTCCTGAATGGAACTTGAACATTCATTTCAAAATGTTTGTTTATTGTGATTTGAGCAAAAAATACCTTTTAAATATTTGCTCTTTGTCCTGATATCTTGAGCACTCTCTGGAGTAAGCAAGAAACTGCTCATGCTCAGAGTGAATGTAAACTAGTTGACCTTATTGAACCATGAATAAAGCGCGAAATTTAAAGTGAGCTAGTTGATTTAAACTGTATGAGCTCGACTTAAAGGGATATTCAGGCGTAAAATTAAGTTAGGGTCACGAAGTTAGACACCCCCTCGAGAGCTGAATGTTGCTGACCGCTTGCTTCTCTAGTTACCAACTTTAATAACGACCACACACAAACTTCAATCAAAAAGACACTCTATAGACACAAATAATGCTCAGAACAGCACCTAACTTTATCAACAGTACATATAAAGTCCCAGCCACAGCGCTAGCCTCCAAACATCTTTTTAACTTTGCCTGATTTCTTTAGCAAAGAGACTAAACACAACTCACCCACTCTCTTTCAGCAGCCGCTTGTTTGTAGCAACACCCTCATGTCAGTCCATTACAGACTGCAGCGGGGTGACACAGCTCAAGGAAGAACATTTATGGTCATTTCTTCATGGAAATGCAATCAGATGCTAAGGTAGAAGAACTACCGCGTCTGCAGTGCAAAAAAGGTTAATATGATGATTATAACTTCAAGGAAATGATAAAGTAATGATCATAAATGTTCTTCCTTGAGCTGCGTAACCCCGCAGCAGTCCGTAATGGACTGGCCTAAGGTCTCGCTACAAACAAGCGGCTGCTGGAAGAGAGTAGGTGAGTTGTGTTTAGTCTCTTTGCTAAAGAAATTAGACAAAGCTAAAAAGATGTTTGGTGGCTAGTACTTTGGCTGGGTCCTTATATGTACTGTTGATGAAGTTAGGTGCTGTTCTGAGCATAATTTTTGGCTATAGAGTGGCGTTTTGGTTGAGGTTTGTGTGTGGCTCCTCAGACCGCTGTGTATTGCTATCATGTGGTCATTACTAAAGTTGGTATAACTAGAGAAGCAAGCGGTCGGCAACATTCATCTGTCGAGGGGGTGTCTAACTCAGTGTTTGTGTGTTTGACCCTAAATTAATTTTACGCCGGAATATCTCTTCAAATCTGGCGCCTTTTAAATGTGAATTTGCACTGCGTCTTTTCCCAACAAATCATCATGACACAGCGAGAGGCATATTAGCTTAAGAGCAGTATAAACTGTCTTTAATAGCATATAATTATTATAAGGCGGTGTGTTAACTGGTGCAACAAAGATGGCAGGTGATTAAGCGAACTTTTTAAAAACATATAGTGGACTGTTTCCAAGTGTGGGAAAGATAAAGCGCTTTCCAGGCATCTCTCATCCTTGTGCTGCTCCATCATTAATTAGCCGGGAGTGCTCTCGTGATTGGCAGTCTAAGTGCCTTTGCATGCCCGGCCTCTGCATCAAGCCAGAGCTGATGTGTGTATATGAACAGTATGCGTGCACATGTCGTCATTTTCCATTGGGTTTCCTGTGCATTATTTATGTTTCATGAATTACGCTTGTACGTTCCAGACCAGATAGCTGGTATATCTGTGCATGCATGCTGAGCCATACATAATGTAAGAGTACACGCACACTGAGTGACACCCATACACACACACATAGAAGTACAGTAAGCACACCCAGAGAGGCGGGATCAATGGAATGCATTTGCCCACATGTGCATATACACATACACACCTCCACAACACACACACACACACACACACACACTCGTGAGTGCCTGAGGCATTTTAATTGAAATCTCTGCCTACATCCCACCCACATGTGCTGTAGTTTCCCAGATGAAAATCTCTCACTTTATCAAAATCTTATCATAGCTGTTTGTGCATACAGTGGTTCTATCAACAATAAGACCGTGATAAAACCCACGAATATTTATGGAACACGAGCAGAAGAGCCAAAGATCATATCCCACGAGATTTATGGATGTTTTATTTATCCGGCAAAAGGACAGTATCGGAGATGATGCCAATTCACTGCTGCTCTTTCTAGTTATTCTGTTTCTATAATTTTTACTTTGGCTGTTTTTTTTTTTTGTTTTTTTTTCAATTCTTGCCAACAGAGCTCTAATAGTCACAGTTATAGTGCTGAGAAGAAATGTATGTTTTGCTACAAGTTATGAACTCCAGTAGGTTGTGTGCAATAGTTTTCTCTGCAGCTTAATCGCTTATTTACATTACTATGCCACTCTGCGATTTTACAACCATCCAATGCAGACTGTATGAAATATAGATTTGGTAGCAGTGACATCTTCCATGGGTTTCTGAGGAGAAGTTTTGAAGCCAATGATGGCATCACATTGTCGGATATGCTGCCACAAACCTAACTTTTGGCTCCATCATGCCGTAGGTTGCTCTAGATTGCTGCTGCATCAATCTCACCTCTGTAGATCTCTCTCTTTCTTTCTGCATCTCTAATCCCAATCTACTACCAGCAGATAACTATCTTACATGAGTTTGTTTCTGCTCAAGGTGTCTACAATTTAAAATAAGTTTTTACTCTCCTCTGTACATCTTCCAGGTACATCAGGACACTTTACCTGGGTATCATGTCGCGCCGCCAGAAGGAGCACCAGCGGCGCTGGTACTGGGCCATGATGTTCGAGTACGCTGACGTCAACATGCTGCGACTCCTGGAGACTTTCCTGGAGTCTGCACCACAGCTGGTCCTGCAGCTCTGCATCATGATCCAGGAGAACCGAGCCGAGACGCTGCAGTGTATGTAAAGCACAGATAACAACGCGCTGTAGTTCCTAAAGGGAAAAAGGAGTGTGACGATCCGGAGTTAAACAAAAAAAGGACCCAAAATGCAGAACACAATAAAAAATATCTAAATGAAAAGCAACAAAAAAAAAAAATTAATTTAGGGTCAAACACACCATAACACAAAGTTAGACACCCCCTCGAGAGATGAATGTTGCCGACCGCTTGCTTCTCTAGTTTTACCAACTTTAGTAACGACCGCATGATAGCAATACACAGCGGTCTGAGGAGCCATAAACAAACCTCATCCAAAACGCCACTTTATAGCCTCAAGTAATGCTCAGAACAGCACCTAACTTCATCAACAATACATATAGGGTCGCAGCCATAGTACTAGCCAATAAACATCCATTTGACTTTGCCTAATTTCTTTAGCAAAGAGACTAAACACAACCCACCCACTCTCTTCCAGCAGCCGCTTGTTTGGAGCGAAACCTGAGGCCAGTCCATTACAGACTGCAGCGGGGTGACGCAGCTCAAGGAAGAACATTTATGATCATTACTTAATCGTTTCCTTGAAGTAATAATCACCATATTAATCATTTTGCACTGCAGACACTGCACTCGCTACAAACAAGCATCTGTTGGAAGATTGATGTTTGTGTGTGGCTCCTCAGACTGTTGTGTATTGCTATCGTGCCGTCGTTACCAAAGTTGGTATAAGTAGAGAAGCAAGCGGTCACCAACATTCATCTGTCAAGGGGGTGTCTTACTCTTTGCTATGGTGTGTTTGACCCTAAATAATTTTAAGCCGGAATATCCCTGAAAATGTCCAACAGAAAAATACCCAAAAGCAAAAAAACACCAGAGGCAAAATCCAAGAAGCCAAAAATCACTGGGGCAAAATCAGAGGGAGCAACTGGGGAGATAGGCATATACACAGAAACATCAACCTAAAGAAACAGGGGAATACAGGGACTATATATAGACAGGGGAATGAGCAACGAGAGGCAGGTGAGAAACTGAGACACAGGTGCAGACAATTACAGAGGAGGGAAAACTGAGGTAGTAAAACAAGACTAGAAACACAAGGAATAAACGACTACAAAATAATACAGGAAATGGGGTCAAACACAAACTGAAAACTCACAAGACAGGACCACAGGAGAACAGGAAACAGAAACACTAGAAATAAACTCAGATAACCAAAACCAGGGGAAAAACTAAATACCAGAACATGTCATGACAAGGAGACCAACTTAGAGTCAGATTTAAAAACACAACACTGTGTTTTCATGCAGCAGACTAAGTACATACAACTCAGCAGCTGCACAAACAGTAATAGGCCATTTGTGCACATCATCCTCAGTAATTCCTACTTTTGGATTCTCACCGTTGTTTTTTCGTGAAGGTGGTTCCAGAAAGTAAGCACAATCATAGGTGTTCAGGGGGACGTGCTAGCCAAAATCCATCAGCCTCCTGTTCCTTATTCATCCAGGAGATGTATCATCTTGGCGTCCACCCACTGGTGTTATTCATCCCAATCACTCTCCAGTTTAAGAAGCCTTTTACTTTAAATGCAAATATGTGACTAACAAAGGGGGGTTGGCTGCACACAGCAGCTGGGTTATAGAAAAATAACTTCATATATCAGACTCATACCGCTGAGCCTCATTACCAAATGTTTCTGTCGTGTCACACACTACTTCTTATCTAAGAATACGCTCACATTACTACGCAAAACACCTCTAATGAGTCACAGGAATTTGTCAGCGTCCTTTTTTTCCTTCAGGACTCCTGAAACTTTCACGTTTTACTCTCCACATCATTTACTTCTTTTCTAAGTTTTCTAACTCTTTACTCTGCAGGTATCTCCTCCCTGGGCTCCCTCTTGTCTCTCGCTTGGGTTTTGGCCTCGTACCACAAACTACTGCGAGATTCCCGTGACGATCAGCGCAGCATGAGCTACCGCGGGGCTCTGCTGCACCTTTTCTGGCGCCTCTTCACCATCTCCTCCCGCGTCCTCTCCCTCGCCCTCTTCGCCTCCCTCTTCCACATCTACTTCGGCATCTTTGTAGTGGTCCACTGGTGCGCCATGGCTTTCTGGGTGGTGCACGGAGGCACTGACTTCTGCATGTCCAAGTGGGAGGAAGTGCTCTTCAATATGGTGGTTGGCATAGTCTACATCTTCTGCTGGTTCAATGTGAAGGAGGGGCGGACACGCTACAGGATGGTGGCATACTACACTGTGGTGCTAGCGGAGAACTCCATCCTCACGGGGCTGTGGTGAGTCATAGAGGCTGTGTGTGTTGTTTGATCATTAATGTGTTTTTTTTTTTGGCACATGAAAGATGTTGGAGACAGACGAATAGAGTTGATCATTGGCATTTTGACTAAATTAGCATCAAATCAGCATCAGCCTTCACCTTTTCTGAATGAAAACTCGGTTTTTCTTTTCCCTAGTGGCAGCATATCAAACCTCAAACAGTTTCATGGTACTGTTTTTATAAACCTGTAAAAAAAAAATCAACTGGTTTATTATTGACAGAAAAATCAGCATAAACCTGCATCTTTGTCTTCAGTTTCAATTTGCAGGGAAGAATTAATCTGTACGTGACTTTCTTTGATTGTTGTTACTTAAAATTCACCTTGCACTACTTTTCTGTCTTAGTAATTTCAGATAGCCAGACAGAAATTTAACAGTCTGTATTATTGATCAAATACTTGCTCAATTTTATCATTTTGTTTCTCATTTCTCAGCATTTTTAAAGCTCCTGTGAGGATTTTTTTTTACAGTTATGAAACAGACTACAATTCAGATTAATGTCAAAGTGATTTAAAGCAAATAAGACTGATGATTTTGACGCTGTAAGATTAGTCCTCCAAAACAGCTGTGAGGGGGTAGGTGTCAGCTGGGCAGTTGAATGAACAGTAGTGTCGTTCATGAACGTTTCGTTTAAGAAAACGGAACTGCTGAGTGAACAACGTGAACTGAATCAGTCCGAGACCTGATTCGTTCCTTTTTCAGTTCAGTTGAGCTCAGCCGCGAGCCTGGCATGCTGGCCGGGAGTGGAACTGCAGCCTCTGACTCTGGCGAACGATACACAGCCAGCGAGCGAGCAGGTGGAGTCTCGTGATTCACTCGCAGCGAATGAACGATATGTATCAGTCAGTGAACAACCTGTATCAGTATGTGAACGAAACAGTCTGTGAACGACATGTATCAGTATGTGAACGGAATGATTCAGTCAGTCAGTGAACAACATGGTGAACTAAACAAACTACTTCCGAATGACTTTATTCAGGCAGAGGAGGGAGGGGTTGTAGTGTCGTTCACTTACTGCTGAACACTGGTTTATTCACTGAGGCTAAGATAAAACAGTGCATTATAGTGCATTTACATTAGTAAACGTGTATAAACTTTCCTGCAAAAAGGATTTTATTTCAGCTGATTTAAAGCAATATGCTATTCAATATCTTTAAATGTAGCAGAATCCCAGCTACAGCTACAATGTTTATTTATTTTAATCTCTCCACTTTTCCGCGATATAAAAGAACGACGACTTGCGCTTGTTTAGCGGGTGTGCTGCTTGCTGCTGTTGTTTCGCCAACAGCGACACACAGAGAGGTGAGTTTTTCAGGGCAGGGGAGTGAGTCTTCCGTCAGGACTTGGCAAATGAATGACATGTACAGTCAAAAAAACTGTTCTTCCCATCACTAATGAGCAGCCCTGATTTTGATTTTGAAATTTAGAAATATATGATATTCACAATAAATGACACATTAGACGATCAAAAATCAAAATCAGCAGGAGGAGCTTCTTTGTGAAAAGACACAACTTATAAACAGCGGGCGCCAAAACCGCCACGGACCTTTAGTCCCTCACAGGAGCTTTACATTGTTGGATTTTGTCAAACGCCCAAAAATGAAGAAAATAACAGCAACTTGATATCGCCATTTCGTATTAGAGGCCAGCCGACTCGCTCTCTCATAATCAGCCACTGAATCACCGTTATTAGTCGACTTCTACATGATACCAGACTATCAGGGTGTCAGATAAACATGACAGCCGAAAATGAGTTTGAAAAAACACTGTTTTACTCATATTGTCTTACCCTATCTGATCTCATCCAAAGCATCAAGAAAAAGACAAAACCCCCAACCCCTGAATCCACTGTAAACCTACTTCTGCCTGAACTTCGTCTGAGTTGTGATTCTTCTTTGCCACAGCCGAGGCAGTTAAATCAGAACTAAATATTTTAAGTGTGGACTTAAAACTCACAGGGGAGCCAGCTTCCCTGAGGTAAGGATTTACTCCCAAAGAAAGCTGCGGTGGTGGGGGGAAAAAAAGCTGTTTTCCTGAGGATGTTGATTTAGGTGTGGAGGAGCTCTATTAGTATGAAAGCCAGCCTCTTTAATGTTGTGTGGATGGTTGAAGAAGACAGGAACTTATATTTCATTTGTGGCCAGTGAAAAGTAGTTTTATATTTTATTCCTTTGCCCGTGTTTTGTTGTCCTCCAGAGTACCAGCCAACAAATATTGTTTGTGTGTCCAAAGCCTGGTAATTCCGATTTCATTGTGTTGCACAACTAAAGCTTTGTTCAACAAATATTAAAAAAACACACCAGTGAGCAACATTATTGCACTGGGTGATATTTCATTACCCTGAACGCACGCACTGTAGTTTGTTTGACTTAATCCCTCATAAACCACCGGCTGCCCCGAGTGCTTACAAAAGCTGCAAATATGAATATTGGATCAGCTGCAGAAAATCATTGTTTCCTTCTGTCTGGGAAATGTTTGTTGTAAGAATAGTGTCCGGTTCTTTCAGTAAATGGTTTTGGTTTTTAAAAAAGGTAAGGGGATCCCAGCCCGAAAGTTGTGGACCCAGGAAAAGAAAGGGTAGCACAGAAGCTAGGCTATCAACTGGGTATCACAAGTTTTAAGTACCTGTGACCTGAACAGTGATGTCAGAGTGAACAAATGCTCTATTTGGACTTTTCAGAGCTTAAAGGGATATTCCGGCGTAGAATTAATTTAGGGTCAAACACACCGTAACACCGAGTTAGACACCCCCTCCAGAGATAAATGTTGCCGACCGCTTGCTTCTCTAGTTATACCAACTTTAGTGACGACCGCAGGATAGCAATACACAGCGGTCTGAGGAGCCATAAACGAACCTCAACCAAAATGCCACTCTATAGCCACAAATAATGCTCAGAACAGCACCTAACTTCATCAACAGTACACATTGGGTCCCAGCCATAGCACTAGCCACAAAAAATCTTTTTGATTTTGCCTAATTTCTTTAGCAAAGAGACGAAACACAACTCACCTACTCTCTTTCAGCAGCTGCTTGTTTGGAGCGAGACCTCAAGCCAGTCCATTACAGACTACAATGGAGTGACGCAGCTCAAGGAAGAACATTTATGATCATTTCTTCATCATTTCCTCGAAGTAATAATCATCATATTAATCATTTTGCACTGCAGACATGGTAGTTCTTCTGCCTTAGTGTTTCGGTCTGATTGCATTTCCATAAAGAAATTATCATAAATGTTCTTCCTTGAGCTGCGTCACCCCGCTGGAGACCGTAATGGACTGGCCCAAGGTCTCGCTACAAACAAGCGGCTGCTGGAAGAGAGAAGATGAGTTGTGTTTCATCTCTTTGCTAAAGAAATTAGGCAAAAGTAAAAAGATGTTTGGTAAAGCTGTGTATTGCTATCGTGCGGTCATTACTAAAGTTGGTATAACTAGAGAAGCAAGCGGTCGGCAACATTCATCTCTCGACGGGGTGGCTGACCTGGTGTTACAGTGTGTTTGACCCTAAATTAATATTTCGTTGGAATATCCCTTTAACCTTGCAAACCAGTCATCCCACCTTTGTTGAATGCCCACCTAAGTCTTTGTAAACTTACAAGAAGACACTCTCACTAGACCTGAACCCTTTCTGCCCCGCTGTCCTGCAGGTACGCCTACAGAGACCCGCTGTTAACAGACTCCTACGCCGTTCCAGCGCTGTGCAGCGTCTACCTGACGTTCGCCTGTGGTGTCCTGGTCATGCTTCTGTACTACGGCTTCCTACACCCGGCCACCGCCCACCTCCAGCCAAGCCCTGCCTCTTCTTGCTGCGCCCAGCTGCTCTGGGGTCTCCCCCTCCCGCCATCCGCCCCGGCCACAGCGCCGCCGACCCCGGCTCATATGGCCAAGTCGCAGACAGAAGAGGATGTGGCTGAGACATGTCTGCCTGTCTTTCAGGTGAGATCTGCACCCCCCACTACGAAGCCGGAGGGCCCGCTAATTAAGATCGACATGCCCAGGAAGCGCTACCCTGCATGGGACGCCCACTACGTAGACAGGCGCCTGCGGAGGACTATAAACATCCTGCAGTACATAACACCCGCTGCTGTTGGCATCCGTTACCGTGACGGGCCTCTTCTGTATGAACTGTTGCAGTACGAGTCCTCCCTTTGACACACAAACAAGTCGGCACATACACATAAGCACATATGCACCACGAAAAGGCGTGTGTGTATACATGGATAGGAAAGATTTTGTAAACACATTGTCACATGTACAACTTGGCACTTGGTGTAAGCACACAGACACAAAAGCAATCTGTCACACTTCCACAAGCACACTCTCAAATACACACACACACACAAACACACACAGATACACAAACACAGTCCTTGCGGGTACCTTTGACCTGTGAGTCCCATGGCCATGACTCAACAAGCTGCTTCAGCGTGAGTCCATCTCTTTCGCTCGTCATCCTTCTGTCCCTTTCCAATCCCTCAGATCTCTCTTCATCTGTTGTCATGTGTTTAATTTAACAAGTCTGCGCTCTGCTGTGAGGAAAACACACACACAAAAAAATGAAACACACTGGAGTTCGCTACCGCCGCATGCCGTTAACATCGCGTCGCTCACTCAATCACAGGTGTCCGTACAATAAAAAAGACGTGAAACAGAGAGTCAAAATGTTAATTCTAATGAGAGGCATCTGTCAAAAGGTAGTGTATATATTTTCTATGTACAGAAAGGATGTTTTTTTATGTGACGTTACATTGTTGTCAACTCGGGACAGGGCAGATAACGGGGAGTACCGAAAAGCGGTGCTGAGATAGTGACGGTATTCACATCCAGATGATTTCAAAAGTCATATCAGAGTTTCGCTTTTGAGAAATAGTTTTACATTTTGAGACAAACACTTGTCTTGGAGAAGATCGACAAGATCGCGAATCGACATGTTTCAACTGTAACAAGCAACTGGAAAATGGTTGAAATGAGGTCTTAGATGTCTGGACTTGATTTCAGACTTTTTTTAATTAGTATTGATTTGAAGCAACCGGGTCCTTAGTAGCCAAGCAGTCTAAAAGTAAAATAACACTCCGGAAAAAGTGAAAAATTAGCACATTTTCATTAATGCAACCAAATTTGGTCAAGTCTGTTATTTGCGCCCAATCGGACCCAGGTTGTCAAGCATTATAGTACCATAGCAGAAGCCATGGGGAGTAGCGGGAGACTGTGCTACAGATTAGGCAAAACAAAGGATCAAACAGGTTACTTAGGGTGACCATACGTCCTCTTACACCCGGACATGTCCTCTTCTTGGGAGGCTGTCTGGGTTTGTCCGGCGAGGTTTATGAAATTCTTCAAATGTCCACGGTTTTGTACGCAAGTTTTGACTTACTGAGTTAGAAGCATGTAAAAGACACTCGGTCTGACCCGAAAAACTCTCAAAATTTACGTTGTGTGACTCTGTGACTCCGCCCCTGAGTAGTCGTGTCATCTTTTAGGGAAGTCAGAATATGGTCACCCTAAGGTTACTGATTCTGGTAGCCTGTTGCATAGGCATTCAAATATGCTCTGTACAAAGCCGAGAGAAAAGTGAGTTTCCCAAAATGTAAAACTATCCTTTTTTAAATGCTAAGCTAGCAGCGTTAGCTAACTAAAAGGGAAAACAATGATAGGTTGATGCAACTCAAAACCAGATGGGTGGCGTTACCGTTTTTGTTACGTCAATCCTGTGCCAATCTTATGAAACGTACCAAACCCGATGTTTAGTCTCCAACTAAAATATATCCTTAAAACTGGACCAGAGCCCGCTGGCCAAAGTTTGGTCGTGTTAAATGATTGAAAAAAATTTAAAAAAGGATTGATTATCTCCAAAGGGGAAAAAAACTAATGCAGGACTAATTATTTCTGATCTGTCTACCAGCACCCACAAGTGTGTGATGTCCCAATTATGCTGTTCCCACGCTAACAGGGTGCTGCCACTGAAGCTGGTATAAAACAGTTTTGGACTTCAATCGCCGCAACCTTCTTGGTGACTTGTGTTCCCCTGATAAGCGTCCAGCATCAACTCCTCCAAAGCCACCCACGGCTGAGCTGTGATGTATGGCTCATTATTTATTTTTTTGTTTGTTTATCCCTGTGATCCAAGCTGTTACATTGGCAGTCGACAGTAAACGAGCTGACTTATCCAGTCATCAGTCTGTTGACGGGAACACTGCTCCCGAAATCACACGCTGTCAAAGGGCTGCCTTAACACCGCATGGTGGCCAGTAAAAACAAGAGGGTTGGAAGGTGGTGGAAGTGTTTTATCGGTCCAATGCATCACATCTTTTCTCTGGTCAATGTCAGCCGTAGAGCAGGTGAGCAATTTCAGATGGTGCCGTCAGAAAACATGAACACAAACCCACATATGCTTCTTATTGCTGCTGGTCCAGAGGATGGACCAGCTGAGGCGAAAGGATACAACAGTTTTCAGAGAGATACGAAGGATATGTCAACATTTTGGGGAAAATGTAAAACTTAGCTAATCCTTCTACAAGTTGCTTGCATTTCTCAGAATTAAGATTTGGGATACAGATTCACCCATTTCTTAATAATCCATAACTACACTGCAGATGAGGAGGGCCCTAACCCTGCATTTCCACTGCGTCCACGGCTCTGATCCGGAACGGCAGTGATTTTTGACGTCCGCTATTTCCAACCGGATCTGTTCGTGAGGTGAATTTCGTGGCGGATTACACAAGAAAACTCAAGAACCCACAGATTCGAGTTGTCTCTGTAAAGACAGCCACATACAGTGCTTTTGGAAAGTATTCAGACCACTTTTTCCACATTTTTTTATGTTTCAGCCTTATTCCAAAATGGATTAAATTCCCTTTTCCCTCAAAAATTCTACACAAAATACCCCATAATGACAAAGCGAAAAACTTTTTTTAGAACATTTTGCAAATTTATTAAAAATAAGAACACTCATGGAGTGTTTTATTTTGGATGTTTTATTGTGTCTGTGCCAGACTTACTTTCCAGCACGGGTTAATCTGTGCCGAATTTATCCGGCATGCTCCGGCATCCGGAAAAATAGAACTCTTGCAATCAGTTGCAGAGTCCGGCGATCCGCAGTGGAATGGAAAGAAGCCGGTGGAAATTGACACATTAACTTGAATGGTTACGATCAGCTACAATCGACGGATATGGCCTTTTCATAGCCGCTCCGGATCTAGTGGAAATAGGGGGTAACATGGGTGTTTCGATTATACATCCTACTCTTACCCTTACTCTTAAACCCTAACTGCCCGAGCTTCATCCCTTATCCTAATCCCCATTTAAGGTTACTCACTTTACCCTTAACGGAATCCTAACCATTCCAGGTGTAGGCCTGACCCTATCCTGGGTTCAAATGTTGATGTATCCTTCGGTGTCCAACGAGGTGAGCTTACATTATTTTCCGTGGTGCTAGCGGACGAAATAAAAAAATAAAATTAGGTCATTCGCTGCCGAGAGGCGAGTAGATTCAGTAGGTGCGAATTTGCAACATCGGTGTTCATATGGTGCAACACGCTCAAACTAATGAGTCAATTGGCTGCTAATCCCACTTCATATGGTGCAAATATGAAACACACATGTACTTTATGGTGCAATATGGGCAGATTGTCTCTTTGAATTCTATGGTGCAACTTGAGTACTGCCTTCAGTTATCGGCCAAGGCTGTGCCAAAGGCTCCGTCCAAACGGACAATTGCTCTTCCTGTCCTGCTGAAGCTATGCAAGTCTCCAACGCGAGGAGATGTGCTTAGTGTACTTGCTCACGAAACACAAACACACACATATACACTTGCATGCATGCACACAGGGTCTTACACCACAGCAGGGACGTACAATCAATACACATACACAATGGAAAGTAGAGTTACAACATTGGATGTATCCCTACCTCACTGCTTTAACACACAAATACAAACTCTCACACTAATGTCCAATAATCCCTTACCCCTTTATAATTTGGGAACAATATTCATATGGTGCTATTGAGTAAAGCTGGGTGGTTTTTTTGTATAGCTGTGGTAACAGTGGTATGAAGACTTTAGCCAAATAAACAAAGTGTTTCATATCTAACGGACTGATCGAATCCTGTAATTCAATCAGTCCTTGTTTCCTCCTGTAGAGTGTACGAAAAAAACAGCAACACCTTCAGCCTCTTAAGAAAAAGAACAATTTGTGACACATGAAAGCTATAATGCCTTATGAGTTTGGCAGAAGTGGAGGTGTACGTTTTTTAAGGTCTCTTAGAGTCTCACAAAGGAATAATCACCCCGAGGAGGTCGGTGCTTCTTTTTGGTACACTCTGAAGTGGACTCACTCTGAGCATTTAGCATATGTTAAGTGTGCAGGAGAAAAGAAATCACAGTGGGGAAACAGATTACTGTGTTCGCACGTTGTCCTAAAAATCAAGTATGTGACATTTAGAAAACACAGTTAGACATTTTTCCTTTTGTTTCACAGATCGTGTTTGTGAATTTCTTGCATGAATGTTCTAGACTTCGAGGGCACGTGTTGCTCTTAGGAAAATAAGTACGGAGGTTAAAAGAGTCTCAGCCTGCGTGCGTGCGCCTCTGGGTTGTAAAAGGGAGAGTTTTGTTGAGCTCCAGAGCAGCTGTCCCCATAGCTATTCCCATGTACTGCTCTTTGACCTTCGACCCGAACCATTGCCCCCTTTGCGCCCAGAGCTCCAGCCAATCAGAGATCAGGTTAAACACAGCCAAATCAGGTCATTCACAACCAAAAAACGACAGTACCTTCTTTATACAGGATTCTTCATGAGTGGCTTCCAGACTCGGCTGTAGATTCATCATCAAACTGCAGGTATCATACTTTTTTACAGACTTTGTTTTATTTTTAACACGGATTACTCGCTATATCATCGTTTTACCCGAAAAGTTAGCCAACAGCTGAGTCTGCAATCCACGAATGAAGCGAAACCCCGAGCCTTAGCCAGGCCCACTCTGTAAGGAATACAAATCCAGCCAGTGTTATTGTATGGCAACTCATCAAAAGCTATGCAAGGTTACACACAGAACGGTTCTGGGCTTTGATAACCTTTACAAACATACCATATCACTGTTTCCATGTATCGCTGTCGTGTGTCAGTTTTCGCCTCTTTTTGTTCAAGAGCAGAAACCTGAAAGTGTTGACGCGCTATCGAATTTGTTTACATTTTTTAAAATCTTTTTGTATTTTTTTTAAGGAGAGTTTGGTATTTTTTTGACATCTTTTTTTTATTCAGTTGACTTATTTTGTTTGTTTTTTTCCACATCAAGTGGTCGGGACGGTTGAAAGAAACTGAAAAACCTGGATTTGTGCGACCTCCCGACAGAGGAAATGTCAAACCTGATATGTTTAACATCAAATACATTAATGAACCACAATCAGGGTCCGTCGAGCATATGAGGCATCTTGTTATGTGTGTGTATGCGAGTTTGCTCCATATGCTTTTTTTAGCCAAAGTTAAACCCGCTTGGTCCAGAGCTGTGAAATTATCATTACTCATCAGGCTTCTGTTCTGAAACTGAGACCAGAAGCTAAGCTGTTTCTGCTCATGGACCGGTTTCTGCCAGATCTGAGTCAGACAACAATCCAAATCCGCCAGTTTTTTTCCTCTTTTTTTTTTGGCTCAAATTCAATCATGGACAACGTGTTGTGAGCAATTTAGAGGTTTGACTCAGGTGTGGATACTAAAAGCACAGTGCAGGGTCATAATAAACCTTAATGTGGATGTAATCTCAAAAGATGTACCATGAGCTTTTATTTTGGGGGTCATGCTTTTGTACTTTGTTCTTCAGCTTGGGAAACAGTAGCTCTAGAGAGTCAATGTGCAAAAGTGTATTTTTCATTTCTCGTGGTTGGCTTTTTGATTGTAAATACCTTTTTCTCGTAATTCTCCTAATTTGGATCTATGTTTGATGACTTTGCTTAGATGGCTATTTTAAATGTGCAGATAGTAAATGTTCTTTATAAATATCCAGAATGTAAGACGAGAGAAGAAAAATAAGGCTTAACTGGAAACTGTGTTTTTGTAGGAGTCTGTGCCATCGTGTTGTCTTGAGTATAAGCACACTGATATTAGATCTGTAGGCAGGGCGAAGTTGGAGAGTTGGACGGCCAGACAGCTCACCAAGTTATACTTTTAATCAGGACAAACAGTTCGGCGCTCAAGAGCATTCAAGTCTCCCTTTTCTGCGAGCTGAATATGAAACTGGTTAGCAGGAAGAGAGTGGAATCGGGGAAAAACTGGGTCGCTCTCAGAATCCTAAATACTACAGAGTTTATTTGGATTGCATTTGGAGTTGGAAAAACATATAAAAGTTAGATGTGCCTTTAAAAGTTCCACCAAATAGTGGGACTAAAAAGTAGTAAGTAGTGTCGATGGCATTTATGCAGCTCCATGCAGCCAATCCAATAAGGCGAGCTCTGCCTCTTGTAGGGGGAACACTTAGAGTCACTTTATGTCATATTATAACAAATTATGAAATAGTCAAATAAGCGGGGGATTGTGATTAATAAAAATGAGATGATGCAACAGGAAGCCAGTTGCCATTTCAACAAATCTGGTTGAAAAGTTATACCTTCAAGTTACAAAAAAAAGAAAGCAGTTTGAGTTTTTCCCTGTTTCCACTCTTTCTCCTTAAAGCTATGCTAACTGTCTCCATAGCTAAATATTTAAAGTGGTATTGATTAATCTGACCCCATGATTAAAAGAGAAAAAAAAAAACACAAATTGATTATTCAAAAAGGTTTCTATCATTAAAACCGGGGGCTGTCTGGTACCTCCTCTCGACTTCAGAAGTGATGGCAGCCGTCATCAAGGTGTTCAAATCACTCCTGCATCGGCTCATTACAACAACAACAACAACAACAAAAAAACACCATTCATGAATCTTCTGAGATTCCCAAACACACATCGAATGTTCTTGTCCATCCACAAATGAATCAGGAGAGAAACGAGAAAAGCACGTTTGTGTAACTCTTGTTTGTCCGTGTACTCTGTGTCTAAGGTAGTAAGTATTCTGGCAAAGAGTTGAATGATATTTTAAATGGCTCCAGGTGGCCAGCGTTAGAAAATGTGTTATTTTTGTTACAATACCTCCTGAAAATAAAGTCTATTTATCTGTGGAGAAACAAAGATTTACAATAAAACAGAAGACTACTTAGAAATGATGACAGATTTTAAATTATGTAGAGCAGATATAAATAAAAACATGTACAGTTCATTTGGTTTTGAACAGGATAAAGAAATGTATATGCGTCAGTATTGAGTTTGATTTTATATATTTACCATTTTATTACATTGTATTGTTGTGACTGCAATGGAGAAAAAAAATATAAAGGAATATAAATTATTTTTTTTTCCAAATGTGTGTCGCTTTTCCTTTCCAACTTTGTCGCACTAGATTTGTCTTTTTTACATGCACAAAAATCCAGTTTTTAATCGACTTTATTCAATTTCTGAATTTTATTTTGGAGATCTTAACAATCAGTATCACACTTAATGGAAAAGAAAGACGGTGCAGTTAAAAAGGATATGAGCATGAAGTATAAATATAGTCCATTAATGCAATACAACAGCTCTTGTGTTTAAGGAGCAAGGTAACTGTATAACAAGTGTTGTGACAGTGTTGGGCTGTTTGTCACACCCTGTTTCAAATAGTAACTTATTCTGAATGGTTTTAAAAAAGCACAGAAATATGATTTTTCATTGAAAAAGAAATCCATGCAGTAATTTGCACTTTAGTTTAAAAACAAAGAAATTGCGGCTTCCTGAGTAAACAGCTATTTGAATGAACAGCATTAAGATGGTGCATGTGGGACGGACTTTGACTTTAAAAACACCATTATGTCCATGGTGGTTTAAAACACTCACGTGGTGTATCTTTATAGAGGTTAAATATAAAAAATAAAGTGGCCTGTATGCTTAAAAACCAGCCCCTTCAGGAATGCTATTAGCTAAAACAGAAATTTCATGCTGAAATGTGTCTCTTAAGAGTCTTCCAGCACCACTAAGTATTTATATACTAGTTAAACTATCCCAGAGACTCGACTCACAAAAAGAAGTGTTCCCAGTCCCCACATGAGTCTGACACAGAATAAATTAAAGACAGGATCTAACAGAGATCAGTTTGAATGAACTGCTGGCTCCCTCTGCTGACAAAAAGCAACATTACAATTAAAAAAAACACGCCTTATGTAGTCCATATAAATATACAGTTTTCTATGTAAAATTAAGTCTCCCATATCCACAGTATTTCAGCTTTTTAGCTCAAAAGACCAAAACAATCCTTCATATGTCCTTAAAAAATCTCTGCCAATCTATTTCATATCAAGTTTAACAACGGTAACATTGTGAGCAGTCAGTAACGGTGATAACTCTTCTTCCACTCTTTGTGTTCAGTAGAAACTGGCCTGCATCAAAGATCTTTCCCCATACTTCATGTTCAATAAATAATACTTAAAAAAAACATCCCTTCCTGTAACCTTTTACAGTGTTTACCGATCTAGTGCAGCCTACGTTTTTAGGCACCTGAATAAACTGTTGTTCCCTGAGAGTCGTGGTTGTTGGTTATTCAGTGCCGCCTGTCTCCCAGTCAGCCAGATCCTGTCGTGGTCCGCCTCCATACTGCCATCTAAGATCAGGGGTTCCTCCTCCACACGAGCTCTTAAGCGCACAGGTTCTGACTGGCGTCTGCGGCACACCAACCTGAAGACAACTGAAGAAACAAGGGCAGTCACTGTGGTGCTATGATTCTTTTTTTGGGGTTCCACAAAGGTCTATCCCAGTTCCACTCTTTATTCTCTTTACTGTAACAACCACACTTACTTGCTACAATCGTGAGAGCGAGAAGGAGTCCCAAGATCAGCCGGACCGACATACCGTCATCCCAGCAGCTCTCAGACGCCAGCAGGCACCGAGCGTGGGTCAGGGTGCCGTTATTGGGCTGCGGGGGCACCGAGAGCAGGTGGCACATGAGTGGGTAAATATCCACGCTGTTCAAACTGCTCCTACTATAACCCTGATGGAAGCTTGGCCCGGTTGCTGCCATAAAGGGGTGCATGCTGGGTAGGGCATTGTCGTAGCCATGCATGCCCACTAAGGACAAAAACAGAGAGAATTGCTAAGTGGTGGCACTAAAACGGTCTTGCAGTGAACATTTTGGTTATTAATATAAATATTTCTCATACAGACATCCATTTTTGTACCTCACTGATTTAGGAATTTGCATTATATTCAACTGTTATAAAAAATAATGTATAAACACACACAATGTGGCAACACATTCCCATGCTGCACTATGGTCCAGCCGTCATCTGCGACCACTATGATTGGCTGGATGCGTATGTTGTTCCTGTAGTGAAACCTCTCAGGGATGTCTTCTTTCAAATATGCGGTGATATGAGCGTGACACTCATTCAGCAGGTCGACCATCGTTTTTGGATCTGCAAAAACCATTCAAAAAATCATCTCATTTTTAAATAAGATCCTATTTCGCATGCAAGCGGATTTATATAATCACCTGAATGTGGGATGATGGCTGTCACGGGTGCGAGGTCCACCAGCGTGTAGCTGTCAGGGTGGATGCAGTCATCCAGCTGTATGAGGCGCTCGGCGGAGCATTGAGACATGCCGTGGTCGCTGACTATCAGGACGTTGATGTGACCCCAGAGGCCGGTCCGCTTTAGCTCTGAAACCAGCAGGCCGATGTTGTCATCAACCTGAGCTCATACCAAGAGAGACACACAGTCAGGAAACATTTAATGTAAATGTGAGCAAGGCTAACACACCATTTTGTTTTGCTGTTGTTTATCTATGAACCTCCTTTACCTCCTTTAATACTTTGGCCATAGCTGTGGTGTTATCGGGGCCGTAAAAGTGACCCGACCTGTCCGGCTCCTCCCAGTAGAGAGCTGCAAACATCACTCCTTCTTCCTGTCGGAGTATGAGGTAAAAGACGCCATATATTAAAGCCTACGAAAGTTTCGTTTTTCCTAACAGTTGGAAGTTTTAGAGATGCAGCTCAAAAAATTCGAATGTCCTAAAAAGCTCATTTTTTCCCCTTAAAGGGATATTCCGGCGTAAAATTAATTTAGGGTCAAACACACTATGTCACTGAGTTAGACAACCCCTCGAGAGATGAATGTTGCCGACCGCTTGCTTCTCTAGTTATACCAACTTCAGTTACAATCGCAGATAGCAATACACAGCAGTCTCAGGAGCCATAAACAAACCTCAACCAGAACGCCACTCTATAGCCACAAATAATGCTCAGAACAGCACCTAACTTCATCAACTGTACATATAGAGTCCCAGCCACAGCACTAGCCACTAAACATTTTTTTGCGTTGCCTGTTTTTTTTTTTTTTAGCAAAGAGACAGAACACAACTCACCTACTCTCTTCCAGCAGCCGCTTGTTGGGGTGACACAGCTCAAGGAAGAACATTTATGATCATTTCTTCATAGAAATGCACTCAGACCGAGATGCCAAGGCAAAAGAACTACCACATCTGCAGTGCAAAATGATTAATCTGGTGATTATTACATCAAGGAGATGATAAAGTAATGATCATAAATGTTCTTCCTTGAGCTGCGTCACCCCACAGCAGTCCGTAATAGACTGGCCTGAGATCTCGCTACAAACAAGCGGCTGCTGGAAGAGAGTAGGTGAGTTGTGTTTAGTCTCTTTGCTAAAGAAATCAGGCAAAGCTAAAAAGATGTTTGGTGGGTGGTGGCTAGTACTATGGCTGGGACCCTATATGTACTGTTGATGAAGTTAGGTGCTGTTCTGAGCATTATTTGTGGCTGTAGAGTGGCGTTTTGGTTGAGGTTTGTTTATGGCTCCTCAGACAGCTTTGTATTGCTAAAGTGCGGTCGTTACTAAAGTTGGTATAACTGGAGAAGCAAGCGGTCGGCAACATTCATCTCTCGAGGGGGTGTCTAACTCGGTGTTATGGTGTGTTTGACCCTAAAGTAATTTTACGCCGGAATATCCCTTTAATTTAATTCAAAACATTAAACTCCCATAATATTCAAGACACCCTCCTAACAATTGCTTGGTGGTCTAAAGTCCTGTTTTAGATGAGAGTCAATTCTGCATCTCATTTGGAAATCACAGTCCGAGAGTCTGGAGAGGCCAAGGATCCGAGTCTAAGGTGAAGTTTCCACAGTTTGGGGTAGTTTGGTCATCTGCTGGTGTTGGTCTTTTGTGTTTTATCAAGTCCAGAATAAAACGCAGCCAACACAGTCAAACAGAGATACATGTTTCTTTTACTGGCGCCTGTGCACAGTGCCAAAGCGACCAGAAACTGGTTGGCTGACCATGACCATTCTAATTTTCTGAGCTGCACCTGTATACTCTACAGCGTTGATTAAGAACGCAAACTGACCTTCTCGTCTCCCTGAATCCATTTGGTCACTAACTCCACTCGTTGCTGGAACGTCACATCAGAGTCGTAGGGACAGAAGTATGTTGGTGTTCGGTTTCTTATGGCTAATTCTGAGCCAGGCCACATCACCCCGGCTGTCTTGTAGCCGGAGTCCAGCGCTGTGATCCAAAGGGGCTCTGCCTCTTCCCACCACCACGGGGTGTTATTCTTGCCAACTTGGAAGTACGACTTGCTTACAGGGTCGTACATAATATTGGCTACAATACCGTGAGACTCTGTGTAAAGCCCTGTTACCTGGAGAGGAAAACATGAATTATGATGATTACAAAAAGGTAAACAGGCATCACATCTGCTACTTTCACATAAAATGAAACACAAGCTGAGAGGTTACCAGAGTGTAGTGGTTCGGAAATGTCTTGGTGACAAACACGCTGGTGAGTTCCTCCACTAAGACCCCCTGGCTGTACAGGAGCTTTAGGTTCGGCATGGGGAATCTCTGCAGGTAGTCCGCCCTGAAACCATCAAATGACACCAGCAGCAGCGGTGGAGGACCTTGTCGGGCTGCGGCACCACACAGGAAGCCCAGCAGTATTTTCAGTAACATCCTACGGGGAAGTAGAAGAAGTGGATGTTGTAATACCAAGCACAGACAACAAAGTGGGATGCACAATGGCAGTATTTTGATCTGGATAATGGAGATAAAGTTGCATCTAGGCTGTGGATGGTTGACCCGACTTAGAAATGCATAATGAAGTAGAAGTTAACCTGCAAGAAGGACAGGAGGTTGGTGGATCCACACTCAGCTAACCGGTCTGACATTATTTTTTGCTGAATTTAGCTATGCCAAAAAATGAAGGCATTGTGCAAGCAAAAGATTAGACTGATGAGTTGATTTTACCAAATATAGTCATGGCTAAATAGACGATAACATCCATGTAACATGACACCAGTGTGGTTAACCTATTCTTCCTCTACAACATTGCAAATTTGGGTCTGTCTCAATAACTTTGAGCGTATATAAAGGCAATAATTATAATAAAAATAAAAACAATGAATATAAACAAGCAAAAGACTGCATAAGATTGTTCAAGAAAATTTGTGGAGAGTCAAGTTTCAATGACACATCTATGCACGTCTGAAAACTATGTTAGGTAGACCCATTTCACAATAGAACAAGGATCATCTGAATAAGATGCATTTTCATTCTGCAAAACATGAATTGAGTCACTCGCTTGTGCAATAAATCGCCTCCTAATCATACTGATTTTTACATTTCTTATTTGGAAAGATAAACATACTTATTTTGATTGTAAAATAAGGTTATGAACGTATTTTTACTTACATACTCTTCCTTTGGAGGTTGTGCTCTGCTGCTAAAAGCAGCAAGAGCAGAAGGTCTTGTTGCCCCAAAAATACACCTGCCATCTTGCTGCCTTGTACTAAATCCTCATGTTAAACTTGTTAGGCAGGGTAGACGCAATTCTTGGGATAATTCGACTCAATAAAGACCAAAGAGTGAACCTGCAGGTGAGACGCAGCTCTAGGAAAGCAAAAAGGATAACCTGTTACCTCAGACCAACCTCCTCCTACCCTCCCTAATTCTTATACAATACGCCTATTCTTATTAACTTAAGGTAGAATTATAAAACGAATGAGTTAAAAATGAAAAAAAAGTCAAGTAAATGTAAAAAGTCGCTAAAATCGTGGAGCAACATGCTCGCGCGAGCGTATTTCAACACACCTTGAGTGACGTAAAACTGTCAGCATACCTGAGCAGCCTCGAGATGAGCCGGACTCAAACACGGAAGTCTCCCTAACCGATGAAAACTACCCCATGAATGACAACATGTTACATAAACAATGAAGTAGAAATGGAAGTGAAAGGCAGAGTCTGAATGTGTCAATTGAAGGGTTTTTTTTCTACTTCTTCAGTACAGGTGCGCAGGTCGACGCAGGTACGCAGCAACACTCGGTTAGTACGGAGTGTTAAGAGTGAGTTAGTGAGATAATAATGTTACCTGTTGTAGAGGTGAAAGAAAGTTGTCCTCCGCGCATTACACTTAAATTCCCTTGAGCCTAACCATTTCACTTCACTTCCTTTAATTAAACACTGGAATATTGTCAAGCTCACAAGGTTAGTATCATTGTGTTTCCAGTGTGCCCTGTCAAAATAAAGTTCATTTTGAACACTGACATACCATCCTTTGGAATAAAACACAGTTTCTTTGATTGTATAACAGCAAACTACAACTTTAACTTCTGATGAAAGGTAATCTCCAGCGACACATACGCTCATTTTCGCCTAATTCATGAGTTTTAAACATTTTATTTTGTTATTGGCACGAAAAGCATAGTGATGCATTGACGCAACTGCCTGCTATACATTGAATACAAGTAACACTGGTTTTCTTTACAGTCTAAGGTGTGGTTGACTGAAATAAAAGATCATTGACTCTGAAAGAAAAAGGGTCAAAAAGGGTCGTGTAAGAATATTTTAAAACTAGAAGAAGGATTAACTCCAAGTTTAGCCTCCAGTTTTGAATCAAGATACCATACACACTTACCATGTGGGTACTAAGGTCTGTGAGTGCGAATGTCATTGTAAATAAGATTAAATTAGATGTGCATGACCAACAACAACACATCACCAGTCAGCATTACAATGCGCCATTGTAACGCAAATTGCCGGCAGCCTCTTGCAAGACAGACAAGAATCTGTCAATATCTTCTTGTTTTTTGGGGACTTACAACGTTATTTTGACTTCTTTGCCTGCACACAGATTGATCTTACTGCGATAGAGAATTTACACCACATACTCTCATAATGTGCGCCAAATGCTTGTATTAAACAGTTGCCTACTGTTGCTGTTGTTGATCCCAGCCCTCCCAAAAAATTTAAAAGGCCAAAAGCAGACATGAGACTTTCTTGAAGTGTGCGTAAGTACAGATAAAGGATAGATTGCATTGTTATATTGGTCTTGAGTGTAATTGGGTGCATTACCAGCGACTAAAGCGTGACAAAGTGCCCTTTAGATACCTTTCTACAATGCAAAAGTAAGACACAAAACCAAAGAACAAACAACAACGCCACTGTGAAGACTGTGCGAGCCAAGTATGATCATTCACAAAAACGTACCTTGATCATTTCCACTGATTTGTTAACTCTAAGGCGCCTTAGGGGTTGTATTCTCCTTTAAGGATCATCTCTGTCCTCCCTTGGCATTGACTCTCAACCTTCCCTGCCCAAAGTCCATTGCTGTTTTTGATAAGATAGGCACAGCTGGCATCACAATCACTCTGCCAAACACCTTGACAGCTCCACCATCGTAAGATCCTCTCTGTCTGACCTCTTCGCACAGCATGGATAGGTCTGAGAATGTATATGAGGACCCAGACTCGTACCAGAACCAGTTCAGAGGTATATATGACACGACCTATGAGGTGCCACTTGACGAGCCCTCTGACATGACTGCACACTATGAAAATACTGATCGAGGACAAACACCAGTTCCAGCAGAGGAAAGGCGAGGGAGTTCCTCTTCATCCTCATCTTCCTCATCATCTTCACATGCCGAAGAGGAAGAGGCACAGAAGATAGAAGACAGCGATAGAGAAGAAGAAAAAGAGGAAGAGCAAAAGACAGAAGTGGAGGAGCGCATCGCAGAGCTGAATTTGGAAAGGGGATCTCCTGAGTCTAAGTCTGAGTCTGAATCTGGGTCTGAGTCTGAGCATGAGCCTGAGCCAGATCCTGAGCCAGAGCCTGAGCCTGAAAGAAGGAACTCATCCAGAAGGTCTTCATCTTCCTCATCTTCTTCATCAGCCTCTGAGAAAGATGAATCTGATGAAAGAGAACAACTTGAAATCACACTTTTTACAAAGGTAGGAAAGAAATGCATCAGATACAACATACTGGGTAACTCTACACTGATTTCACTTACATCTCATAATCATTCAATTTACAGAAGAACAACTTGTTGGCCTCATAATTAACATTTCTAATTAAATTTACATCATGTATCAGGTTAGCAAGTATCCTCTATTTGTTTGTGCATGTGTGTTCATACACTTGTGACCAAATCTAACCGTTCTTTTTCAGGATAGTCTTGTTTGTATGGACATTTTGCGAAGTCCTGAACTCCTCAGGTCGAAACTTCTAAATAGTTTTCTGGAGTGAAATAACATTTTACTCTGATGGTTCATTTAATTTTGCCTTGTTCCAGGTAGTCCCCAAAAAAACTTTACAGAATGTTGTCCTCAGAAAGTACTGAAGATATACATATGTGTAGTATACTCCAAACTGGACACGTCCTACTGTTTAGACCACCTCCCTGTTCTCTTCCACACACACACTTCTATTAATAGGCCTTTATGTCAGTTCAAGTCTGGTTTTAGTGTGTGAGCGTGTTGGTGAGTCTGTTTGTCTTGTTCCAAATTTAACCCCCAGATGAACTGACAAGAATGTTCTGACTCAGTGCTGGGATAGTTGGGGATGGTTCCCGTCCCATGGCCATGTGAATTTCTGTGTGTATGTGAGTGAGTGCGTCACACTTACAGTATTGGTTGGTGGGCTTCCTGGAAAAAACTGTCATTCGTTGAGTGTAATGTACTCGAGCTGTTAATCTATCTGATAGATTCACCTTCATGTCTTATGCAATAACTGCATTCATTACATCATCTGTAAATTTAATTCTAAAGTCCAGTTGCTCTGAAGTATAAAAGGATCGTAAATCTGATACTTTGAAACTATTGTTGTAGCTATAAATTATATCTATATAACTCTAATGACAATAGAGTTAAAGCTGACAAGGTCTGATGTTGGTAACTTTATCTCACAAGATAGTTTGCCATTAGATTCTAAGTAATTAATGATTTATCATTAACCAATTGTGATAGATAAATTTGTTAGCCAGTGTGCCAAGAACCTTCAATCTGGGGGGACTGGGACCCCAGGTGGGAGTCTGTAGTTATGATGGGGAGGCGTGGCAATGTTAAATAACTAGGTTTATTTAGTGCTTTCTTGAGTCTTCCAACCACTCAAAGTGCTTTTGTATCATTTCACATTCACACAGTGAATCCCAAATCCCATTAACAGCTAGTATCTTGCCCGGGGATACTTCAATATATTGACAGCCCTGGGATCAAACCCTCGACCTTCCATTTGGGAGATGACCAACTCTACCAACTGAGCTACAGCCTCCCCTTTTGGTCTTTTCAAAGATTTCTCAGTAGTTGTACCAGTAAGAAAGGCTTTTCTTGAGTGTATTTTCCCTTTATGAAGTTGAAGTGATTCCTAAGAGATGCCTTGGGTTTCCACCAGCTAAGCCAGCAAAACAGAAGAAGATGAAGCGTGACCTTAAAAGTTTGATTTGCTGATGCTGATGAGGTGGCGATGTTACAGTAAGTGTTAGCTCCTACACATGTCAGGGAAATGTGTGTGCATGTGAAAGTTGCTGCCAGTTAAGCCAAAGTTCATCAGGGATATGTTATCCTAAGTTGACCCAAAGTTAATAAAGTTCATTATTAATAAGTTGTCCTAAGTTGACCCAAAGTTGATAAAGTTCATATCAGGTGTTGGTGCAGGTTGTTCTTGAGCTTTGTGACCTTGAAGGTGCTGAGACGATTGGTTAAGTTGTCATTTGCAGAAGTTTTTGATGTACAGGGTGTCAGCCAGATTTCCAACAGGGGTAGAAATGCACAAGTGCAGCCTTTGGCCAGGATCCAGCTGGACTTTATAAGTGGTCTAAAACTAAAGAACTTATAGACCACTATGGTGACCACATATGACATATTAACTCATAGTTCTGATGAACTCTGTCCAACTTCCATACTCCATGAAGCCATTAGTCAGTCCTCCCCAAGGCAGCTGTAGTAGTTAAGGTTAAGGCAGCTAAGGTAGTTCACCACCACCAAGGTGTGACTGTGTGAGCGAATGAATGATGTATCCAATGTAAAGCGCTTTGAGTGTCTCTGATAAAGTGCTGGATGAAATTTGATGCATTTTTCACATTTGACCAGCCTCTGTTGAAAATCTACTGAGCACCACATGTTTGAGCTTAAACACTTAACCGGTCAAATGATGTAAATCTCATTTCGAATTGGGTCACACATGCTGAGTTTAAATTTTGATCATTTCTTTAAATAGTTGGGCACAGCAGTTTCTTGTAAGTGTTGAAAATGGGAAAGAATTGAATTTGATGAGGACTGTGCTGTGCTGCTCTGAATATGTGGGGACAATAGTGAATAGACGTCTCCGCTCATGCTCTGCAGTTCAAACACAGGCTGAGAATTCACAACATGGGACCCATGGGTGCTGACGAGTCGGAAATAGAGTGGATGACTCCTGATGATTCAAAGTCACTAGGTTGAGTTCCTAATCAGAGCTCTTCAAGATGGGTGGAGCAGGGCACCCTTGGGTGACTTGGGTCTGCCCTTTCCCTCCTGGCTACATTAATGGCTTCAGTGACGCTCCCTCCCTTCCCCTTCTCTCCCCACCCAAGGGGGTTATTTTTGCCCAGCCCCTTTGCTGAGGCCCGGGGTACAAATTCAACCTCTCACATTCACTCTCTCTATCTCCTGTTCCCACACACACACACACACACACACTCATGTTGGCTTCCGTCCTCAGCTGACACTCTAACACAGCTGCTATGGGACCAAGCGGACCTCAGCTCATGGACCAGGAGTAGAGTCACACACACAGGCAAACACAGCTACATATTTTGGGAAACAAACACACTCATAAAAAGGGGCTTTCTTTTCTTAACCATGACTGATTCTGCAGCCGAGGACGACAAGGACCCTGATATTGAGCTTTTTGTCAAGGTAGGAAATTTCATCTGCGCTTGTTTAAGTGTTTACATCAGAGTTGAACAAAGGATCATGTTTGTGCTTAAATCTTGATTACATTCCTGCACAGACTTCACAATCTGATTTAAGAGTCTGCTCATAAAAGTGATATTTGGACAGCTTGTGTACAGTATGGACTCTAAAAAATGTAGGGTATATATTGGGGTACGCTGGGCTGGCCCCTTTAAGCGCGTGCATGCTGTGTTGTTGTTGTTGTGTGCTGATTTTCCATGTGTTAACCTGACACCCACGTGCATTGACAATCTCTCTCTTTCTCTCTCCTCATGAATTATTACTGGGATCCTTTCAGTATTGAGAGCAGCCGCTTTAAATAGGCTGAAATTAATAATCTTTTGGATTGGCGTGCCCATGCAGTTTAAAAATAAAGTTGAAAATTTGATATATAGACCTGCGGCTGATACAAACTGTGTTTGAAAACTGAGAGTTTGACAGTCTGATGAGTGTGCGGCGTGTGCACTGGTTTGAGCCTTTGATCATGTTGTACAACAAAGTTTTAAATTGTAAGATTAATCATTATCAATGTGTGTTTTTATAGTACAGTTGACAGCATAACTGCATTGATAAGTGATATCGTTTCTCTTGAACATGACAGAAGCTAGACCTTATCACAAAGTTCGGCACTTATGTAAATTATACGTTATCTTTGGCTCAACAGCTAAAACATGATTTGCATTTGAAGTTGAGTAAATCATTAGAAATCAAGTATGATAAATGGATTCATTCCCCTACGACAAAATATGTCAGTATCATTGGTATGAGAAACTTTCTTGTGAAATTACACAATTTCCTGTTTATTTTCTGTGGCTGATACACTACAGTATTTAGAGAACAAGAAGTTCATACATGCAGTGATGCGGCTAATGGAGCCAGCGTGGATTATTCATGTTGGACTTGGCATCTCATTACAGTCTCCTGTTGCAGCTTTACACACATATACACACACAGCAACAAACACATGTACATGCACATTTGCTTTTCTGTATCTTATTATAAAGCCTTGACACATATACTGTATGTGTGTGGACGAGTTTGTGAGTAAATGTACACAAGTATGAGAGCTGGAGTGAGTCAGCATGACAAGCATGGACAGTCTTTGAAGGTTTGTGTTAAAACGGACTAGCTTGACTCCATTTGTGTACTGAACTCCATTTGTGCTTCAGCTTATGTCTGACCACGTGTCCATGTGTGTATTTGTGTTTAGGCTGGAATTGATGGGGAGAGTATTGGAAACTGCCCGTTCTCTCAACGCCTTTTTATGATCCTGTGGTTAAAGGGTGTTGTCTTCAATGTCACCACTGTTGACCTCAAGAGGTAACAAGTTACAGTGTATTTTTTGTTGTGCTTTGTATCATAATGAATTGAATTATACAGTTTCCTATCCCATATTGTATTGCATTTTATCCTATTGTATCGTATTGGTTTGATCCAAGCATATCAATGTGAATCAAATCAAAATTTGCTACCCTAATCTATCCAATCCAATCCTGTCCTCACATATCGTATTGTATTGCATTGTATCAATCGGATCCCCACATATCATAATGAATCAAGTCATAAAATGTCCACCCTATCCTATCATCATAAAAAAGGAGTTATCATTTAATTTCCTTTTCTATCCTTTCTTGTTATATTATATTATATTACATTGTATCGTATTGACAGTACTGGGTTGTATCAACTCAGTCAGATCCTAGCGTATGATCAAGTCATACAATCGAGTCATATAATTTCCTATATGACTTGTCATCATATACTCTCGTATCATATTGTATCCATTGTAATGTATTATACTGATCTGATCCTAGCATTTGTATTATTATATTTTATATAGACGCATATCATGTTCTTTATTGTCAAGTAAAGCATGATGAAACTTGACCCTTAATAGAGAGGAAATAAAAGCTCCAGAATGACACTCCTGGTTTGATTATATGAGTTAAACTTGAATAAATTTTTGTATCTCACCAAAAAATAAGTGTCTAAGCAGTTACTGTTTGATCTTATCAAAGATTTGAAAACATTAACATGTAAAAGATGTGTATTCTCTTTGTGAAAAGTCTGTACTGTTTGACTGAATTGTAAACTTAAGTTTTAACTGCAGCTAAGTTGTTGAATATTCCACTCCCAGCAGATTCTGACCAAACAGGCACAGAAACTTTTACAATGGCCAGTTTCAAAATAATAGTTTATTTTAAAATCATTACATATTTGTGTTAGGGATCGTAAAATGGTTTAAATATGTTTTTTTAGGAAACCTGCTGACCTTCACAACCTGGCTCCAGGGACCCACCCGCCCTTCCTCACCTTCCAGGGAGAGGTTCTCACTGATGTTAACAGAATAGAGGAGTATCTGGAGGACCGACTGGCTCCACCAAAGTAGGCACACCCCCCATGAACCCGCACAGAAAAAGATAACAGAATGAAAACACTCATACTGTGTCTTCTTGTTTCTTAGATATCCCAGACTTGCAGCAAGGAACCGTGCGTCTAACATAGCAGGGAATGACATTTTTGCCAGATTCTCGGCTTATGTCAAAAACACAAGACCAGACAAAAATGGGGGTAAGCTGCAGATGTCTTGCAACCAATTGGTTTGGTGCTGCTTGAGGTTTCTACCTGCTAAAAGGAAGCTTTGACTTTCCTCTGTTTCTAACCTCTTAATCTTGACTATGTTTTATGTGTGTGTATCAGCACTCGAAAAGGCTCTCGACAAGGCCCTGGCAAAACTGGATGATTTTCTCAACACACCCTTACCTGATGAGCTTGAGTCTGGACGCTACAATGGTGGAGGCACATCTGACCGCAAATATCTGGACGGAGACCAGCTGACACTGGCTGATTGCAATCTCCTTCCTAAACTCCATGTTGTCAAGGTAACCTGCTTTATCTATGATTATTGGGTTATTCTCAGGTTGGTTTGATATATTTTAATTTGTGTAGTCGGTCACAGCAGATGGCCGTTCATGAATCACTCTGGTTCTGCTCAAGGTTTAGTTCTATGAGTTTCTCCTGTGATGATGTAATAACAGGAGTGAACGGTAGCCGGTAGTAGTAACATTCAGGTAGCCAATCAAAACAGTGCATCAGTGTCGCAGCATCCCGCACACTGAGATCAAAGCATGTGTTCCAAAGGTGGAAACTGAGAGGCTGCAGATCTCCTACAGTGGCTATATAAAACCTAGCTTAAACGGCCTAAAGGACATGTTGCAGGCTGCTGAAAATACATTTACGTATATAAATGAGACCTTTGAGAATCATGAGATTACTTTTCTGTGATTAACTAAATCGTTGTTATCTAATATGTTTCTTTTGCCAGGTGGTTGCCAAGAAATTCAGAAACTATGACATCCCATCTGAATTCAGAGGGATATGGCGTTACCTTGGCAATGCTTACAGCCGAGATGAGTTCACCAACACGTGCGCGGCTGACATGGAAATCGAGCAAGCCTATAAGGATGTTGCAAAGAGGTTGGGGAAATGAATGCATCCCTAAAGCAGTCACTATTGTACCTTACTCTGTTTCTATGTGGAATCATACATCACAAATGGTAGAATCTCTTCACAAAGTCCGGTAGATTGTTAATAGTTATGTGCTGAGTCTTTTTAAATGTATTACAGCTGTATGGAGTCTCAGAGAGGGCACATGATCAAATAGAGAAACTGTAATAACTCACGTGGAGGTATAAACATGATTCAACAAACTCATAAAGATTGAGGCGGTGAATAATCTCTGATCTTTAACTGATTTGCAGGAGTCAACACTCACAAGCATGATTATGATCACTGCTAGCTAAGTTAGCATTACATTTGCCAAACATATCATTTAACACACACCTTTAAGTATCTTATTAAGTTAATGATAGACTGTATATTTATTATCTTACAGAAATAAGCTCCAGGGTTGCGTTTCACCAATCATTTCTTGCTCATATTTTAAATCCGTGAACAAATCAGCCAGCCCTAGCATTCGCCCAGCCTTTTAAAACTTGCCCTTGTCTCGTTTGTTCCAATCAAGCGCACATTTAAGACCCATTGACATTACTCCAGATTTAAAAGAGACAACAAGAAGTGTTATACTGTAAGCCGGCCATTGTGTGGTAACTCTAGCTAGCTTCTGGATACCCACGACCTGCTTAATCAAAGTTAGCCGGCCACTTAAGGCCCTTGACAGCATTCTGGTTTTAAAAGAGATGACTGAAAGTGTCGTAAGTTAGCTGTTAGATGAGCTTCAACAGATAACTAAGCTAGCTGAACAAATTTGCAAGTTTCTTGCTGTCCACTTTTGCAGTCAGCTAATTTAGCGGTAACTGGCTAAAATGAAAATCCTGCTTTGGTCTTTCTTTATGTGCTGGAAATAGCGAAAACAATTCAAATAGGTATACATCTAGTACTTACACTATTTTATCAAATTGTGCCGGGAATAGAAATATTGCAAAATATCAATGGCTATAGAGTTGAACAGATTCATAAGAGAGATTTGAATTCTTGTTCTACCCTTTTTTAATGAAATGATTTTTAAAAACTGCATTTAAAGGTAGACTGAGTTGGAAATAAAAGGTCTTACGTTGAGCCATTATCAGACTATCAGGGATGCAGTTTCTTAATGAGACATTGACTGATAAATTTGGGGTTACTCGTCTGGTTTTACTGTAATGCAGGTACGCATTTTGTATGTTTCTGAAAATCACATGCCTTACTTTTGCTCTCTTACATAACTGACCATGCTTACATGACCACAGTCACATAGTTTTTGCATGAAACAAAACAACAGATCAAGTCTGCACCCTTTGTCATGTAGTATTGTTTTGAAGGGCAAACTTTACATACTAAATGTATGATCTGGAATATGATCATGAGTGCCTTAGAGGGAATCAAGCTCTGCTCTGCTTCTGTACAGTAAATTGTGTTTGAAAATACTATAAATGTAATTACTGAAGCCATCAAAGGATTTCTTTTCCATGGAGTCTTTTGATAATTATTGTGTAAAAGATAAAAACTGAAAAGCTTAATAGTCATGGCACATTGTTTAACAAAATGTAATTTATCATGGTTCAAATAAATTTATATTATCTCTGATTATTAACACTGTGAACTCACTGTGTATATGCAACTTATTTGAATAATAAATCTATTTTTCTCAGAACCTGAGTGTGAGAGTTGTGCTTTTTGGTAACTGTTGCAGATTCTGTGGGGAACTATCAGTCTGTGTCCATATAGGTGCCCCCATGTGGTCAAATCAGCTTTTTGCTTATTTGTCTTCTGCACGCTTGAGAAACACCTTTTGACAAAAACTCTCATCCTGCTGACTTTTCACAGCCAAATGTGTCATTTTTTGTGACACTTGTCATGACCTGGCTCAGGTGGTCACAACAAAAAGAAGAAGGAAGGCACACACCATGTATAAACTCTGAAACAACTCTTTATTAATTCAAATTGAACCGAATTAGAATATGTAAGGCATGCATGGGTGGAAGTAGGTGTATGTGTGCGAGGGTGTTATAAAGAGCAAACATAAACTACAACTAAACCAAACCGAACCAAACCAAATCAAACAAAGCCAAACCAAAACAAACCAAGTCAAACCAAGTACCTGTAACGGCAGTCAGGAGAAACAAAAGAGAGAATTGTAGGTAACTGTGGGGGCTTAAATACGCAGCACCCAGCACTCAGGTGTACGTAGTTGCTCTGATTAGGGTGCAGAGAGAAGCCAACCAGACACACCTCCCACAGCAGCGTGACCCTGTAGGGGCATTACAATATTTTATATGTAAATTGTAAAAACAGGGCTGTTTCTCCAGCTGCTTGGCTGTCATCTTCCCCCCTCACACAAGTTTCAGGGATGGTGGATACACAAGCCATGATGTAAAAAAAAAGTAAAACAACAACAAAAACCTTACGGCACTTTAAGTGATAAATAAATGCGACATACCCCTACAGATGAATAGACGTTGCTGTGTGTCTTATATCAAGCTAAGGGAGTACAAATGCTTCTAGAAAAACAAAACAAAAGAAGAAAGTTGTGTGTTGCGATTTGTTTATGGAAATACAGGCTAAGTCCTCCTAGGTGTGTAATGTTGACACCTGCAGCTACTTTTACTCATGCTTTTTTAACAGCAGTTTCGAATACAGCATTCAATACAACTGATCATGCAGAAATAAAAAAACATTGACTTAAAGTTGTCTCTCATGAGCTGCTGTGTTCATACTCCATTCTATAGTTTTTCAGCGTTTATCTCCTCACAGCATGCTGGCACTCCCTTTCAACCACTTCCTTTTACTCTTTTCCTGGAAACTGTTTCACCACCACAAAGCATTCACTGTAATGTACATGTACATCTTTTGTACATCACTACCCGTAGTTTGGATCTTGTGCCCAAAGTAATTACCGGCTGATTAAAAATACATAATGGCATGAATGCCAGGAGAATTTGCAACAAAGCAGTCATGTCTTGACAAAAATCACCATGTCCAGAGGCCGAAAAATGCAAAGCCTAATTTGTCTTTTAAATGATCCAGGAGCTCAGCTTGCTTTCAGGCTCTGCATCGCTGCATGAAAATACAAGAAGCTTATTACTCTGAAGTTTCTGTTATAGCCTCACATGGCCAGCAGATGGCAGTAAATACTAAGTTTTTATTAGACTGTAATGGCACGACCATGGAGTTAGGGACCGTCGTGGTTTATGTTATGTCCCTATACAGTGGATGCTTGATATAACGTTGAGGAAAAAAATAGAATGTCAAAACAAGCTAAATTTTAAAAAGTGATTTAATTTTAATAGGCTATAATCTTGGTGAAAAGGGGGCAGTAGGGAATTTTATTGATAATCAGTAAAAGATATATATATAGATATGGCTAAAAATGTTTTATTCTCGGACTGCAACACATTGGTTTAAGCATACTTCATGTAAGATAGCTTCATATATCAAAAATAAATACTTAACAACAATGTCAGTCTGAATGAGTTGTCTCATCAGAGAGGTTTCATCGTATTGGATTGTCTGAACCGTTTTTAAGCAATACTTAAAACATCACCTCCACCACAGCTCGGCATCAATTCGACGTTTTTCTACTGGGTGCTAAGATTCCGACGGTCCCTAAAGTGTCACTCGCTTTCTGCAAGTGGGCAGAGCAAACACAGACGCTCGTGCTCTGTGGCTGGAATCTCTTCTTTCCAGTCGGCTCAACGTATCGACGTCTCCTCTCTCTCTCATTCTCTGGATTTTAAGCCTCGTTTTTTTATATTTTAACACCACAGCGGGCTGGCGACTGTAAGCATATGTAAGGTAAGTCCGTTTCATTTAGCGGAACAGCTCCGGAGCTCGTTCGGCGCTTCATTGTTCGGGGAAACAGTGCTAGAAGAAGCAGAAGAAGAGGCGCAGTGTTTAGCTGTATGTGCTCGGGGGTGGGCGACTTGTCATTGCGGCGCTACGTGTGTTGTTGTGAAAATGTGTGGTGGTCGACCGTGGCAGCTACCCCTTTCGAGCCTTGAAATTGAGCTAATTTAGCCATGAAAGGTGATAGCTTGTATGTTTGTCTGCTAGCGAAGCTGGTCGGTTATGGGGCTCCGCAGCTAACGTCAACGCTAGCTTATATTTTTATTGGCAGTTAGGGAACTCGTACGTAAACGCCGCATCGAGAAGGGGGTCCCATTGTTATCAAACGGCAGCTTTAACTGCCTTCAATGATAATGTTAATCTTTCAGTGCCACAAAGCAGACATTTATGCTGTCTCCGGTCGTATAGGGTCATTGAACATGTCTCGAACAGGTTGTCAAAGACCAACTCTGAGTCATTGTACGACCCGTTAAATATGCAGTCAACTTATGTGTAAGTCATCTGCCCCTGTCACTGACAGTGCGTGTTTACTAGTCCTTGTCTGTGTGACTGTGAAGGACGACAGACAAGAGTGGCACTTTCACACACAATACCAACACCATAGAGATCCACTGAAAAATGAACGGACTGAGGAGATCTCTATTCTCATTAAGCTTCCAGTTGTGATGCGTTCAGGTGACACCAGCAGTGAGGATAATCACGTTAAGTCACGCCGTTTAAGCACCCTGCAAAGCTGGGAAAAATTAAGAGCTCAATTATCAGCCAAGAGTGCACGAATTTACGCATTTAGATCATTCATTTACGCATGAAAATGATTTCAAATGAAAGTTTACAAAGTACGGTTATCTCATCAGTAAACATTGTGCCCTTTCGGTTTTACAATTGTTTTATAATAGAGAGCACAACCTTAGTTGGATACCCAACAGGGAATCCGTTAAGTAATCTACTATTCCATTGATAAGTTTAGGATTGGATCCAAAATTGATATTCTGTTTGTTTTAAATAGGGCCGATGCCGATACCAATTATTAGGGGGGGAAATCCGATTACCAATTAATCGGCCGATTTAAATTATTTTTAAAAAAAAATAGTTATAAAAAATAACTATATGCTGTAGATATCTACAGTATACTATATACCAGAGGTG